TTTTAAATTAATTGCCTCAGGTTGGTTACCTAACTCGATGTCAAGTTGAGCCATTTTGCACACTGACTTAATTGACTCGATTCTTTGATAAATTTTACTCAAGTCTCGGCACATGTCTCGACCCTCTCCGAGACGCTTCATTTTTCCCGCCATTAAGAATTAATGGAAAGATATGCATCCTGTTGCTTATCATAATCTCACAGTCCGAGCATGCAAATATATACCAAATTTGAAATAATGATTACAGGTCAGTTATGATAAAGTTTAGTTGTGGGTATATCCTATATTGATTACAGATGAACTACTGGCAATTAAGCATAGTAGAAATGTAACTCTCATTAAGGGTAATGCAGCTTTTGCATTTCTCAGCCCGTGTGGAACAACATATCACTGTGTGGTAATGACATTCTTGGAAAGGATCAATAAATGAAACGTGATCTGAAATGCTTCCGAAGCAAATACCACGATAATATTGATTGAAGTCTGCTTTTTATCTGTAAAATGCCCGTTTGTATCAGAATAACAATCTGAATGACAATCAAATTATTTTGCTACATCAATTTATTATTAAATTCCTGCGAAACCTTTCATGAAAATACAAAACTCAACCACTCTGTTTAATTGATTGAACTATTATTTGTATGGTGAATGTCACTGTTTGATTTGTGACTAATCAAAATCAGAATTGAAAATTATTGTAAAAAGCGGCATCAACAAACCCTGCTTTTATTTGAACATTGCGAATTTGAAACAAAACACTCCAATCTGATCACGTGTTTTTATATTTTGTATATGACGTCAGAAGATGAAGGAAATCAAAATAATCTTATGCTTGTACCATCACAAACGTATCCATTAAAGTTCGCTTGGAACAGTGAGGAGAAGATTGGCAAAAGGCCTTGATTATACTTCAAAAGTCCAGACTTGTGTATTAAAATAAACATAGTTTTTGTCAAACCGTTCTCTTAGAAGTTCGTATGAATTGTCAGAATATTGTACAATCATTTCCAAAGTTCAATACTTTTTGGCTTTTTACGTACAGTGTGACACCCTGGACACCCATATTCTGGAAAGTTTTGTAAAGTGCGTCCTCGATTAGTGAAACTTTTAGCACAAACATAAACCAATAAATATTTAAGTGTTAAATAAATGTTCATTGATTTTTACTTGGGGTAATTAAGAAATTTATGGGCTATGTTTTTGTCATCCTGTATTCGTTTGATAATATATTTGAAAAAACGTTCCTCGAGCATCGAGCTCACTCAAAAATAACGAAAACAAGGAGGAATTGTGCGGTTGTGGTTCACATTCAAATAAATGATTCCTTCGACAATGAGCATTAGGCTCCATTGGTTCATTTGGTAAGAAGTGCTCAAATACCACAGAGAATGAAATCGACAAGACGACACCAGCGCCCTTACAAAATGTCACGCGTCAAAGCAATCCAATTTTATTCAATGAACCCAATATTTCGCGACAAAACGGGTTCGGTTACAGTAATATATAAAATGTCGAAAGCCATTAAAATTCTTTAGCTAGTACTTCTATATGAAGCAGTTTTTTTTTTTTTGAAAAAGGTGCGCCGTACGAGGTTGCTCAATTGGCCATAAACAACTATATTTAACTGAAAGGGGTCATCGCAAAAGGGGGTATTGATCATTGCTTGCAAACAAATACAAAAACCGCGCGTGCTCAGCAAAGGCTATGACCCCTATTATCAGCGTAAGCGTGGCAAGTGGAATTGGACACCATGGACGCCTTTTGAAGCAAATTTTAATTAAATCAAAGGAACGCAAAATTAAGTATCCTACTTTTGTTGATAAATATTTTGTTTTAAATATAGTGTCAAAATAATATTGATAAGCTAATAATCGTATAATAATTAATGAACAAAACTGACAGAATATTTTTAAAACAAGAGGTCACATCACACATTTGCTCATCTGAAAAGACATTTTATTTTTCAAACTTCCGCGTTAAATACATCAAAACAGTCATCCTATTCAAACTCAAAAACTCAAAAAACCTCAGTACAAAGTTATTTACTGGAAATATCCAATTTTTCGAAAAACTCCACGAACAATATGTTAGTTACATGCGCCATTTTAGACAATTTATACAGTCGATATTTTTGTATATATGTATACATAATATGCTTAGGTTGGGTGCAAATTAGGATATATTTGAAGTATTAAACAATTATTTACTAATCAAAACATACCAATATGGAAATACCGGCCAGTTAAATAGTGACAATTTCATTTTGAGGTGCCTCTACACCAAAACTATTATGCATATCCAAGAAGTACAAAGTTCGGGGGATACAGACGCTGTATACAACACTAAGAACCTAATGAATTATTGAGTGGTCTCGACTCCGATAACGTAACGCAGATGACGTCTGCATAAACAAAATGCTGTCAGAATCTGATCAAGACCATGCTCACGCACTACATGGTTGCCGTGGCGATTCAAGTAAATACATGACGATTCAAGGCCAACAGGAAACAGTATTTTTTCAAGTATAAGTATATCTCTATACAAGTATAGAGTTCACAATACAAGCAAAAAATAACAAATTTTTGATAACTCAATCATACGAAATTTATTTGTTAAACATACAACATGTTTAGATTCGGCGGTACAATTCAAGCCAATTTCACCCTTCCAAAAATTTGATTCAAAAACATATTTCTCATTATGTGGACAAGTCTATTTTTAGATTAAATTTGTAATGCAAGTTCTTGCAACAAAATTTAGAGGTTAAATATTTTTAGGGCAAGCTGTGATCACATACGATAAACAGCCTGTAGTGTGTCATTTATAATTTGAGGGTATTAAATAGCACAAAAGAATGATCGATTATATTTCGACTTTAACCTAGTCACTGTGTTACAATTCTGTGGTGTGAAATTATAATTACTTCTAAAATGAGTTCTACGAATAATCCATTAGTTACGGAAAGACATATTTAGGCCACTCCAAAGTATTGTAATTGCAGCTGCAACAATGACATTCGCTAGAATATAATAATTATCCTAAGCCTTTAGCGAGGAAATTATAACATTTTTTTGGGGTGGAATTCTTTATTACAGATAAGATTAAAAAATATAACACCGTGTGCCTTATTTCCAGCAGATTTCAATTTAAATGTCGATTTCGAGGCATCACATGGTCGAAAAACATTGCAATATTGATGAGAGATAAAATTCATTTCCTCTAACAAACTAAGCATGAGTTGACACAGTCATTTCTGCAGCATTGAAGAGCCAAAACTATTTGAGGTTGCTCTTCTCAAAGCTATGACGTCTTAATTAAATTTTTGTCAAATATTTTCACCGTATTGTTTCCTAATTTTCGCCTTTTAATTGATATATCATACATCATTATAAAGTATGTCAAACGGTCCGAGACACGTATAAATAAATTAGAGCAAGGTAATTTTGGTAGCACAAATGTGCTACTACGTTGTTTTAAAAAGGAAAAATTCAATGGTCATTTAGGACAATGCGCATAGACGCAAGTGACAAGACTATAAAAACGTTAGGCATGTTTAGTACAAAATAGTCGACTGCCTTCTCCTCAAACATTCCCTACGAAACGCATAATAAGTTTTTGAAGGCAAATGTTGTTTATTCTTCCACACAATCAAATTGTCGGGACATCTTGCAGTGACTGCTTTAGATTCTAAATCTGCAATCAGTAAATTTCGGATCTCTTAAAATACAAAACCCCAAACATGCCATACACCAAAGAATGTAATGGTAAAGAAACCTAACCAAACAGGCACCCTAAATTTAGCCGATCCATCAAGAACCGCGTCTAGACAGAAATGACATATTTTAATGATTAAAGGTAATAAATTTTGATTTCGGAAATTATCGAATTTTTCGCCCATATTAATATGCAATATTTCTCAATTCACAGCAACATGATTAGATAAGGAGTCTGAAACCGAGATACATAATCGCATCACAAATTTGACACCCGTGAGACAAAGCATTTCAAAACACTCAAAAATTGGGTAGACTGGCTTATTTTCTAAGCTTATGGAAATTAAAATTCGGTCCTCGCAATAGTCTTTGCTGGATCACAATGTGTGAAGTCTAGTCTCATACCTAGTCGTCTATATAGAATTATACTAACGGACTATCCAAATACTTTAAATTATCACGAAATATACTTCATTTGTCGACTATTTCACACAGTATATTGCGCAAGGTAATATTGTGGTTTAAATTAGGCAGCTCATGGGAGTTAAGGTCTACGTTTAATACACTATTATGCCATTACTGAGAATTACGAAGGCGAAAATGACTCCCGGGCCGCGATAAAAACCGACAATGAGCATTTACAAGAGCTTTGATACAAGATTAAATTTGATTTTGAGCATTTTTCTCTCAATTTAACGAAATTACGGATATGAGCTGCGGTTCTTAGTGCTTTGGGAAATAGAACTCTCTCTGCTGCAACGATACGGATATATATTTATGTGATAACAGTTTTCCCACACAAGTGTACATATTCAAGAAACTTGGGAGGCAATCGACACATACCCACAAAAATATCTAATGCCATTTTTACAAGAGCGTGTCATGTGGCAATACTTCGAAAATATAATTCACTTATCGTCGTGCGCAGGACGAATTATACTCGAGTTGACAACTACTAAATTTAAAAACATAGCTGAGAGGAACCATACGCAGTTAATAATTATTATCATTTAAGAATCTTGAAAGCTTTACTTGAAAATGGTTATCAAGGCATGGAGTATGCATATAATGAATTCCTAACTTCTCAATGAGTGAGAGTAGCAAATTCACGACATCGTCCACATTGTCAACAAAGGCAAACATCAAAATCTAACACTTCTACATGACGTAACCATTTGTTTATAGTGACAGAACAGAGCGATAAGTTGGATCGATACAAGTATACCCTCTGTACAAAACTGACAAAACACCAAAAGCATACTAAATTATGTAAAGTTTGATAACTACCTCGACGAAAGGAACCATCCTACAAGCAATGTCTCCCAGAATCCAGGGTTCGAAAGTAAGATTCATAATCGATTTGTAAGCGATCGATGGTAAACAGAAAAGCAAAAACAGCATCTGGGATATAGATAAATTTGCAAGAATCAGCAACGCTCCTCTTCTGCAGGTGTGATATTTCCTGTAGACGAAAGAACCCATTAATTTTTAAAACGTCACTAGCACAAAGAAAGAGGGTTTGGTTTGCTAAATAAAATGCTGCAATGCTGATTTTATTTGCAACCTTGTCAGAATTGTATTCACCACAGAAACAGAAATGTCAAAGTATTAGGAAATTCAGCAAAAAATTATATTTGAAAACAAACATATAATAGTAATTAGAGGCTAAACAAAATATCGCAGTCACTATCATTGATCAAATCAGCTGACTCAGTCTAACTGTGCGAGGAAAATGCCAAGGTAAATATAAAAACATCAGTAGAGTGTCGTCAAAAATGAAGGGGGAAACGCAAATTAAACCAATAAATAGGCATTATAAACAGATTGCTCGCAAACTATTTGTTAAAATACAATTTTTCAAAAGCCTCCATTACGTTATGTTCACAAGCGTTTGTCTGAGAAAAACGCGAAATCGAGATCCTTACGAAATCGTCTCAAAATTTTAATGGAGCCAATTAGTCAGCGAGATAAGAAAAACGATACTTCAAAATTGTAATGGGAATTTAAGTGTCGTTCGATGTAGTTTCAATTGAGGGTTTGTATTCAACATGCGTGGGCATTTACAGTGAATGGCACTCTATTAAAGAATACAAAGACATAACATACGAACCAATTTTTAAATTCCAGTGGGCAACTACATCCTATCACAGACTAAAGTGGAGGACCACCTAAAATGGCAATGACCTCGTATCTAAAGATCAAAGATGGCTCTAAAATAAACGTACATTGAACACTTCGGTCCATGTATGGTGTGAAACGAGGGAAACCTTATATTTTGCTTTATAAATTATGAGCCTCGTTAATGACCGCAGGTGAAGATTATTTCAAGGCACAAATTAGGTAAATGGAGTAAAATATATGATAATGGGACCAAAAGCTCTAATTATATGCACTTGAAAATTTATGGTGTGCGTGGTAATAATACTGCAATTATTCTTCCATTTATAGTCTATCAAAAGCCAGTAATGAATATTTTATTATTATAAGGTACACGTATATAGTCTGCGCTTGTTATTACTTGTCATGTGTGGTCAGGAATCGCTGCCACAACAAGAGATGAAATAATGCTCATTGGCATATATTTCAATTATGGGAGCGAGTGTTCTAATTTTACACGTAATAGTCTAATTCCCACGCTCCTCGAGGCGTGTTTTTGAGGTTTTAATTATTATAATATTTCACGTTTGTATTCATATTATACCAACATTATACTGTTATTAAATACCGATGACGGTGGCCTGCTATCATAGAGATTTGTTTATTTACGTTTTCGACCAACAATGCGCAGTTAAAATTCCGTGAATGCCTATGAAAATAAACAATTAAATAATAATAAGCTCAGCAAAAAATAAATTACCTCCGTGACGACACTGCGTAAGCCACGACGCATACATGCCCAATCAATCCTGCCAAAAATATAAGTCCGTATACACTCAACATTGCGATGGCCACATGTCGATTGACAGACGGATTCCATGGTCCAAAAGGCGATGATAAGCTTCGCGTGATTCGCTGGGATAATATTTCTGCATCCCCTGCAAATGCAATTAGTATTATAAAGCACAATTTAATCTAACCTCAATTCAATTATATGAAATGTATAATTGGTAGAATATATTCCTACAGTGGCTAATTCTAACTAATTCAGGGGCTGTTTTTTGCAGCCTGTAACGAACCTATTCTTCCCACTTGTAACAGACGAACAAAATCGATTTTGAACAGAAATTGACAGAATTACCGTGTACGTAATTCTATCCGTGAAAAATATAATTTGGCAGTAGCAGATTACAAAGTTATCAAAACCAGTCTTTTGCCACCATGAAATTCACCGTAAAATAATTACTAATTCTTTAATTACCTTCTAAACGTTCGAAGGTTTCCGCCTTCATATCTGTATGTATATTTTGTCAATCGAGTGAATATCCCCAGGCGGTCAATAAATAGTTTTCTTTACAAAATAATATTCCAACGTGAAAATCCGTAAAGCCGTTAGGAACAATGGGTATTTACATAATTACAAAACAAACATTTCTTATATATTATAGTATAAATAGAAGTCAGAACTAACTGTATTAAATTAGAAAAAATATGAAAAAACGTAATTTCAATAGAATGACTACATCTCATAGGCATATTAAAAATAGAACATTTTGGGGTGTATGGATGCTTCTCAAATAATTTTGTACTGATATACATCATAAACATATGGGATGCATGAAATGTGATCTGAATTTATTGTCGGATTAAAAGCTGATATGCCGTCAAGGGAATATCCCGACATCAGCTTGTCGGTGACCACAGAGATATAATTGACAAAGATACAACATATAAATAACATTGTATTAGGTTTGAATCAAGGCGAAATGTATATCATTGAACAAAATATGAGCTCAACAATATCGGTTAATTGAGCTTAAACGAACTCTGCTGTATTCTGCTATTCTGTATTCATGTATTCATAACGTATTAAATCTAACTAAGAATTAGTACTTGTAAAGTTTACTGCAGATACGTTTACGACGTCCAATAATTTTTCGATTTGTGCTCAACTAAGTTTACATGCCTTAATCCCAGTCTGACACAGACTTTGTTGAAATTCTTTCGATATCCCTTAATTCTACAACGTTCGTTGCTAGCGTGATAAATAAGAAGTAATCTTAGTTTCGAAATTCCTTCTCCCGCGGTGGTATTGATGTGATAATAGTTTTATGCTTTAATAAAAAAGGGGTTTGCGTCCCGCAGTTATCATCGACACCATTATATCAGCGACAAATTCCTTCTGACGGCATCAAAAATGGACATTTGGTTTATGCACCGATCATACATGGATTCTTATAAACATCATGCTATCACGACGGGAGATTGCTCAGGAATTCGAATAGATCAGCTTGCTTGGTGAAATTCTATTTAAAATCTCAAGACAGACCACTGATATAAACATGGCTGTTGAAAGGCGAAAACCATACCAAAGGCGCGACAGTCTGCCTCATTTCGGGTTTTCAATTCAAAACAATTCAATCGCGGAATGAATTGACCCGTTGGCGCGCTTCAAGCCAGTTTAGACTACTTTTATCAGCAACGTGAAAAACCTTTGTTGATTTTTGCAAGATAATGTCCCCTCTATTTTCGCGGGATAAAGGGTGAAATATAAAAATATGAATGATAAATATAAATTTATAACTATTGGTATAGCACGCCTATATATTACAGCGCAAGGTGAAAGCGAAAAAGATTAAAAATACTCCATTATATCATATAAAAATCACTGGTTATGTCAGTAACCGATCCTTAATCGATAATACCATCCAGTCATAACAATGCCCTTCAAGCAAATAATTCTCAACTGCGATCATAAGTAGGGTCATCGGGTTAATCCCACAATATTAACAATAGTCCGGATTTCCACATGGTTTCCCATGTTCGATGCCTTTCACACTGCTGTATAAGCAAGCTTCTGAAAACAAGAGTAAAGCTGGTGTACACAACAACAACCGTTCCGCATAGATAAGTATAATATCAGATAAAATACCGTGGTATATGATTGAGTACCTTCGCCTGCGTTCCGCGGTCTGCTAATGATACTTTTGAACACGACCCCCGAATGAAAATGTCAAAACAATGAGAAGTGAAGTACAATCTTTAAATAAACCAAAGAGACGAGAATGGTGAATATCGATTATGATTTTACTTAAAAATATAAATCCTGCAACAATCCTTCTGTCGTTGGAAATTCAAGGTAACGAGTTGACTTTCACTAAGTTATAAATTAATTATCTTTACGTGCCGAGAACACAATCATTTATTCTATGTTCGAGGACACATTAATACAATCACTCAACAAAACTATATTTGCATTCAATAACTATTGCTACGTAAATATATAAATGCTATTAAAATAATAACAGAGAAGTATACGTTGTCGAATAATTTTGGTTGGGAGTTGGGACATACGGATTGTACACTATAATACTGTAATAACCAATACAGGTATTTGCTAGCAACAATTCATTCTTTCGTGCAACAAAACATTTACCATCAACGTTCAGAGAAAAGCAAAGAGAACTTTCCTTCGATACAAACGTATCAAGCTTGATTTTCATACAGCCATACTGTGGTGCGATTCTATTTCAGATAGATGTATTTTACTAATGTGTTTCTACGCTGACGCTTAGGGTAACTGCTTACTCAAAGTACCGGTATATCAACCAAGTATAATACCAGTGATGAAGATAAGTCTTCGTCTTTGAGGTATCTACACTCGTCCTACAGCAAAGAATGAAGCAGACAACCTCAACGCGTGCAAACTTACGGCCGACTGACGATACAACCGCGACGCTCGAGTATCGCAACGACGAATTCTTTGTTTGCTTTTTTCGCCCACGAAGAAAAATTGTCAGAGAATTATATTATTCGAGCTTCCGCACGTGAGTGCTGTTCAGATGCTTTGTTGATGCCGATACTATTAAGTGTGGTACGCTCTTCCCAAGAAGCATAGACTAATTACGATTGGCGGAAGTATTGTTTATGAAAAAAAAGCCTGAGGCCTTAAACTTTGAGGAACCCATGGTGACCACAAAACAACTTGGAGTCATAGTCAAGTTTATTTATTTTCAACCAGTAAAAATAGCATACGAAATTAGGAGAAAAAGAAATTTAACGCACATTTTAGTGGGGAAGAGAAGCCGCGTGCAACCGAAGCTGGTTATCAATGAACGATAACTAAGGTTTTAATATCTAAATAAAATTTATAAGGTCGGAAATTTAATTATTGAAGTATTGTTTAATATTGGCAGGTGTGGATTATGCAGTTAACCAATCAACATCGCCAACTAGCGGTTATATGAGACCCGCCAGGTGGCTTGAGGAATATTCCCAGTACAGAAAACAGAAGCTAAATGCTGTTTGTTTGAAATAGTTTTGTTTAAATGGGAGGCGACGAGGATGACTGTCTTGAACAGATAAACACAGTAAATATAAAATTCAAAAACAACGGATGGCTAGATGGGGAATCTGTCCAAAACACTATCTACAAGGCTGAATGTAAAAACACAATCATGTATATGTATCCATTAGACGGGGTATGGAAAATAAAATTCGAAGGGGCAGAAAACTGTCATACAACGTCATATATATACAACTTTAACAACGATTGTAACAAATATACTGCATACCCAGAGGAAGTCTACTCAAATATGTAACTATAAGCAAGGTAGCCTATCAGGAGAAATTCTAGACAAAAAATGACAAAACTTATTTCAGGCTTTGGGGAAGTTGAAAGTATGTAAAGAATGGTAAATGACGATGAAATTGAAACACGTAAATGCAGAATAGTTCTTGAAAAAAATATACCACCAATAATTGAGCTCCCCAAGAAGTACACTGAAGAAAAAGTTCATATATTCTACCCAGCAAGACCGAAAAACAAGAGAAAATATACTAACTGGTGCTACATTTGCCATTCGCTATCTCAAAGTGGAGATATATCCAAGAAGAATGTCGTGTAAATATTGTGAAGGTAAACCACATCTAGAAAGAAATTGAATCTTGAAAGAGCAAGATATATCACAGCTTTCACAAGAAGCTACAACTTCCACCACTGGATTGCCAGAATCAATGATATCAAAACGAAATGTAATTTCGAATTTAGGGATCCAACAAAGGTTATCAGAAACAACCGGAACAAATACATCTTAAAAGGAAAAATAACTGAAAAATCAAGCACAACTCGTTTAAAAGAAGAAATACAAAAAGAACTATAAAACAGTCAGGGATATCTAAGTCGTCAACTTCGAAACATAAAGTAAACAAAACTTCAAGTCCGGTAGCATTCATGACCAGGGCTGTATTAACCTTTAAGTAAGATAAGCACGTACTTAGGGGCACTAAGGGGATGGGGGCATCACAGAAATTATCATAGAATCATCAATGTTGCCGCAGTGTTAAATGGGGTAATTCGAGTTGGCTAGGCGACACAGACCTCAATATTGACCCTGTTTACATAAATTTTCTGTAGCATCTTAAACTTATCTGTAAATGTGTGTAGGCATGAGAACTATTTTAGAAAAATCATGCATTTCAAACATAACTTTGCCCTCAGTTAGTAGTGAATGGATGTTTCCCGACCCTTGAGCCCTGAAAAATTTTCCGGCTCCCCTGAAGATTTAGAACAAGGTTTTAAAAACTGACAAGTAACAGGTAAAACAACTAAAACAGAGCAATGTTTACAACGATGCTTGTATGCCCATATCTGTCTGAGCGGTTGGACAAATTGCAATCGTTTCGTCATCATTAACTCATTGCTAATTGGTCATTGCTACGGAAATAAACAAAGAAATCGATTCTCGTGGAAACATCTATACTGCAACTTTCTTATTCAATTTCAGATAACATGGAACACTCGTGGCATTTTTATGACATGGTAAATATATATAGGGCACCAAAGACTCATGGCCTCTGAAAGGCATGATCTCGCCCTGTTCATGACTAACAATTTAATGAAGATGATAATCCAAAACCAATTTTGCTCATAGGCAACTCCCAAGTAAAAAGAAAATTACAAAAAGAGTAAAAATATTACAAATAAAAATAGAATCATTTAGAGATATTACGAATGCTTTAAGCAGTGGTATAATATACAAGAGAGCTGTGCTCAAATATATGGACACGTCACAAGGTGTCGCTATTTTTTATTCTGACACATAAAAAACGAATCTCTTGAAGTCCACAGAAATTTTTGAAATAAGTAAAAGTAATAGTCTTCTGGCAAACCACTAAAAATTTCAAAGCAATTGGTCCAGTATTCGAAGAGAAAAGCGATTTCATCATGACGAAAGAGAAGAAGAATACTAACAAGAACAACAACATAATATTGAAACGATCGTTATGTACACTGACGTGTCCAATAACCAAATCGCAATGTTTGCTGGAGCCAATGAAATCAAATCATTTCTATTTGGCAGCGCCCAAAGGTAATGCAAGGGGACTCCTTAGGAAAGCTAAACGAAGAGCTGAAAGCGTATTCATACGCGGCATAGTTTCAATAGAATAAATAACTTACATTTAAAGACCAACATGTATGAATGAAATAATAAAATGGTTGATAGATTTAAGCCTACGCCTCAGTGATGAAGGAAAGAAGATATCCCACAAGAAGTGCCATGCAAGGACTTGGCAAACAGTGTTAACATCTCACTTTCACAGTCGACACTTCAAGGTATGGACATTCATAGTTACTATTGTGAAAAAACAGATCTCAACACAGTCAAGTCTCAAGCAGTATATACACATGGAAGCGAGCAAATAAATAGTAATTCTGGCACATCAAAAAATAGATTAGACCGTTGGTTCCATCTTTGCACATTGGAAATTGATATAGTATTGACACAAAACAAAATAACATGACGGACGAGGTCCACGATAAGGGAAATATAACGTGGAATTAGGGATTAATTTATATTTTTGCAATGGCATTATGGCTGTTCCGAAGAAGTAGTACTACTAATAGGGATGGAATCGAAATGGGCACTTTTCGGGATCTCTGCAAAACAAAAATCAAAACCTGGGCTATTTATTGTGCGAAACATAAAAAAAGCAAGAAAGCAATTCTGAAACGATATTAAAAGATCAACATGGAAAGAAATGGGAAATAAAAAAAAATAGTAGAAATAGAAAAACCGCTTAGGGATCACTAAAATCAAAAAACTAAAGGCGCAATAGTAAGGTCTAGGACTAATTAGTTCGAAAATGGAGGAAAATCATCCAAATGCTTTTTCAATTTGAAATAGGAAAGGCCAAATTATTAATAGAAATTAAAAACCTAGATGGAAGTATTAATAATAGTTTTACGGAAATGCAAATTCGAATTTACTGTATATAAAAGGACTTGATGAACAGAGAAAATGATCGTATTACAAAACAACAAGCATAAAGTCAGATGGTAAGATGGTAGAACAAAAAATCCCCGTCGATGAATTAGAAAACGCTATAAAAGATTTAAAACTAAACATGTTGCCTGGAGTAGACGGCCCAACCGAAGAATTTTATTTGAAATTCTGGAAATTAATCAAACTAATACTGATTATCCTGATTAAAAGTTACCACAACCAGAGAGAGCTTTCAAACAATACGAAATTTGGCATAATGACGTTTCTACATAAATAGGAAACGAAAAGTATTTGAAAAATTGTCGCCCCTTAACATTAGGAACTTTTGAATATAAATTAATCGAAAAATTTTGGCAACCACACACAAATATGTTTTATCCCACCTTATAGTCAAGGCAGTCATGTGGATCGATCAGGAGAAACCCTCTATTACAGTGGATACGAATTTGTTAATCAAGATTTTCAATGAAATGGGATTTAGATCTTTTTTATCAAATGGATATTAATATATATCATACAAACATCCTATAGCATAATTTCTAATGAATTTATAAATGAAGCTTTTCCGCAATTTTTAGTGTAGATTCAAAACTGTGACCGATAAGTTTTGAATATAAAGTAGTTGAAGGTAAAATAGATGAGGTTTCTTGGTGCATATATATATAGAAAGATGGCATATCTTCTTCCAAAGAAAAAAACCTGTTCAATGCAGTAACCAGCATACGGAATAGATAGATGATAATCAATAGATGGAAATGACGAAACATGTCAACAATTGTAAAAATTCTAATCATAAAAAAATTTACTGCTATCAAAAGTATATGGTCGTACGGTGACATCATCTATGGCTGATTCATTAGACCAGATATTCCATTTAGCCTTTATGAGCATTTTGTTCGCCAAACTATATATATCTATTTTTTTCTATGTTATTTGGAGGATTGAGTATATCTGTAATGAAGCTTTCGTTCTCCATCAATTTGCAGCATTGGGCAACAACAAATTATCTTTCGTAAAACGTACATCGTGAGTAATAAAGACCTAATAGTTACGGCATGGAAAAAATTATTGTCATTATATATTTTTTTTATATTACAAAATGTTCAGCCGACTCGTTTTTTAAAAATCAGATATTATTTAGAGCAAGATGTTGGAACTGTTGCTGAATCCATATGGTTGAGCTAGAATAATAAATGAAAAATCAATTTCAAGTACGAGTAATTTTTAATATACGGTATGAGGAGTACGGTAAATAAATATAGATACTGATTGAGGTATATCAGATATTCCCGAAGATGCAAATGTGAAGTATAATTTCGAAACTGAAGATAGCATCAGTAATGATTTACCTAACGAAGAAAGACTCAGGTCAAAAATCAATGTGGAGGACCATGTGAAGGACGCTATCAACTCCGAATTTCACGCGGTATAGTAGACATCAAGCTTTCTAATGAAGATCTTTACGTTCATTCACAATTATACTAATTGAATTCATAGTGAGTGTTGCAGTATGAGTATTGCAGATCGCCTCTTAATTTTCTATGTTTCATTTCCCAATTCTGAGTCATGATTTGATTTGAAATATTCAATATACTAATGCTAATCTAGAATAAATGTAGTTATAACAATATTGATTTATTGTTTTTTTGTTTAAATTCTTATTCATGACCACATTAAAAACGCGAAATCATTAAACATTCGAATATCGACTTCAATCATGAGTAACTAAATTATTATTCAATTTGCTCCAAGTAAATTTCTGTAATTTAAATATTTTGTCTAACTGTCAGTTTGCATCATTATTACTGTGTTTCACGAAAATAAAACTGAGTTTTATTTGAATTTTTTCTCGAAAAATAACACTAGGGCATATTTTCGGGGCACGTCTCATATTTTCATTTATCAAAAACAAAATTACAAAGTAGAGAATTGCGATATTTTTAGAAATAAAAACAAAATATGAAAACTGAGATCCATATACTCATGAATAACAAGTTTTTATTCAAAATTACTGCAAAGTATAGATTAAAACATGTAGGAGAGATTCCTTGCTATCGACTAAGTCAAAAAAAGTTTTTGCATTATTGACTATAGGTCTTATTTTAGGGGAGGTCTTATTTCCGGGGAAACACGGTGTAAAGGTTATCAAAAAGTACAATTTTGTAAATTCTGACAAAATGTAGCATATGTTATAGACATAAACTAAGAAGTCTTGAATGTAATACTTTTTCAAATGCCTCATACCACTCATAATATTGCTTTCATTAGATTTTAAAACAGACTAACGTGACGTCTATTTCACATTTTTCCTTCGAAATAATGAATAATTACTATTTGCATGTAAAATGAAATTGATTCGTATACACATCATTTGCAACAATGAGAAACAATAAAACCTTTAGAATAAATAAAATATGTAACATATTTCGAGGCGCACTTAGCAAATCGCCTTCGGGAACCGCTAGCTTAACGATTATTAAAGCCGGCATTGTTATGCAAGCACACGCAAATCGGGTCTTACGATCAGAATATGCATTGTTATGCAAGCGCGGTGATTCTACTGTGTTTCCCCGAAAATAAAACCAAGCCTGAATTTTATAAATGATTTTAATATAAGCGCTCCCCTTTAAAAAAAGACTTAGTCGATAGCGCAATTTTTTTTTGACCTAATCCCGTGGAAGTGCGTCGTTTCAATTTTGCTATAGGACGTCGGAAAATTTCGTGCTTCGTGAACCTTTCAAACAACCCATATCTTCTACTTTTACAGAAAAAAGCGAAGATTATATCGATCTTACCTGTGATGGTGTTACAACAAAAAAGTTTAATTCTGAAAATTCGGTTTTCTGTAGATAAAGATCATTTTTCTTGGTTCAAAAAGCGTTGCGGACTCGTTTGCGAAAGCGTTTTTATATAAAGCAGACTTTTCTACCAAGGCCCATTAAATATGATTTCACTGACTGTCGTTATGTTTTGTTTGTTCCTTTGTATGAAACTCATTGCAAAAAAGGTCTTTTATTGAAAGGTACGTATTTTATAATATACGTATTTTCACGGGTAGTCGTAATTTGAGCATATTTTAGAAGGGCGTCACGATACAATGAAGTTCGAAAACCACTGAGTCCTAGTCGATAGCAAAAAAATTGGACACAGGAAATTTCTACTTTTTAAATGGTTAATAATCTATATGTAGCAGGTATTTTGAATGAATACGTGCTATTTATAAGTAATGGAAATCCGTATTCATATTTGGCATAATAAAAAATCTACATATTCCCAAAATAAGCCCTAGTGTTATTTTCTAAATAAAATTGAAGACACTATCTTATTTACTCAGTATGATGATGTGTTCATTAGGAATCGTGAAATTTTTGTTTGACATTATTTTTAATAATTGTATTTCGAATCAAGAGTCTGGAAAAGTACAATAGATATAGTTTTTTGTGTAAAATTGGTGCTCTCTTTGCGGCCCCTAATATTCGTTTCGAGGCCCCTTCCAGGGCCGCGGCCCCTAGTTTGGGAAGCCCTGGTCTAGAGTAATTTTATTCGAAGTTAGATTCCTGGTCGTAGGTATCTGATCTTCGTGTCCACATATTTGAGCTTTGCTTTTTTATACAAAAATTCCAGCGCATTTCTTTCAATTTCTCAACTGTTGGATTTTACACTTCACGTCTGAGAAAAGTTCTAGAATAAATCTCATAAATCACCCAAAATCGCATCAGACAGTTTTGTCGTTATTTATCGTTCGACAACAGTATGCACCATTTTTACTTTTAGATCAATTTTCTAATGTAGAGAGCACGCAACAGTTAACATATTTTATTTAAACCCGATATTATTATAAAATCACCTTCACCATTCTGCGATACTCTCGACGACATTGTAATTCACAGCTCTAATTGGAGGCGCAGTTCTTACACCACTTCATGGCAGCTTCTGCCACGAACGTACCGCGGCGTCTCTTGACATGGTTTTATAGCGCTTTTACCGGTATATTTACAAAGTCATTTCACAGGCAACACGGGTTCTTGTCATTCTGACGTTACTCCTGGATTACATTAGCCCCCATTTTGTAAGAATATTTAAAACTAAATAGCTCTTGTTGTAGGCATGAAGTATTGACATATTCTAAAACTGTAGTTTTATTTACAAAGCGTTGCAAAAAAATCTCGGAACTTTACAATATTTATCAAAAAAATTGTTTAACATTGGACAAATAATTGTTAAAAATCATTTGATTCAAAATTACCTGGATAATACGAAATTCAAAATCAACAACAAAGCGACTGATTGATACGGGGTAACGAGCAAATAAACAAAACTTTTCAATTGCATGTTGCAAAATATACAAGCAAAATGTTCTTGATCTTAAATGCCATTACTTTGGGAATGTTTTGGTCAAATGAGCATGGGCTATGGAATGCAAACAATGCAAGACTTGAAACATCTGAGTTCTATATTTGATGACAAAACGACAAGTCTTGGCAAAGATAAATACAGGAAATCTCACGAACAATGTAAAAAATGAAAATAACTATTGGATGAAATAAAAATTGAAGAAAACTATTCTATCGCACATACTTCGATTTTAGTAAGGATTTCGATTGATATTCTAGGAAAAATAAAACAACGATAAGAAAATATTAATCAGATTCACAATCGAAATTATTTGCTGTTGAATTTTGATACATTGATGTGCTAACTGTATTTCTGGTTTCTTTTTTTAGCTTCATTCTTCTGTTTTGGAACCACGTTTTTACCTAAAGATATAAATAGATAACAAAAATATAGATTTAGAATGTAATAAAGTCAGCCTGCTTGCAAGAAAGACAATAAACTTAAAACAAGAAAAATTTCCTAATACGATACTAGCTTATTCAGCGTGAAAAATCAAATAGTCATCGTACTTAACTGTTTAATATTAAACTTCTTTAAAAACTATTGATATGTATATATATATACCTGAGATTCAGAAAGATTTAGTGAAGTAGCAATGCTTATTCTTTCTGGCGTTGATAAATATTTTTGTTTGCAGAATCGTTTTTCTAAGCCAGCAAGTTGAACATCAGAAAACACAGTCCTTGCTTTTCTTCTTCTGCAATAATTCATTGTTATTACTTCGCTGTTTCGTAAAACGTCGGATGGAGGCAAGAGCGTGGATTGACCTGAAATATACCAACATACATTTTTTTATTAAAAATATCGAATGGAATTTATTTCTTTTTCTACTTTGTGTACAATTTACTGAAACTACTTCAATGAAGTATTTCTTATTTGACAGCGTATTTACAACAGACCTATTATTATTTTTTCACGCTGATGATTTCTTATGATGAACTTATGATTTTCTAAACTTATACGATATAAGGTTAATTTCGATTATAAATTTATCATCAAGATGAATTTTGTAAAACAAAATTTCTCATGTATTTTTAAAAAGGGATTATTTCTATACAAACAGTGATTTACAGAACTAATCTATTCCCATTCAGAGGTTTAATGATCTTTTCTGCTTTCGACAGATGCGCTAAGTGATTCGTTAGGAAATCATTTTGAAAATTATAATGATCACTTCAAATAAATTCGAACACATTTACACATTTTCAAAATGTAATTGCCAAATTAGTTGCTAAAATGCTAACACTATGCATAATAATTGACTAAAATATTTGTAAATGCTTATTCACTTTATTACATATCGGTTTTAAGAGGGGTTTTTATACAACCCTAATTAACGCGTTTAATTAAATGATCTTTCCTGTTTTAAAGAGATGCGCTGAGTGATTCATTGAAACATTTGGAAATGAATATTAATTCAGTTGATTTTTTTTGTTCAAAAGTGTAATAATGACAGTAAGGATATACAAGACGCGCTTTGAGTTTTATAAGAGCTTGCAAAAAAGCTGGCGAGCGAATAAGATAGCGTTTGATACTTGTCCAATTGTGTCCAACAATGGGAGACATAGTTGTGTATTGCAAAAGGGAAATGATACGGTTGATACAATCAAATGAACCATAAGATAGAGGAATCGCTAACATCAAATAATACTCAACATTTCATATTTTTGCATAAGACTAACTACAATTTCATTCGAGCGTGTAATTATAATACTTTTTCCCAACTAATTATCGCCGATAAAAATCTCATTACCTTGACCTTCCTTATTTCTTTATTGATCGCCAAACAGAGATAACAGAAATAAGCTAATTATATTTTCCAATTAGCATTCAAAGAATTTTGTTTTCGGCATTGTTGTTAGCTATTAGCGTCAGATAATCACGTATTAATCTCGTCCAATCCACTACGACGCTTCTAGAGCTGCCATTTATGGTATTTATATCCATACTTTCACATTTAATGCAAATTCTCCAAACCATCGCACCGAATTTTTGAAATTTCATTCCATGTAATTCGAATTATCATTTTTCTACTAGCTGTATATGTACAAGGTTTAGTGGGTGGTATCAGTTTTGAGCTTTTGTGTTAGCCTATCATTTATTCACACAAATCTAAACTGTATTTACGGATTATAGCAATAATTTGTCAACGCCAGTGAATCGAGCGACCCCCAACTGACAAAGTCGAAACATTAAGTGTTATCAATCACATACAAAAGCAATATATACTGCAATATATAAGCAATATATATAATATATACAATATAAAACTACGAATCAGGCTGATTTCAAAAAGGAATCAGATCTTTTAAAACTATCCTGGTTTTAAAAATTAGAAATTGATTATAAAATGTACCAACCTGAAGAGCTAATTGTAACGTTGGGCCTTGGTGCTGCAAAAGCGGGAAAATGTAGGCCGTATGGATTCAATCTTTGTATATCTGTCGATGTCATCATAAGAGGTAAACGAGAATTCGTTGAAGTAGAAGTTAACGGTTTCATGAACGGATGAACGTGTTGATGAGATAACGGTATAGTTGACGACCAAAGTGGTGATGTTGTACCAACTTCAAATAGATTCTCGTTTTGTTTTTGTGACGATTGTAAAATTGCATTCATTGCTGCATTCATGTATGCAAATGCAGCAGTTGGGATCGTTGTTTGTCTAGTTGATTTTACCTCTGATGTAGGCGAGACAAAGTGGGGCATTGTAAAACCTTGGGGGTATGGACTTGAACTATCCGAAGTAGCAACTCTTCTCGGCACAAACGGGCCTAGATGAGATGTAGGAGAGTATCTGCGTTCTCTGTCTTTGGAACATTTCCGATGCGATTCCTGACTATTCGCTATGTTTCCGGTCATTTCTGATTCATCTTCACTACTATTATTGGTCTTTGATAGTTTGTTTTGGCTTTCTGTCAAAATATCATCAATTCGAAACGATTTAGGGGGAGAACTCGATATTCTTTTAGCTTTCATCTCCTCACAAGCTATTTTGTGCTCTTTAGGATTCTCAAAGCTTTCAGTTTGGTTTACCATCTCCATTTCAATATAATATTCACTCTCTGAAATACTTTCACTAACAGCGCCAGTTCTGGAAATGATGGCTCGTCAGGGTAAATTGTCATTTATATATATGCGAGAATCCCTCAATTATAATCCGGCTATGTAGAGGGATATCAGCATTCGATTCAATCGTCTGAGACGTAATTATTGTTCATTTAGGAGAGAAATCAAAGTCACTCTGTTATGGCTAATCCACATGCTGGCATAAGTTTGTTCAAATCCTATTTCATCACAATGAACTATCATGTTTACTAGACGATTCTTGTTTTATTTGTTTTCATTGGCCATGCTTATTACATCGAAGAAACGCTCTTAACTGGCACACCTCGTCCACATGCCACATATGGTCAACCATAATCCAAAAACCAATTTGACTGGCTAATGAATCGATGCGATTAACTCCAACTAGGCGATTTCTGTAATTCCTAATTTAGTCTGCTCGAATGAGTTTTCCGACATCTATGTATGTTTTCGAGGATAAGACTTGTCGTATCCGTTTATGTTAACATGGCAATTAGTATTATTTCCAATAGAAGGCAAAACTCTTTTAATTGTGTAATGATTTTTATGATCGAGCAAACATTATAAGTCAATATTATGTAATTTAAAAAGGATTAAAATAAAAAACATTCCTAAATATCGAAGTCCATAAGTTTAAAACTAATGTGGACTTACGCTACTTTTGGCATGCTGTTCTAACTGAGAAACATTTCCCAGAAAAAAAAAATTATAAAATACAACCAACGACATGTACTAAAAAAAAGTAAGAACTGCAACATAGTTTTACATTTTGATTTCTAAACTAAAATCAAATATGTTATAGGTCAAGTTTATTGTTTACGAATGTTAGTTGAATGCGCTTCTTTTACAGTTTTTGGCATCTGATTGTCATGGATGGGATTTGTATTTCAAGGTATCAAAAAATAGTTAATCGCATATGCGGTGTGTTTATTCGCAAAAGCATGTAGATGCTTCAAACAATTCGGATTACAATTCAAACGCACAGTTATTGGTTCGTTTGTGTTTTTATACAAAGTGACTTTGTGAAACGTAACGTGATACATAAAACGAGAAATATAAATATCAATAGTTACTTGATTTTACTATCTAACGTAACTTTTTTAAACAAGTTACACATATTAACATATCATTCTGCTTATTATCAATTTTTGAATTCAATAGTTTTTTTTAACCTTAATACCATTCTAATTGAAGACATAGCTGTTTTGAAAATTTAATAACAAACGATTCATAGTAGATTTGACATCCTACTAAGTTATGCCAAACGAATATTTAGACTTAAATTTTTTTTTTTAAATTTGTCAAATTGATGCTCCGTTTGTCTTGAGATCAAAAATCATATTTTACAGTAAGAAACGGCGTATATCAAAATATTCTAACGTAAAAATGCAATTCGAAACGAGGATAAATTAGAGATTTCATTGCGACAAACAATTACCGAGTCGAGAGACTTTTCGTAATTTATTAGTATTATATTTGTCATTTGGCTAGTTAGAAATTCTGAACAATGTGGGGCAATGTTGGACGAACAACTTGTGCTATGTGGTTCCTAATATTAAATATCAACCCAATCGAAGAAACAACGGCGATGCTAAAATATACCTATTAAGTCAAGCACCAGAACTTCATCAAAGTTGATTGTATATATATATAGTCGGGTAGACGGTAGACTTTACGAATCTACATAAATAATTTTCACCGGTGTTCTAAAATCTAAATGAACAAGAAAAATAGCATGGAAACCCTGAAGGAATTAAAGTTATTTGACCAGAACCATTTCACGAAAAGTGTGTGAAATCTATAAAAATTATTTTCACAAGCGTTTAAGGCAAAAGTACTCTCCAGGAAACGTTGTCGTTAGATTTTGATTTTTTTAGCCCACACTAAGTAAAACATAATGTTTATTTTGTAATAATTTTCCTTTTTTAACACAAACCATATTCCGTTTGCCAAATTTCTAGTGATAAGTCATTGCCAAACAATAAAATCCAATACCATTCAATCGAGGAAATAAAAATGATACAATAATATCAGCATGTAGCCTACTTCACTCTGAGGGTCAGAGTAGATTGTAAATTTTTGCCTATCCGGCAACTCTCTCAGCGAGACTTCAGAAAATCAAAATGAATGCTCTTTATATGTTTGTGATATATGTGCGAATGATGTATGTATGTTAGATTTAAACCATCTTGATAATGACCATTTATCTGTTTGGACAAACCCAACAACGTAGAAAACTTTTTATGTGGCATTTTCTGCATGTCACAAGCAATAATTAGTACAATACCCTTTTTGAACATAAGTCTTAACTATTGTTTCGACACTAGGACATGAATCAAGAAAGCTCAAAGGCACATCAAAATATTGAATGCCAAGTTACTAACCGAATCAAATAAGCTTTGACAATCAGGCATTTGAAAATCAAGGGGCTTGTCAATGATCAGCGGTGAGATTTTGTGTACCCCGCCATTGTCAGCTCTAAAGATTTAAATGCCCGACAGCAGAGCTTATCTATTATAGATTAGCTAGATACACTGTGGAAGTATGCCAAAAAAATTAAACCTCAAACTCTTTAGGATTTAATGTAAATTTGGTACTCTGTTTGCGACAAATCATTCTACTTAACTTGGAAATCTATAAAAGGCATCAACACCATGGAAACCTCCTAGACTTGTATGTTCATTCATTGTAATTATTATAACATAGCCAAGCATATCCACCGACGTGAAAGTGAAGCTTCAAACCTTAGAAAAATGCTATCAATTTTTTGCAATTCTGGTTAGACAAATCCAACAACGTGGAAATTTAAATTTTGTGCAGAACATAATGAATATGTACATGAACATAACATAACATTTTGCAAAATTGTTAATATTCTTGTTGTCGTCCAGTTGCGTATCAACATAAAATGGCGCCCATGGCAAAGTTCAAATATGCGCCCTCTTGATCGTTAGTCGACAATTTTTAATAATGATAGTAGTTGAAACAAAAAAAACAGCCATGGCTGTCATACCCTAGATACGCCCCTGTTGTCGTCGGAGATAAGTTATAGGACTCCACTTCGCCGCAACACTTTCACATGACATAATGTTTAAAGCACTGCTTGCTTGATTTTCCTAGTGTCAACCCAGTCAACCCAGGAGTATTCAACAAATAACATACTAGTGTACATTTCTCCTGTGTTTAGATTTGGTTATTATGCATTTTCTCATTTTAAATTGCGTTTTAGAGGTCTTGCCCAATTCTGATCGTGTTCACTCTTTTGTGTGCTTTTGTGTACATTTTTTATATCTGGTGGGTGATAAGATAAGATTGACATATTTATTCCGGAGCAGAGGAAAGTCGATAAAACAGTTTGAACATATGGCGAATCACGCCTCTCGTCCGGTTACCAGTTTATGTCAAGTATTGGGTTAGTTAGCCAGTTATTTGTTCCAGATGCATAGACTTGATGGTGGGTGGGCACGTACTTGTACGATTTTAACTTTATTGGACACGTCAGTGTACATAACGATCGTTTTAATATTATGTAGTGTAGTTGTTGTTGTTATTATTCCTCTCTTTCGTCATGATGATGAAATCGCTTTTCTCTTCGAATACTGGACCAATTGCTTTGAAATTTTCAGTGGTTGAAGATTGTTTTTTTTTGCTAGAAGGCTATTACTTTTACTTATTTCGAAAATTTCTGTAGAATTCAAGAGATTCGTTTTTTATGTGTCAGAATAAAAATAGCGACACCTTGTGACGTGTTCATATATTTGAGCACAGATCTCTTGTTTTAAGTTATATTCGCCTACCAGGTATCTCTGCATTTTGTTCGTCTGTTTACTTTTTGTGTTGTTTATGTCAGAGAACCGGAATAAATAAAATGTTCACAGCCTGATATGACATCCGATATCAGGTATCTCTGCATTTTGTTTGTCTGTTTACTTTTTGTGTTGTTTATGTCAGAGAACCGAAATAAATAAAATGTTCACATCCTGATATGACATCCGGTAGAATTCTTTTCAACATTTGTTTCAGTTTTGCGGTAGGCGATACCTATACCGAATACCGATCATATATTGTATTCGGCGGAGTCAGTCAATCAGTAGATTATTTTTTCACCAAACTGAAAATATACTTGTTATGAACGATAAATAAAAAATTACTAATGTTACTTCGAGTATTTTTTATAAATTTGAACACCATGGGCCGTGGCGTACCAGGCCTGCTTCGTCGCACTATTTTTGCGCCCGACTACAAAAAGTCCACGAGCTCGCTCACCATTAACAACAGTACAAAACTCGATTTAACTAATCAGCGATCATCCATTTTTTTCCAATTTCTTTAAGCAATATTTTTGGTCCTGAAAATATATGAATGAACAATTGGCATTTGTTGTATATTCAAAAAGACGTCACGTAACTCCCTTTTTCTTGAATTCTGCGCACGCATACGATCACGTGACACGAGGTCATCAGTCATAAACTTTGGTCTTTGACCATCAACTCTTTGACCTGTGACCTTCTGTAGTTGTTATTGTTGTTTTAACTTACTATAACTATGATTTTAATGTAAATCTCGTCGAATATTCGTTATTTTTAATCTAGTGTCTTCATTCAGCCAATTGTCTTTAGTGTACAAACACTGAAATATGGAGAAACTGGTAGTATCAGCTGAAACAGATGAAAGATCGACCATCGAAGAAATCCCGGCAATTGAGGTGAGTGTAAAGTTCAATCAATCAATTCAGTTGTAATTTGCTGAGCTGTGCAGGCGGACACTTATCTGCATGCACATGACATGACATTTGTACATCTGCAGATCTTCAAGTCTTGCAGACATGACTAAAAAATATTCCGTTTTTTTTGTAAAATGAAAAGACTGAAAGAGCTTCGTGGAATCGAAATCTTTCAAATTGTTTACTTGCATGAGACAAGCATGGTCAAAACTGAAGACCAAACGATCCGACTAGGCTGCTATTCCAGTATTCCCAATACATTCTAAAGTAATAATTTTAAATTTGTAATGCAAAATATATTGTATATTTGGCCGACGATAAAACTCACTAACCGCAGCAGATAGACTACCGGTATATCTCATATTGGGTTCGTTGCGACGAGAAAACGAGGGGTGATCGTCTGCGCGTCTTGAATGACAGTTCGTATAGTTTTAAGGGCCTTATTACGTCACTGTAACGTCGTAGTGATGTAACTTTTAGATGACGCAGTCACATGGGGTGTTAGGATTGACATATGCGAAAATTGTTGTGCTACGCCCCCTAGTTGAGGTATACAATGATTCGATAGGCTCTTTAAATTTATAAATCTCAGATATTAAATCACAGAATGATGGTCTTTTTATTTATACTGCCAGCTTTCATTATGTCTTGTTTCTAGAGGCATGCGTAACCATTTCTTTTATTTAAAAACCCTTTTTCAATTCTCTCATGTTTCATTTTCTAACGCATTGTTCAATTTAATCATAGGAAAATGATGGATTGATTTTAAATGAGAATGCTGAAAATATGGAGGAAGAAGGTGAATCTGCTGTCCTGCAGCCAAAACAACTTGTTTTAGAAGTTCAAGAAGATATGCCTAAACAAGATGATACTGGAGATGTAAGTTATTTTTCATTAAAATGATAACAATTATAATACTAATTTAAAGTGATTCCGAGGCTTGCTACACCCTAACAGAAATATATTTTTGTAACGTTTCGTACTAGTTACAGAAATATATTTATGTTAGTCTGCAATAAGACTTGAATTACTTCTAATAGTCACCTTTATTCTTGCTACCAAATTCTTGCATTATATGCATATGAATCAGATAGCTTGATGGCATAGAATAAGAAAAGTAAGTAGCTGATTCTTCATGAACCCATTCCATAGCATTTATTATACTTATGCTCTTGTAAAGGATCTACAACTGATATATTATAAATTTCTTTTTCTAGATTTTCAAAAATTATGTTAAACAGATTTCCTGTTCTTTTTTATTAAATATTCTATGTTTATCTGTAAGATCATCTTTTGAAAAGTGATTTAGATTTGTTATAATTTATACCACAGAATTATAGTAATATAAATTATTTTGATATGAACATTGCTTTTGTTGTCACAGATATAGGTGAATCTCAATGTGGTTAAGAATATTATGACAACTTTTCTATTGTGAAAGTAACTTTTATAAAATAAATGTTGTATTGCAATACTGATAGGGAAGTATCATAATGATATGTGAAACTAAGGCGGTAAAATTGTACTGAAAAGTTACTAAAAGATTCTAGGAACAAAGGGTAGCTTCGGCCATCATACATAGGTGAAATTGTTCATCCATCTTGACCTTGAGTGAATAAAGTAAGAAGAGCCATATTTTATATCTAACGATGTCTGCTGACTCTTGCTTAGTAACAAGCAGCACCCCTTTAGGGATTTTTTATTATGTTTATTTATCTCCCATGGTCCTCATTGTGCTTTAGCTCATCGTGATTCGAAGCTGTGTTAAATCTTATCATTTTTAATGTTTCTAGGATTTGTGCAAATAATTAGCTATCTGAACTTAGAACTTTGAACCCTATAATTTTGAATATTCATATAATTACAGGATGCATCAAATGATCAAAGTTTATATGTGATTCAGTCAGATCAATCTACTGGGCAGGCATTCGTTACAAGTCAGGGTAGGTTTGCTGTTAATGTATATGGGAGAAAATATTTATAGTGGCATATACAAGGAGAATAATATATATGGGTATAATATAAAAATTCAATTCCAATACTTCTTCCATATTGAGATTCTTATTTCAACTGTATTCAATTCTAATAGAAGTCTATTATTGTCTCATTTTGTAGATTGCTTTAATACTCTTTTTATATTGAGGCCAATGTATTTTTAGTTGTTGTTCGTGTTACTAAGTCAATTGTAAATTTATTATTTATCATGTTGTAGTGTTTTTGAGTCCTTGTGTGGTGAACTGTTTATCTTTTGTTCTGCATTTTTTATACTACTTGATTCATTTGTGACATGTGTCACAAAAATGCTTGAATAAAAGATAGTCAAAGAGTTTTGCAGCAACAAAAGAGCAGAATCTCATTTGACATAGCAAAATTTTTATCAAGTTTTGTGCGAAAGCATAGCATAAAACAGACATGGGCAAACTACGGCTCACGGCCAAAATTCGGCTCGTTGAATAGGTCAAATTTGGCCGCCCTGATACTGCCACAACTATGGTGGCCCATCGATGTCACGCGTAAAATTTAAAAAAAAAAATTAAAAAGCGAAAATAAAAAAATAGTTGTGAAAAAACATAAAAATAATTGAAAAAAAAGAAATGAAAAAAAAAATTAAAAATAAAAACGAAAAAAAAAAAAATTAAAAAAAAAAAATTGAATAAAAAGAAAATAAAAAGGTTGACAACATCGTTGTCACGCGTTTTTATTTTTAGAAAATTTGATGCTGCTTGGGACCAGCGTTGTCAGGCTTAATCCTACACGCACAAATGTGTTTCCTGGGTTTCTAATATTCAATAAATTCAACATGAAAATGTTCTATAAATACTCCATGCTACAAGTTCAACCACAAGCAATATATTTATAATAATGATAAGAGAATATAGAATTGAATACGAAAATTTGTTTTTACGTGTAGAAGGTAATTTAATTGGAAAATGCTGCTTACTGCTCAGTTGTCTGGACACTCGTGCGATGCCGGTACGGTACCGTCTGACCGTACCGGTATCCATGCAATCACTCATGAAAGAATGGGAGATACGGATAGTCTCGTAGAATATAACTACTGAAACACTCTCTGCGCCTGCCCCATACCGTACAGCCGTAACGTACCGATCCAGACAAATGATAAATCGCCCGTACTCAACCATTTATTTCAATCCATACCTCGACTCACTATATTCTACTAGGACTTCTTGTTGAACTTGTAGCATGGAGAATTTATAGAACATTTTCATATTGAATATTGCTCAAGAAAATCAGTAGTGAGTTGGAAACCCAGGGAGCACATTTGTGCGCGTAGGATTATGCCTGACAACGTTGGTCCCAAGCAGAAGCAAATTTTCTAAAAATAAAAAAGCGTGACAACGATGGGCCACGAGGCGGACCATCGTTGTCAACCTTTTATTTTCTTTTTATTCAAATTTTTTTTTTTGGATTTTTTTTTTTTTAATTTTTTTTTTTCCCGTTTTCTTTTTCGTTTTTATTTTCAATTTTTTTTTTTAATTTTAATTTTTTTTTATCATTTTTTTTTCAATCATTTTTGTGTTTTTTCACAACTATTTTTTTATTTTCGGTTTTTTATTTTATTTTTATTTTCAATTTTACGCGTGACAACGATGGGCCACCATACACAACCAAACTAAAACCAAATTTTGATGTTTTAGTTGAAATTAGCTCGAGGAATTTGTTGAGATTGTGATTAAATTTAGTTTTGGCATGAGGCATATTGTTTTCCACTTTTGCTTTTGTAACACTGTAAATATTGTTCATAAAATGTAACTTTTTACGTCACCTTTACATGGCCCGCATGTCTAGATGGGCACAGTTTTTGTGGCCCTGGTCGAAAAACCTTGCCCACTCCTGTAATGGACTGTTATTTAATATTGGTGATATTTTTTAATTTTAGAAGCTACTTCCCAAGCTGGTAATGTTCTCACTTTGGAACAATTAACTCCTGGGAAATTGATTGAACTTCAAAATAAGGGTTTGATACAGGTAATTATTTTATGAAGTTGAATATTTGGTGTGGCTTATTTCTTTGAATAAAACGTTCTGGATTATTTTCTTTTCGGTTTACCATTGTCTAATCATCAATTATACCATAGGTAAGGTGGTGAGCATGGGGTTGAACCTGATATCTGTAGGCTGCTATGCCTACATGGTCAAGTTCAAAGCTCAAACCACTACAATAGGCCTCCACTAAACAGTTCGTAAACCATCAGAGCAATCTGTAGATCAACTTGATGTCGGACAAATTTATAGCAAAATTTCATTGAATATAACAGATTTCTACTGGACCAATCGCAAATAATACAGGTGGAAATAATGGTCAGAATTCTATCCACATAGCCGTTGAACCATCTAATATGCTTCGTACTTCATCGTGGATGCAGGAAGCAAATGAAATCAAATCAAAAGGTTCTAATATCATAACATTTGAAGTATGTGCAGTGTGTGGAGACAAATCATCAGGTTGGTTCCATTGAACTCATAAAGGATACTTGATGGGGTAGGAGATAATTTTCAGGATATTGGACAGCTTTATCAAATAGGAACCATAGCTTCTCGTTAAGTTGGCAGTTCAAATCGGGTGGGAGAATAGTTAATTAGTTATTCAGTTCAGATGCATGAACTTGATCATAGAGGAAGCTGTAACTCTGGGTGAGTGAACCACCCTATGACGGCGATGAGTTCAGCAATTCTTGGCACATAATTATCGCTGTATTCGATGCTACGAACACACCCAAGGTAATCTGAGGTGCTGTGGCTAGTGTGTTCCTGGAGATTCGCACAATGTGTCAACTGCCGAGCCATGATGGACAGCAAGTCAGCTAATGTTTCATGTTATCTCGTCTTTCTCCAAAAAGATTTTTTTCTTAGGGATTTTGATGGTACATTCTTTTAATTAGACAATAACTTATTTCAGAAGAAGAAATGCTAATTTCTCAACCAGACTTCAATCAAAATTGTCTTAATTTAAATACAATGTTTTTTGAATGTTCTAGTTGTATGCAATAATTCCTGACTGTCGATGTAAATGTACGCTTGCAATTACTGTATTTCATATTTTGTACTGAAGATAAGTAACATTGTTTATGTTTACATTATATAGGAAGACACTATGGGGCCAGGAGCTGTGAAGGATGCAAGGGGTTCTTCAAGCGTAGCATACGAAAAAATTTAGCCTATTCTTGTAGAGGAAATCGTGAATGTGATATTACAAAAGCTCACAGGAACAGATGCCAGTACTGTAGATTACAAAAATGTTTGCTGGTTGGAATGAAATCTGAAAGTAAGTGATGAGTAGTTAGAGATGGAGGTGCCTCCTATAAGAATCACTACTTTTCCACTATTTTTGTGGCTTCGTTTATAGTTAATGCCAAATTTTCCTGATTTTTATGAATTCCATCACCATGTAGATTCTTCAATGATCTATTCATTCCAATGATGTCATGCTGCGTATGCCCGTATGTCAAATTATTTACTATGGTTCATAAAGTATAATCCAGGGGTGGGCACAATTTTTTAGTATAAGAGCCGCATGCTGCAAGTCAGAACTTTAAAAGAGCCGCAGAATTTGTGAATTTATTATTAATATTATCGAAATACTATGAACAGAAAAGGAATTCACACAAGAGTCTAATAACAATAAATAGATAAACAAGGCAACTCTGACAACTCTGTTTTCATCTTCGTACTTTTGTTTTTTTAATTTTGTACACATCGCACAGTAACTTAGTAGACTAACTAACCGCAATCAAGCTGCAATACCGCCGACGCATCAATAAACATTGACCACTGTGACGAAAGATTTGCTGACTCGACTGACTTAAATTCAATGCTACAGCGATTTTCATACTAAAACATAATTTGTCCTAATTATTGACGAAAACTTCTTTACGACTTTTAATAAATTAAAAGAGTTTACATTAAAGTTTTTCTCTTAGTTAAAATTTGGATAATAATTTATGTTAGCGAGAAGAGCCGCACAAAAAGTCTGGCGAGTCACGGTGCGATGTGCCCACCCCTGGTATAATCTATGACTGATAAGCAAGTAGACTTCATTGGATATCCGCTTCTAGGAGACCCTTATTATCAGTCTGTCCGTGTATCTGTCTGTCTGTCTGTTTAGATGTAGCGTCTTAACGGCTGAACCAATCTGGATGAAATTTTTCACATGAGTTATCCAGCCACTTTAGTATTGTGTGTTTCATAGAAAGTCCGGATGGAGGTTTCGTTTCCATGGAAACGGCGAAAAACGCGCCGATCGTTATAAAATTTCAATTTTTTTCACAATTTATCGCCGTTTTCTCGCCAGCCAAGTCGAAAACCAGGAACGCTACCTTCCGCATAGCAAAATACTCTTTCCTATAAGTTATCTTCGGTCTCGATACTCCGTAAACTAGAGGAGCCTTAGGGATTTTAGTGAAGATTATTTTTTAATTTCCAGCCACAATATACCAGTCACGCGAGTAAGACTACGAAATGCGCAGCGTTTGGAATAAACTCAGCGGAACGCGCAGCGTTCAAAATGAACTGGCATTTTTAGTAGTGTCTCCTATTATCAGTTATTAAAATGAAATGATGCGGGCCTCAAGCAATGGCGGAGATCCAACTGCGCGCCTACCGGCTTGTTCTTGATTTGTATTGAAATGCATTTGACTTTTATTAATTTTTGCACATCTTTGTTTGGTTGCAGGTGTACAATGTGAAAGAGCACCAATTATTAGAGTGGATGGGTCACATTTGGCTTCAGACAGACAAAAATCATATGTGAGACTTTATTGAATATTCAACCCAAACGCATGTTTAAAAGAAGAAGTATTTTCTAAATCTACTCCTCATTTCAAAATTAAATAAGTTTTTTATATACAATATATAAACTATTATGCAACTGTTCAAAGCACTCATCAAAATCTTCTTTTCTTATTTTTAGACTCTAGAAGGCCAGGGAAGTTTGAGTACTCTCGCTAATGTCGTGTCTACAATAGCAACCATGAATAAAAATGATCCGAATCGAGACCAGTCTTCATTGCATGAAACTATTAAAAGCGGGGATCCTGATAACTTGGATAAACATATGGGACTGACAGAGTGAGTGTTTATGTCTCTGCCCGTTTTTGTTTATTTTTTGTTATCGCTCTCTCATATCATTTATTTTAGGGGAGGAAAGATGATATAATTGCTGCTCACTTTTTACAGCCCACCTTTTGTTTATCAGTCCATGTCAGGTGCATGACAAATTTCGACATTGCCTCTTTCATTTCCAAAATGATTTAAAGCAAATTCAAGACAAGACTTATCTTTTCAATTAAAATATTATTATGCTTGGTGAAATAAATTTCTGTTGAATCCATTGCTTTCTCCTATGTTTATTTCTCATTTAAAATCTTATTTTTTTATTGTATTCAGAGCGTTGTCAAGTTTAAGCCAAACAATAGGTGCTTTACCGCCAACCTCGTCACAAAAATCATATTTACTCGACATATCTTCAGAGGATTCCTTATCTCGTCCTGTTGTTGATTTCGAGGTAAATTAATCATCATTGTTCGACCTTATTTATTCAATTACCATATAAAATTATTCAAAGGTTTAGATAGACCGGCTCTTCTCTTGCAAAGTGGGAGATACATTCTATGCGTAGTACTGTTCTTTTTCCTTTATATTTTGACATTGATAATTTTGTTTCTTCATTTATTTAAGTTTGATATTATTTTTTCATATAGCAAAGTTTGAAGAATTTTAATTAGTATATAAAAACAGCTCTTTTCAACTGAATCAAACCAGTTTTACACACAATACGATATTCAGTCTCTTGTGTCTTGTCTCAGTTACAACTCCAGGCCAGATATGGGAATACTTAACCAGTTAATTCTTTTATACTCACTCCAAGCCCAAATTCGAATCGAACTCGCGAGCCCAGACAGGGTTATTAGTACTCAGCGATCAACTGACAGGAATGTTTTGAACGTTTATCAGAATTAGCCCATAGGTAATTTTACCATATTTGAACAGGATTTTTGTGAGGTAATAAAATTATGAATATAAAATATTTCTGACAGTAGATTTATTACATTTCAATCGTTCGGTCAACTTTCGTAGAAATCTTTGAATTTTTTCCAACAGCTTTTACTCTGATATTGAGTCGGAATAATTTAAATATGGAAATTATAAGAATAGAATGTAAAGAAATTTATAGCACTTTTTTTTTTAAATGCTTCTATTTGAACAATTTAGTGAAAAATATAAATCTAGATATTTACAAACCATCTGTTGACATATTGTTTACAGGAGGCTTTGATGCTTGATAACAACTTCGATTTCAAATTAAGCATGCCCGATCCCATACCAGAACAATTGAATGTTCATTATATTTGTGAATCTGCATCAAGATTGTTATTCTTATCTGCACAATGGGCCAGATCTATATTTGCGTTCCAGATACTTGGGTGAGATTTTTGTCGAGGGCTTTAGAAAACCTGTTTGTATCTTGACATAGATATTTCAAACTATGCTCACTTATTGTCATTCTATTCCCATTTTAGGGATTTCGATTTTTACATAAATTGTGTATGATTCGTGAGGGTGTAGAAATATTGTGACGCCAAGGAAACTATGAAATTGTTGGCATTTTAAAAAATGTAAAGTTTTAATATGACATATTTACCCGCATTTTTCACTGGACAAGGCTCTGCACAAGCATCCACTGATATGTAAGAAGCTACTATACTTTGGAAGAACTGGAATATCTCTGGCCATGCATTGCATACCCTATTTATTACACCCTGGAAGTCTAACGCTTTAACTACTTGCCCATTGCACCTGCAAATAATTATATTCAATGGTTGTTGAAAACTTGTCTGAGAAAGTCTGAAAGCAAATACAGGGTCATTTAATACAATTTTCTGCACTCAAAACTTTTTCTGTCTCCTTTGTTATATTATTATTTGTGCACACTTGTAGTTGAACATGACGGAATGTATGTATTTTAAGTGTTGTTCCCTTGTTTTCTCATGCTCTCTTCACTGCAACTAATTCGATTATTTTCAGTAATGATTGTCACACTGCTTTATTGAGAGAATGTTGGAACGAATTATTTACAATAGGACTCGCTCAATGCAGTAAACAAATGAAACTTGATTCAATATTAGCTGCCATTGTACAACATTTACACACTGGATTGAAAGAAGGTACATTTCTTCATATTAACTTATGTTTATCTCGTTGCTTTGGCACTAATGGAATTAATAACAGATAAAACAATTGAAATTTCCTAAAAAATGCACACACAGGCATGTTACATTAAATTACCGTCCTATATTTTTGCTTGGACCAAGTCGTTCGAAATAACAATCCAGTGCAAGCTCAGTAAATATTCAATATTAAAATTCCCATACTTACTAATTACATCTTGGTATTTTCCCCTGTGTTGGCTTGAAATACTTAGCATGTATTGATGTCTGATACAATGATTCAATAACTATCACCCTGTAACTCTAACTCTAGTCACTCCCAGGACTTAGAATTCCAGTAACTCCTTTTGACAGTTGGCCAGTAAATCGGGGTTGAACATCTACTTTTTATTTCCACATCACTATAATTATAGCACACTTCACCTTTTGAATACAATATATATACTATTTTAATTTATGATGCAATATAATTATAGAAAAATTGACACAAGAAAGAGTTACAGAAGTCATCAAACACATTGTTCAACTTCAAGAGTTTGTGAGTGATTTAACAAAAATGGGATTGGATCACAGGGAATATGCCTTCCTCAAAGTCATGGCATTATTCAGTCCAGGTAATTATCCGTCCTATTCTTTGCCATGTATGTTCTTGGGCTCTAACCTTGGAAGACAATAATTATTTTGTTTAAAATGTGTTTTACGGAATTGGGGTTGGGAAAACTTTTTTTTGCAAATAGTGGACCGATTGATTTCTAATTTTTATCCTTTAATGAGGATAGGTTAGAACAGGGGTTCCCAAACCGCGGCCCGCGGGCCAATTACGGCCCGCGAGACGATTTCAAATGGCCCGTCGAACATTAGTGAAACTATAACCGTGAATAAATACTAACACGTTTAACAATTTAAATGTGTTCATCCTTTTATGTCGTAGATGCCGCCAATTGTTACGTCATTATCACAATTTAAGCACGTGTATATCGTAACAATTCAATTATACCGGTATCATAACTTACGTACCGGTATTAGGATTGCGTACGGCAGTCTTTTAGGTATCACGTATCAGCCCTATATTAAGGAAGCTTGAAGATATCACAAAAACGATAACTAGACACTGAAAACAGGCGTTTTTTGGATAAATGGCAGCGTTCTTATTTCTTTATTGAAAAGAATCAAACTTCAGCGATTTGTCTTCTTTGCCAACAAACTATTCTTGTTCTATTCCTGTTAAACTACGGTCCAGACTGACAGATAATCACTTAGAGTGCGGTATTGCAAATACAATGTAACAAATTGGAGCCACGTTTTGAACATCAGTTTTCGAGCAAACCCCAATTACACGTATCTAAAAAATGCAAGTAAATTATGTTGGCTATTCGTTTTTTTTTTTAATATTCATATACATTGAGACGTTTTTTTGTTTAACATCGCTATCTGGGGTCATCTCTTATCTCTGGGGTCAACCTCTGTGTCAGTAGATAATATTGGTAGTACAACTGCAAAAACCATACTCACCAGAGATAACAGTTTTTTATAGACTTCAACTACAAATTTAATTAGATAACAAACCTTGGGTGTCGCTGCCTGATATAATCAGTTCCCAGCGATTTCCCTTCCCAGTAAAATGTGTGTCAATTTTACTTTTTTCATAATTTCGTTTGTTATTTTTACTGGATGGAAAAAATAAACTTGACCATGATATGAGTAGAAATTTATTCGAAGCCGTACTCCAGATGAGCAAGTAACTTCATTAGTCGCTATCAGTTACAAATCCTTTTTGAAAATCGTGCTTCTTATTCCTCGGATATTCATTCACCTAACTATTATACTTATGAATTTTATTACATAACAAACTGCGATACTGGGTGTATCTAAAATCAATCTTGCAGCCTATTTTGGGGCCTATTTTTCAAAATTTTCTCAGGGCGCTTAAGCGCGCCCTGAACCCCAGCCTTTCTGTCGGGCTTTTTTGGTCATCCCGCTTTACTGGCCCGCGAGTATCCTCGCCTTGAAATTTTGGCCCGTGGCCAAATAAGTTTGGGAACCCCTGGGTTAGAAGAAATGGCTAGAATATTACTTTTATTTATTTTTTTCAAATTTTCTAGTCCTATGTTACTCTATATTTCAATTCAAATTTTGCTATTTAATTTTAATCTAAGGGAACACTTTTTATGATGTATGGGAACACTTCATAGGACTATTCTGCCCATATATTTGAGCAGCGCTTACGATACTTGCCTTTTTTTCAGATCATGTTAGAGCAAAGAGCAAAGCACAAGTTCGAAAGTTTCGATCGAAAGCTTTACAAGAATTCCGAGAATATGAAGAAAAAATTTATCCAGACGATCCTGAAAGGTGAGGACGAAGCTAAATATTATTGAGTTCTCTCTAAATCAGGGCTCTCCGACACGCAACCCGCGTCTTGATTGGGATGTTTCCACAAAAAACTAAAATAGTACGATGTCAACTTTTAGTAAGTTTTATCGTGTCATTTATCATCAAGTGTCCGGTCCGACAAACTGTAAAAAGTGGAGCAAAAATTTCCCACTGTTATTTCACTTCATCATGTTCATGTTTTATTCTATTGTTATAATTCAATAATGAATACAATAATTTCATTTTGCATGTTCATTGTGATGAAATAAACGAGTTTCGGTCCGTTCATTATGCCCGAAGAAAGGTTTGCGAAGCTAATTGCACATTCCAGTTGCATGCCTGCGATGTTTGGCAGTTCTTATATTTATGAGCATTTTTTTTTCAACTATGAAAGTTAGCATTTGCAGGCTATCTTAAGACTAGCAAACCAACGCAAAATAAGGCCAAACATCGAAACCAAATATCCAGCACAAGTAAATGAATATGTTTCATGTCTCGTTTGCTGTAAGATTCAAGTGTAATTCAACACAGTACATTCAGATACTCATTTTTGTACCTAATTTCTTGGTTTGCGACCCGCGTGGCCAATGGATTTCAAAAAGTGGCCCGCGACGTGTTTTGAGTTGGAGACCCCTGCTTTAAATTATGAATTATTATTTAATAGTAAACCAAAGTTTTCCGTTTTCTTTGTATACAATGGCCATTCTGGCCAGTTTTCAGCTATTCAAATTCTATTCATACTATTTATGGATTATTTTATCCAGAAATTTATTCCAACTTCATGTAGTTAATATCCTAGTGAGCACCATTTTTTTTTCTACAGAGTTTATTTGACTTTTACTGTTGTTGCTCCTTTGACGAATCTTGAGTTTTTCATTGCTAGATATAAATAGCAGTGAATATATAAATAGTGTTGAAATATAAATAATGTTGAAAAACATCAGTAGTTGATGTTTTATTAGATAATGGTTTCATCGGAATAAGACGCTATCAAAGATGTAGATGTTTTTAAGGTAATTGGTTGAAAACAAATAACATGCAATCAGAAGGAAAAGAGTCTTATCTAGTGAGTAAAGCTGTGGGGATCACTCAACTGCTGAAAGGCATCAGTAAATTTTGTTTGATGTGACTTAATTTTAGTTCGACTAAACTAGGTAGTGAATTCCTAACTACAGAGGCTCTTGGAAAAAGCTTATGGCTTAAATTTTCTTTGCGAAGAAGGCAGTGAGTAAATAAGATCTTGCAGCTAATATGGTACAACAGTTGAAAACTTACAATGCACTATTCTTTGAATTTTTTCTATATGTTTTATAACACAGTTATTTACTATTTTCAGGTTGATAAATTTGCTTCTAAAACTACCTGTTATCCGAGGAATGAACGGGAGCGTCACAGAAGAATTATTTTTTGCCGGTCTGATCGGAAATGTTCAAATAGACTCGATAATTCCGTATATTTTAAGAATGGAAACTGCTGAATACAGTTCAGGGTTAGTGACAGATAGTGGTGACGAAAAACAATCGGGAGATGAGTTTAGCGACGGCAATGGAGCAAAGAAATACGTACATTATATTACAGAAGGTCAGAATATTGCTCAAACGACAACAAGCATTATCATCTCCTCAAATGATGAAGGACTACTCTCTACAGATAATGTATACACACACGCATCGAAAGACAGTAAAGGCATATCAGGAAAATGGTCAAATGATGTTGGCTTTGAAGACAGATAACCCGGTTGGTTGCTAACATGGTGCAATTGGAATTGAGCTGTGGCTTTTTGATTCATATAAAGTTCTATTTGATTGTGGCCAATTATTAGCACAACAACGAAGTCTTATGTTTTACAAGGGAATTGCATTTTTATAATGTCAAAAATTTAGAATTTTCGACCCTTAACAATCACTTAAAAAGTCAAAATATTGCTGAATTTGATCACATATTCTTTTATTTTTTTGGACAAATTCAAATTTTCAGTCAACAACTTAAAATTAATATAACATATATCGTTCATTTAAATATGTTGAAGATTTCTGAAGACTAAACAAAATATTGATTGAATATCATTGATGTTAGTCATCTGAAACTACATCACAAATATGACTACACCTTAAATTCATTGTGAATCAATTCTACCTTGGCCAAGTACGTGCTTAAGTAGTTATCCAACATACATTTTGGAATTTGTTGCAAACATGAGCACAATGATCAAAAACCATGTTGTGGTATGGGTTCTGTATTCAGTCCTAAATGCCACTTTTACACACATTTTCCATATACTGTCAAAGCATTGAAATGTGTAGGCTGTTCTCTTTTACTGACTGTTGTTGGTTTTATGTTTTTGTTCCTTGGATAATACAGAAATTGTTCCTTCAGTTGCAGGAACAGTTGTATTTTTCGTTTGAGTCCTTTGAATGTTGTCTCAACATAGTTTAGTTCAACTAACATAGGGGCATACTTGTTTTGCCATCAGATATAGGAGATAGATTGTGTTTCGACTAATTTGATTTCTTTTGAAATAATCATACACCCAAAACCAGAAAACTTGAGGTATTAAAAAACTAATGCCAACTTGGAGACTTGGTAAGGTTGAAATTACCAAATAGGCAAAACATTTGTGGTGTCTCCTCTTAACGTCTAAATGCTATCAAACGCTTTTGAAAGGTCACAACATATCAATCAATCATTTATTTTGGTTCTCTGACATATACTATACAAAAAGTAAACGGACAAAACAAAATGCAGAGATACCTAAGAGAGGGGCATAACTCGAAATAAAGTTAAAAAGCGTACAATTTACAATCGGGCAGTACTTTGTAGGCAATTTAACAAAAACAGCAAATATGAAGTAGATAATTGAATGTAGTAAGCTTCCAACAACTTCTTCAGTCTTTGGTTGATGAAAATTTGAACCAAATGTTGGTATCCAAATAGGATTTATTGAGAGATCACCAGGATTAATATATAAATGAAACCGATTTTAAATACAACATAATATAGCTACAAGTTTAAAACAGTTGGCACTTTTCTCATAAAAGAAGTGAAAAACTAATATGTCTATTGGACACGAGTATGACTACAAATAGGGTTAAGCGGGTCCCATTCAATTGGATCATCAATTGGACCCGAATGCTTGGAATAGGGTCCCATTCAATTGGATCAGGAGCTACCTGCAAGACAGGAAACAAATTGTGCAATATGACAACTCATTCTCTACAAATATTTGTGTCATGAAGCACGGAGTTCCACAAGGATCTTTACTTGGCCCATTATTTTTTCTAGCTTACATTAATGACATGTCCAGGTGTCTGAAATCCTCTGAGTCGATCATGTTTGCTGATGACACTGACTTGATTCTTCATGGGAAAAACCTTGAAGATCTACTCACAGTTGCAAACCAAGAACTAACCAACATTCATAGCTGGATGTTGGTTAACAAATTATCTCTTAATGCTAACAAAACTAAATTTGTATTATTCCACCCAAGCAAGCATAAAAAGTGTGAGTTGTTCAAAACCACTACTGCTCAATGACAATGAAATTGAAAGAGTGAAAGAAATAAAATTTCTAGGAGTTATCTTTGATGAAAATCTATCATGGAAATCACAAAATGTTGCATGTTATTGGTAAACAAAAAGGAACTTGGCAGTTGCTGCTAAAGTATCCCAGTGCGTTAATCAATCAGCTTTACTAGCAATGTTTCAATCTCTACTACTAAGTCATATCCGATATTGTAGCTCAGTCTGGCTCCATGGTAATAAAACACTTGTCTCGAAATTGCAAAGCATTTGTAATAATTTTTTAAGAATTGTCTTTAGGAAAGTAAACGTGAAAGCGTAAATCATTTCTATAATCGCTAAATATACTCAAGGTTGAAGACATAATGAAATTTGAAGTATTATCATTAGTTTATGATTTTCATGACAACTCATTGTCAAACTGCTTTTGACGACATACTAACCAAAACCACCTCCAATCCGAAGAAGTAATTCCAATTTATTTATACCGTTTATGAGTAAATCTGTGAGCCAGCATGCCCTATGCTATAATGGACCTAAGCTATGGAACTCTCTCCCCTTGAATTTGAAGTCATTAAAATCCAAAAAATCATTTCAGAAACAAGTTAAGTCGTACTTGGTATCCAAATATTAAAAGTTATTTTCCCATAACCACACTGATATATATACTCTTTCGTATGAAATTAGCTACAACGTTTTGATAGCTCGGACACAAAAAATATTGAACCTTCATGAATGACCATGATAGAAAGTTGGGACACTCTTCACTTGCACATACTTATTTTCATGAAAATATTAAACAGCTACAATATTGCTATTGCTCCTGCAGCTGCTGATTGTTGTTGAGCCGGCAGTTAATCTCTCTCCACCTGTTCTACATCTATTGTTGGTGTGTCGGGTTCTGTAGCATGCACAGCAAATTATTTATTTATTTATTTTTCAAATGGCTGTTTACACTCTGACATCTGCATGCGCATGTTCCTTTTTGCTTAACGTTGGATTTTGACATTACACATGCATGGTCTTTGTTTCTATATGGGTGGTGTGATACCTTATGAGGGTTGTAAACCGTATAGTTTAGCTCCTGTACCTATTATTGTAATTAGGCGACCAGTGGAGATATATTGGATTCTCCCCTTCATTTTAATTTGTTGTGGTATTCTATGATTTGTTTTGTGTGTATACAAAATTTTATCCTAGGTTGAGGTTCTGCTGTGAAGTTGATGTGAAGGCCAACATACGAATGGTCAGTGTGATTTGAGAGTTTCTGCATGGTTTGCGAGGAATCACCCTGGGTCCCAACCATATTTCAACTCTGGTCTTTGAACTAGCGTTTTATAGATAGATAACTAATAATCAATATCTACTCGAAATAATAATTAATTCTAAACAAAAGTGTAGGGTAGTGCTGTTTCCAAATATGTAACCCTTGAATATCCTACTCGCAGATTTGTTTTCTGTTTTTCAGGTCGTCTGTGATGATCAATACAATGGCTAGTTTATTGAATATAAATGGTGTCTACAACAACAAAATTCGCAGGCTGATGTCTCATCCACGATAAACTTGAATCTATTACGCCCCACTAATTAAATGAAGAAATGATCCTGTGAAATAACAATACTAATTCCTTTATTCCTAATTCCTTTATCCTTGCAGAAGTCAATATCTAAGAATGAAAAAAAAAACCTTATAACCTTAGCAACCAACATATTCCTATACCCTGTCTTTCTACCTTAATTAATTATAATTACTCATACTTATAGAGTTACTGATAGATTTAAATACTTATTGCAATCTGGACTACAATTTGGCAATAATAGGCTCTAGTTTGGGCAATGAAGTGGTCTAGCCCACCTCTTCATGCACCCAATTCTGGCAACTTTGGTTGGGCATTTTGGCATTTGACTCCATCTATAATCAGCTTGACAATATATTTTTTTATAAAGGTTTATCTTTACTGTTCACTCCCATTTATAAAATTGATCAATTTGGCAGTGGCAATCATGATAAATTTATTAATATGGTGTGGCAAGTAATTTTTATTTATTTATTTTTTATTAACTACCAGTATGTAATTTTTCATGTTCCCTTTACTTAATAACTTCTATATGGTTGTGTGTGTGGGTGCGTGTGAGCGTGTGTGAAATATTTCAATTATTTTTAGGTGAGTGAACACGTACCACATCTTCTTGGCAAAACCTTCCATCTTATATACATTCTGTACGTTTTAAACCTTATCTAAGGTTTTGTTCGCTCTCCTGATTTCATAATCAGTTTTTATTTATTTATTTTTAGCATTCATTTTATTGTTTTGCTGATTATGGAGTCGAAATAAACTTATACTTATTATACTTATAGCGCACCGAATAATGAACGCGGTTCAGAATCGGCAATAACTTAAATTTGAAGAACGTTTCAAAAAGACATTCTTGAAATACGGAACCCAATGCAGTCAAAGTTTATATGGTTCAAAAAGTGCGCTGAGACTTCAGGAAGGATAACAGAAGTTCCAAAACAGTGGTTCTCAAACCATCGCTGATCCAATAAAAATCAAGGTTTTGAGGTCGCCTACTCCCATGAAAATAGCAAGCTTTGCTTTTCACGCATTCCTATCGGTTATTTTATGTGCCACGTTTAATACTAAAAAATCAACAAACGGAAGCAGAAGAATAAATGCATCGCTTTAAAAAAATCAATTTTTCTCTCGGCCGCTGAGAACTGTTCTGTGGCTTTTCAAGTGACACAGGGGTCAATTTGAGAATCTTTAATTTAGGTGGCGACAAAAAGGTTTTTACGAACGTACCACTTGAAATTTCATTACAGATCTCGCAGCTGGCATCGAAAATAAAATTCAGGATGGTTTAAAAATAAATAAAAACAGCACATAGCGTGGACTATCATCATCAAAGAAATACGGTTACTGTATAATGATAGCGCTCCATACACCACCGAATACAACATATTTGTTCCGCTTAACTCCAATGTCCCGGATTAGAGAGTCACTTCACAGTGGTCCCGGATTACGTGACAGTCATCAGTTCGCCTCTGAAGTCTGAATAGGTTGTTTGTCCTGAAGGTTTTATACGATATTTCATTATATTTGTTACAGATAACGTTATGAGTAATTATCTATTTCATTAAAATGCACCGTGGAAGTGGCGTACCCCAATCAATGAAGCAGACCTCGAAATATGTGTGGTCCACCAACGATGTTTTAGGACAGGGGGCAACAGGATCTGTGTATAGGGGAAGAAACAAGGTTGGTTTTTATTTTGTCTAAATCCAGAGATCTGAGTATAATAATTTATTATGGGTTACAACTTGAAATATACTGATATAGGCCTAGTCTATCATTTGAATACTGAAATATTGATAGCATCTCAATCAGCTTTAAACAATATGGTGCGGCGGTGTGACTAAGCGTTAGGAATACGCTCGCCACTGCACCCGTGATTACTCTGCATGGGTACACAGGTTTGAATCCCATGCAGGGATGGTTATGTGCGAGAGGATTGCTGGACTACTTGCCGCCGTAGGGTGGTTCATGTGACCCAGTAAACGCTGGTCGGTTACAGCTTCCTTCACCTTCAAGTCCATGCTTCCGAAACCAAATAACTGGCTAACTAACCATACCCGACATGGAATGGTAACAGACGAGAGACCGTGGTTTGGCTTATGGTTAAGCCGCCTTATCGGCTATCCTCTCCCCTGGGATAAATATGTAAATCCTATCCAGTCATTGATTGTTTTGTTTTTTAAACAAATAATCCAATTTACGGAATGAAAATTTTTTTATTGTAGTATTTGTGAGTTGAATTTCGGTCACTTGACAGCTGATCCATTGATTTCTATTATTATTGCGGCAAACATGGCATGATTTTACGCATGTGCTGTTGTCAGACACTCTCGTTTCTGCGACAAATAGTGTTTGTTTTGTCGAACCAAATTTCATGACATCTTCGAATCAGAGAACTGAAATATGAATGATGCTTAGGGAAGTGAATTCCGATCTTGACACACGATGTACACCTAAGCTTCCCAATACTACTATTGAGCTGTCCCGTCAACTTTTGTCTACCTTCTAGGACAATGGTTCCCAACCTTTTTACCCTGGCGGACCGGTAAAATTGAATTAAATGTACTCGCGGACCGGCAAAAATTGGAATGTTTGGAACAGAAAAGAGTAACATATATGTGCTTAATATAATGCAATGTCGGGCACTCAATATGCTTTTAGACAAAAAAGGCACACTTGAAAACATTTCACACGAAGAAAAACTATCAAATGTTGTGTCGGCCAAAAATTGAAATAGGTGAAACATAAAATAATATCATATATTTGCGTAATGAAATGCAGTGTTGGGCACCCATTATACGTAAGAGAGGCATACATAAAATATCTCACATAAAAAAAAACATGTACATGCCAAATCATGTAAAAACACAATTGACTCTAGTGAGAATTTTGCTGTTGTTTCGTTTTCAATATAAAACTGCAAACGAGGCCTCTAAGAAGTTTCTGCAACACGTGGCTCTGCAGCGGCGTGTAGCCGATTTCTGTGCTCCGTTTTATTCAAGCTTTATCTTTTTCATCGGGTTCATAATATTAATCCCTCTGCAGTTGACCGACGGCTCAAACGACATGAATTTACAATACAATGACAAAGTCGTCGGTAACTTGACAAGTTGGCACCAGGATCAATCCTACTGTGTCTGCTCAAAATACTGGGAAAGATCTCAGCGGCCCATGCTTTTTTGCGCATCTCGTGACCACCTGCAAGGTCGCACCAAGTTCATATCTTACTGGGATATTATACTGTTGTTTTCTGGTTCAAACAAAGAAATATGCATAACGTTTTATATGGATTGTCATATTAATCAGGAAAAGCATGCAGAACAGAAGAAGCACGCCTGCTGATTTTTAGGTTTCTGAATCTTGCGAGATTTGATGAAGCACATTCGCGATAAATGGAAAAAAACAGCCAAAAAAGCGAAAAGTGTGATTACTCGGCGCCAATATGTCGCGAAAGACGTCGCAATATGACGACGGAAGAGGAATTGCGCAAGAAACAAACGCAACCTCGTCTTCGGTAAAGCGATTGAGACGGCATAAAAACAACAAAACAACGAAATTTCTTGCGGACCGGCAAAAAAGCTTCGCGGACATGCACCGGTCCGTGGACCGGCGGTTGGGAACCACTGTTCTAGGATACATATGTAAATTTTATTCCCTAATATTTACAGTACAGTTTACCACAAGCAATTTATAATTCTTTTTAGCGAACTGGAGAACAATATGCAATCAAAGTATTCAATTCGTTCAATTATATGGCCCGACCAGCAGAAGTCCGGTCTAGAGAATTCGAGGTTTTACGAAAAGTTGACCATCGAAACATTGTCCGATTATTTGATGTTGAAGAGGAGGTAAATTGAATTTATTGCTTTAATTATTTTCAATATCTCTTAGCCCATGGTTGTGTGTAACACTTTTTTTTTTACTGGCTCTCAGTTCCACAAGAAAAAGACAAATTAGTAATATTCTCATGGCACAAGATGTAGCCTACATGTGTCGACAAATACTTATGAAATAGAATTTGCGAAATCAGTGTGAAAATGTACACAGCCTAAACAGTGGTCGGCAACCACCGGAAAAGGTTACTGCCGGTCCGCAGGAACGTGGCACAAAAGACGGACAATGTCCTAATAACATATTCAGTTGATTAACAACTCAAACAATAATTAGTTGAAAAGAGTCCTTGCGATTTACAGGGTACTTCGGCAGTCTTTTGGGCAGTACTACCAACTGAATACCCCGGCATTGCAAAAAAAGCTTCACAGGCATTTTTACATCTATGTGAAGTCAGGTTTTCAAAATTGACAACTACAAAATCGCAGTAGCCTGAACGCAAGAAACACATTACTTGAATAACATCACCTTTATTCTCTGAATTTAATATCAACCTATTTATCCTAACACATATAATTTATTACATAAGCTTATTCCGTCTGTACAAGGTGATCCGCCAAAATTTTGGTCAGGCTTTACCGGTTCGTCACCGAAAAAAGGTTGCCGACCACTGGCTTAAATGATCTACTCAAGCTGACGAAAATTAGAAAGCAGTGGCTGCAGTGGCTTAGAAAGCAGTGGCTGCATGTTCGAAGCAAAAGACTCGAATAAGCGCCAACTAAACAACTATGGATATATTTGCTAAATTGTTGTTATTTGGACAATAATTAATTTTCTCGCCAACTCCTGAACCGAAACATTTCAAGTTCTCTGTCGTTCAATTTTTTTTAATCCGTGTTTTCATTTATCAGATTTCTACAAAGCACAGTGTGATAGTTATGGAATTATGTGGAGCTGGAAGTTTATTTTCAATGTTGGATGATCCTGAAAACATGTATGGATTATCAGAAGATGCTTTTAAAGTTGTCTTGCATGACATAAGTATGTTTTCGAATTACTAATGTATTTTCTGATTTAGGTTAAAAATTGGATTTAAAGGGAGTCATGGCTTTTAATCAATATGGTATTTCTTCTTATTAATTTTTAGTATTAAAAAATGGTGCAATAAAAATGTTTGAATTTGAATACTATGTTTTTGGTAAGCTGTTAAACAATTTATAACAGCTAAATTTTCTAGTGACATTTGTGTTTTTTTTTTTTTTTGAATGTGGGGTGCATGTGTTTTTTTGTTCATTTTCCCTATGTGAAAAAATGATAAATAGCTCGATAAATATGATCAGTTTTAAAATTGTAAATATTTATTTTCTTCTTTATTATGTAATATACTGTGTTAACACAATAAGCTAACAAGAATTACTTAGCAAGTAGCAACATATATCTTTTTAAAACTTTTATTGATTGAATTTTATTTATAGCCGCTGGCATGAATCATTTGCGAGAGAAAGGTATTGTTCATAGGGATTTGAAACCTGGTAATATCATGAGAACATGGGCGGATGATGGAAATCCTGTTTACAAATTAACTGATTTCGGAGCTGCTCGGGAACTTGATGACAATGAACAGTTCGTGTCATTGTATGGCACTGAGGAGTATTTGGTATGGATGAATTTCTTCTTATAAGAATGATTATTATAAAATAAACATGTTTTCTTATCTGTTTACTATCCTTTAATAGCTATTATCTCACCTCAATTATGCTGGCAACTGGTACGAAGGGTTATTATAAGTAATTCAATATTCAGAAACATTATGTGAAGATATTTTAGGGTAAGATTGCTCCGGTTAAATAACTGATTCAGACCTTATTCAGACTCAAGGTATGGAAACACTCTGTAAAAAATACTGGAATTTCTTTATTTCTGAATATTTTGTACAGTCCAATACTAGAATTCATTTGTATCTCAATAGCAATATTCAATTCAAATATAACAATCAATACATCATTTCATATACCAGGTGACCACCAAAAACAGAAGTTACAGAACCCATGCCATGAATTTCTTGATACTTTTACAAAAATGGAGAAATGAACACTTCACCTTCTTTTGTCTGTTTGTGTATGATTGTAGTAAACCAGGACACTTTACACAAAGTCAGGCTCTTTCTAGAATGTTCAAAGTGTCGTGGGTCCTGTTTGCAAACTGGCTGTTTTGGATAATAGTGTAAACAGAATTTGAGACAAATGAATAATGACCTTTTTGTCGAGTATTATACACATCACCTAACATGCCCAATTTCTTATGTATACTCTTTTTATTAAGGCATTCGTCTAGTTACTTATCGATTTCAATCGGTAAGTATGTTGATAGGTATTTGTCTGTTTGTCTGTTAGATGCACGCGATATCTCACGAAAGCGAGGTTGAATCTGCTCCAGATTTTGCATGTGCATTCATCTTATCTCGGACCAGAAGCCTATTGATTTTGGGCGAATTATGTCGTATAATTAGCGAGTTATCAATCAATTATTGATGGAGTGATCTAGATTTTTGTAAAGCGAGAGAATTTTGAGACCCGCCGAGTGTGTGTGTGCGATGCACAGTGCGCAAGTTACAAGAGCGGATGAATCGAAACTGCAGTTTCTGTTTTGGGGGAACCCCTAACTATCGATCGATAAGTCTTCGGTTTTCTACCGATATGCTCGTTTTTTATGCGTTGACTCATGAAAGATTAAGATCTACATCGTCAACCCGTGATTTTAGCTCAAAATATGATCAATCGAAAAAACTATAAATTTTCATATATTTCTAGCATCCTGATATATATGAACGAGCTGTGTTAAGAAAACCAGCAGGAAAAACTTTTACAGCCTCTGTGGATTTGTGGAGTATGGGAGTCACTCTCTATCATGTTGCTACTGGACAATTACCTTTTCGACCTTATGGTGGTGCAAGGAGAAATAAAGAGACAATGTAAGGAAGATTTGTTTGGTACTGGGAATTGGTAATGACTAGTGACTAGATTCAAATTTAAAAATACAACTGAATGCAGTCTCTATTTTCAAATTTGAAAATTGGAATTATTTTAAATTGAGTCATTTAAACAAAGAAATTTGCATATGATATATGGGACTTATAAAAAATTAATTTGATAATGCAGAATAGTTAAGAAAAAGATAACTATTGTTTTGATCAATTTCCTGTTTTGAAGTTAATAAAGTCTATTTTTCCTCTAACCATTAAATGTCAAATGAGTTTCAAGCCAATAACAAGTTACTAAACAGGAAATACTAAGGATGAGGTGGGGTTCTTTCAGCGCTGTGTTGGCTTATTGATTCATCGAAAAAAAAAATATTGTCTTGTTCGATTTTTCATTGCCTCTTTACAGGGTGGTCCAAAAATGGAAGCTAGGTCATTTGGAATATATTCTAGAAAGAACATAACTTCTGTGCAAAGCATCTTATATTACTGAAATTTTTGGATACTGTCTACACAAATAGAATTTCGATTGTTAAATAAGTTTTCTTTTTTTTTTCGTAGAAGGGATTATGATATCTGTAGGTTCTGTATTTTAGGGTCCACCTTGTATTCATTTTTATTGGGGTATTCTGTGTTGGAGCAAAAGAGTTAAGTAGCAGTTTTTTTTTTAATTGATAAAAAATATTTTCTTTGAATTTATAGGTACAAAATCACTACTGAAAAACCGTCTGGCGTCATATCTGGAACACAACACACTGAAGCTGGTCAAATTGAATGGAGTCAAGAATTACCAAAGACATGCAGATTATCGCTGTATGTATCATTCCTATTTCCATATGGCATCACTTTTTCACTCTTTGGTGTAGGCCAGGGGTTTCCCAATCTATGGGTTGCGACCCAGTTTTGGGATCACCTGCAAATTTTCTTGGGTCGCTTGTTTTCAACAAAAATCTAATTGTTTATTATATGTTAAGTATTGCAATGTTGCCCGATACATGTGGAAAGTTTCAAATAGTAAAAACTTGGCAGCATTCATTCTGCTGAGCAAAGCCATGCCACCGCTTCAAAAACTTGCTGATTGCAAATATACGCTGCATTCTCATTTTAGGGTAATAAATGTTATGTAAAAATGATTGTTTTATATTAGTCATGAAAGTACTACTGTCCTTGGGTCACGAGATTTACAAAATTTATTTTCAAAAAAATTGGGGTTGCTTGAAAAATAGGTTGGAAACCACTATTCAAATGGTGATCGGGACCATATATATATATATATATTCATTCTTTTCCCAACTAATTTAATTCAAGTATTGTACTTAAAGTCAATTTGAGAGAACTTGTGTGTGATTAGGCTTGATAAGCTTGACATCGCACCTCTGGTTCTCAGATTTAGATCCTGTTGGAGGCAACAGGATTGCTTGTTGTAGGGTGATTTATGTAATCAATGGTCAGTTGCGACTTCCTTCAATATTAATTTCATGCATCTACAATAACTGTTAAACTATTTCTATTACCGACATTGAGTGGTAACCGAAGTGGTTGTGGCTCACAATTTAATCAAGTCTTCTTATCGTCTTTCCTATCTACCGGAATAAATATGAAAATCCTACCTCCCATTTGTGACAGAATCATATTATCTAATTGCGTATTTCTAGCCATCCCTCTACTACAAAATATTATTCTTTCCCACAGTACGCATACTTGTTTATTCTTCTTTTTTACAGTGGTTTCAAAGCCTATTTTACTCCTGTACTTGCTGGTATCATGGAATGCGATCCACATCAAATTTGGACGTTTGAACAATATTTTTCTGAAGTTAGCGGCTTACTGGAGAAAAGAGTAATAGATGTGTTCAGTGTTCCCTCTGGAGCTTTACACAAAATCTATATTCCGGAAGGGAACACGTAAGTTTTAAATTGTGGTCGACCAGGCTTGAATTATAGATGGTGTATGTATGTGCTGTTTTGTTATGTTTTGTCAATTTGAGTCATCTTGTTCAACATGTAGGATGGGAAACTGGTTGCGAGTTATTTTTTAATTGTTATTCGATTTGTCATTATTTGTTTAATCTCTTATGACTTGTGGACATATTTGAACTTGATTACTATATATTCTAGTTAAGAATTTTTGATATTATATGCTTTTTACCTTTAGAAGCATTTGAACTCAATAGAAATTTTATGTGATCCAAACTCAAAACTCGAACCAGGCATTTGTCAGTTGTTTAGTCTAGAAATACCTACATTCAAAATGAGTAATCAAATTTTTTATATAGATCTCAGCGCGACTGTAGTTTCTTGCAGCAATCAGTACTTTTATAAGCGTTCTGTTGACGGCTCGATACCTCACTTTTACTATGCTTATCAAAGTTGTACTTATTAAAATAGGATTCAGATTTATTAAAAAAATTCTATAAAAATCTTTTAATTTGTGCTATCGATAGGGTTTCTACGGGACTAATCACATTTCCTTCTTCTATGCTATTGTGTCAGTAGATCCATATGCATATAAATGTAATTCTGTTATTGTGCAGCAAGACTCTTCAATCACTCAGTCTAACTTATATATTGGTAACCTTTTCCTACTTTTGGCTCACCCTGTCTGTATATTAATAATAAGATTAATTTGGGAAAATAAATTGTGTGTATGTGTCTTTGTCTCGTAAAGAATATATAAACAATAAATATAGTGAATTGGGATATGGGATGCAAGTCCTGTTGGCCTACAACACATATGTTCGAAGTTTTATTCCAAGAACTCAGTTATGTAGAATTCACTTCCTCGTTGTTTTGTCGTGAACTACTTTTAGGTATCTCGCCAATCGGCATTTATTAGCGCTCAATATAGTTTCAGTAGCTCTAGGCATTTTTATGGTTGTTCGTAACTTTGCCCAGAGATCAGTCTGGTTAGTTCCGAGAGTACATGTGATGACCTTACTTTGATCAAATTTTTGGCGCTCCAGAAGTATGTTCACCTACTTTACATCAAGTTGTGTAAAGGGATGGAAGGGGGGTATATCTTGTTGTTTGACTCGTTTAACACAAACAGTTCCCGAACTCGTAATAGAACTAAAATAAGAAAAATTGGAATAAAATTATGGCCGAACCCTAACCTGGTACACATACTACAGGAGTACCCAAATTCCATAAAAAATATTTTCTTTCACCTACTTTTAATAATTATTGTTTTCATTTTTAAATAATTCCGTTAATTTGTTTTATTACCAGATTTGCATCCTTTCAAGAGAAAATTGCTGAGCAGACAGATATTCGATCCAGTCATCAGTCGCTGTTTTTGGAAGGCGACGTGTTTGAGGTTGAAACGTTTCAACCAGTAAAGGAATATCCACGAACTACAAGAGAAAGACCGATTATTTTATTGAGCACCAATATTTCTGATTTTCAGTCTATCCATATTCCCCATACATGTAAGTACCGGCAGTCAGTAGTTTTATATATCATTTGTGTTTAAAATATTTTTAGACTTTCAATAATTGGATAAAAAGAACCTTCTAGGTTTTGTCTTTATTCATTTCTTATGGCCATATTCATAAATAACCATGTTTAAATCTAATTGGATTGAGAACAAAATTATTAGTTTTTGATGAAAGTGGAAATTGATATACTATATGAATTGAAATTTTGAAAATTTAACTTAGTGAAGTATGGCAAATATACCTAGTAGTCCTCAAATGTAAATTACAATAGAATAAGCTTCTATATATTTTTTTTTTATCAATATTTTATATATGAATTGTATTGAAATTAAAGTAGTTGTCTTCCTTTTTATCTCCACTAACTGATTTTGTTAATCGCAATTGATTCTACATTATAAATCACATAGTCTGAATTTAAAACTTTGTTGATATCCCATTTTTTTATTCAGGTAAGCCTCCAAAGGACAGACAAAAACACCCTATGACATCATTGGAAACTGATGCTAATTTTGTAAAAGTTTGTTCCAGCACTCTCTTTGATATCAGAAAATCTGTCGATTATCTTTTGCTTGTGCAAACTCTCATTAGACTTGGTGTAAAATGGTTTGTGTAAGTAAAATTTGTCTTGGAGGGTCAAATTTCATTTTGTTTTAAATATTTATTATTTTTTATTCAAATTTTAAATATTCTGATCAGATGTTTTTTGCAGCAAAACCATGACTAATTTCAATTCATGATAATTTTTGTGAAACATTTCATTTGCAAAAAAAAACAATTCTTGTCTAACGCATTAATTTCAACCGAATTTCCTTTCAAATACATTTTTGGATATCCCTGTCTTTATTATTATTAAACATTAGTTTTTAGGCATCAGTTCAGATGCATGCTTATGAATGCAAGAACTTCATTCCATAAATTCTCTAATTTGCATATTTTTCAGATCATATTTACGATCATGGGTAAGCCGAGCACAAATTTCTGCCAACGAAATTAACGCAAAAATCGAGTGTTTGAAAACATCACTGGAAATCTTTGAAGAACAGTGAGTTATGTTTTTTGCTCAATAAGATTAAAATATATCATTGATAGGATTGTACTTTGCAATTCATTGCACCTTGAGTGACGTGGGGGGAAGGTATTTAAACCGGAGATATGTAGGATGTATACAACATAGTATTTTTTGCCTAATATTCACAATGACCTTTCCATATGATGGAAGGTTTTTGCCAATATTCCTCATCATTAGCCATTAACCATGGTTGTGTTATGCTTCATTCACGCTATGGTGTTCGCGTATCTCTTTCTCTACTTGTGTGGGTAATACCAAGGAATAACAACAAGGTATTTAGGTTGCGGTAATTAAGTTTCTACTTATTCTGCTCATGTGTTTCATTGTAATAAGTCATGGTGTTTTGTTTTCTATAAAAGAAAATATTGTTATATGCAAATGAGGGTATATTCTAGTCATTTTGTAATGCCGTATGTAATAATGGTGCAAACAATATAATGATGCAATGTATGATAGGTTGTCTCTATTTTATCAATTTACCTTGAATTTTCTCTATTTGACTCAAGAATGTCTAACACAAATCGCTGAGCTAAATTGATTCAAAATTTTTTAGGGATCATTACATCCTGTTGAAGAAATCGTAGCCTTATCACAGTAGTAACAAAAAAACCTAATTCAATATCTGAAAACTATAAAAACTTGATAACAATCTAATATCACTGTTTATCTCAACTCCCCTGCACTTTATAATTCAAACCCATTTTACTTTCAAAAATATTTTTTTATAATGTTTTCAAAATAATTTTGATTGTTACAAAAAGGCGGATGTTGACATTTTAATAAAAAAAGTCATTATAATATTATAAAAAAATAGGTTCAAAAAAAATAAAAAATAGGCTGATATCAAATTATAGTTTGAATTGTATTTCAATGATAATTTAAGTGAATTTACAATCCAAAATATACATTTTCCCTATTTTCACAGAACAGCTTCATTTAAGTTTTCCCTTTAGGGTAAAGTCCTTGGATAAAGGATCTTAAATTAAGTGTTCGAATCTCAATAAATATTTGACAATTTTTGCTTAATTGGGATAATTAGAAGTGAATGTACAGGTAATGCCAAAGAAAGATTTATTGACATGGTATGGCCATTTCTGATTGATGTACAATTTCTTGTGTTGTCCTGGAAAAGTGGGTCGTAAATACCAGTTTGTGTTGTTTTATTGTAAGTGCATGTGATAAATTTCACTTTTATTACAGTTACAACAGGGAAACAGCTTTACTGAGAATAATGGGAAAAATGTCACCTTCTCCACCTGAGGTCAATGAACTCAAGTTATTTTTTCCACAAATAACAGAGAAAAACAAGCAATTAAGACAGGTATCTGAGTATTTATAATTTCTAGTTGCTAGTAATATATCTTCGATGGAACTTCATTTTAGAGCGTAGCTTTTCATTTTGATGTGATATGAGGATTGAACAATTGAATTTGCTCTTTTGCTGCACTTAATGATTAGCGTGATCGGCCTACACATTGATTAAAAATATTGGGATTCAACTATGAATATAAATGGAAACAATTTAATCAGTCCCATAACATAATAGCCCCTATGCATCAGAGAAAGCTTGTCCAGGACTTTGTTCGAGAGAAACTCTGCAGCATCTCAAAAACAATATAAAAAATGTCCAAAATGGATGTTTATAATGTTAATTAAAGCTGTGTGACTCAGCCTCTAGCGCCCTCTACAAACATGAATTCACTCATGCACAATTATTTTAAACCTTGAATATCCAATTTTTATTATTCCCTATCTTACATTACAGGGCATATGGAAATATATTAGAAAATCAGTAGTTTTTTTCTAGCTGCCCTTCATTCAATTTTTAATTTTCTAGCTGAAGACTGAATTCGAGTTGGTCAGTGAAGCGATTCGTGGTTTGGAACGTTCGATTGTTCAGGACAAAACTCCTCTTCGAGTTTTTGTTGACGAAGGTTCTCAAGAATCTGATCATCTTGTTGAGAAAATGGACGTCATAGCCAACCGATCTCGAGATATTTACAAAGCGTTCAAGAAGCATAAGCATCTCAAACGTAAGTTACGTTTTTTTTGCATCCCCTATTGCTTTGACGTTTTATTCATCCAATGAGCGTATTGTCATTTTTTTGTTTTATATTGTTAACCCAAGGATGTCGTAACTGCCGTAATCGAATATTTGAATGCAATCTGGTATATTCGATTTTTTAAATCCAATTTTTTAATTTTGAGCATATACCATGTTGCAGCTGTACAATAAATATTATTCTGATGGCAGAAAATAAACAACCAATTGAAACAATTACAATTTATTTTCATCATTAAATCAATTTTTATAAATATATTCTGATTTGCACTTTTTTTTCCAAGAATATACATAATTTATCGATGTCCCATATTTGCAAACATTTTTTAGAATATATTCGGAATATTACATTATTTGTTGAGTGACATTCATATTACGAACATACTCAAAGTTTTTCGACGTAGGAAGATATGTAAATGTCGAATATAATTTTTTTTTGCGGAATGTGTCTTAGTTCAACATATTAACACAGAACATGTTAAAAGCCATCAAAGGCAAATGAATATTTATTTATTACAGACTAAACTAAATTTACCAACGGACTATGAGCCTTTCTCTTTCACCCCCCTTAAAAGAGTTTATTAGTTGCTTATTTAATTTTTATCGATTAGGTTTTTATGTGACTAACTAATTAACCGTCTTCTATGCTTATGTGCCAGTGGAATCGTATGCATATAAATAATGCGAGGATACTGTAGCAGCAGTGAAGATAACTATTCTAAGTGGTTGAAAAGTCTTGCTGCACACTAACTGTTAGTGTGCAGCAAGAATCTTCAAACAATTACGGTAGTTTAATTTTTATTATTTGTTTCATATCAAAATCTACCTCGACATTTTATTATTATTTAGGACTGTCAAGCCACGAGGAACAGGTTCATAAATTTGACAAACAACAATTGAATGTCATATGTGAGAAGGCAGTAAGTCTTTTCACAGAGAAAAGTGTACCAGGATGCAAGAAAATGCACAAGGAATCAAATTCATGGTTTACGTAAGCATATTTAATCTTATTAATATGGTTGTTAAAACTCAAGATTTTTTCATTTCATCCTTTTTGGGATTGTTGAGGGCCCTCACCCAAACTTGAAAAATGTTTTTTTGTGAAAATGGGTAAAACACACATATTTTTAAATTTTGAACTCATATCACTTTTTATAGAAATGATTCAGTGAATATAATTCCACAGTATTGTTAGATACTAGCTTGAAGAGCACCTATTTCTTTATAATATTTTCGAATTTTTCCTATTCCAACTTTGTTAATATGCTAGTTTTTGGGTATATCGGTGGTGAATTTACCAAAATTATATATTTCAGGAGCATGCAGGAATTCCAAAGTCAACTGCGCAATGTCGAAAGTCGTCTTGGTAGATTGCGAGAATCTTGCGAGCAGCAAAACGAACAGCAGTTACAAATGCAGAGATTTTATCGCAACAAATTCAACGGTGCCGAACAGTCATTGAACGGCAATATGTCAAGGTATGCCACTTGCCTCCCCGTTGGAGATGGCTTAAATTAAGTTATCCACTTGTCGCAAATGAAAAATTTAAATTGAAGTTTTATTGTATTTGGTTATGAGTTCGTGGTGGATATGAATAATAGCCGCTTTGTTGTTCCTCATCCATGGATGTGGATGGCAGAGGATGCTTTAATCTGTATATTTATGTCACATATTTTCATCTTTCAATAAGAAATCTGTGAAGCCTGGTAAGGTGGTTCCCTCGAAGCGTCCCATTCAATAAATAGCACATATGTTACACTATATTATGTCTCCGCATTTCGGAGACGGCTTTCAGGCGTATAGGAATTTTTAAATATTAGCCACAATATTGTTGTCGAGAAAGCTGACATGCGCAGCTTTTAAAATGAACTGGCAGTTTCATTAACCTGGTCTCTGCCGTTACAGATCTGTGATATTGCGTTGATGGCAACAAGGTTGCCAGACTGAAATCTGGCAGTATTCAGCGACTTTAAGAAGTTGCTCGTTTATCAAATATCAGACACTTTAAAAATTTGAAATCTCAGCTAATTTCAGCCATATCTGTATCGACTTCGACATTTTTTCAAATTACATGCAAACAATTTTTAATATCCTCCAAAAGTAAACACTCACACTCACTGTGTATTGTTCTAGGTTAACTATCAATGGACAGTCATCATTGCCTGAAATGAAACCAGCATCATGGCCTGAAATACATAAGACTATGACAACGAAACAAAATGCTGAGTTGAAGAATGGAATCAGAGATGCCAAGAACAGTTTTGTTGACATTCGATCAGTCATGGACGATAATACATTAATGTTACAGAGGTAAACAAAGCTCTAATGTTGATAAGGAATTCAAAGAAAATATAAAGTTATTTACCCACCACAACACCCAGGGTGCAATCAATTGGGCTAGACAATGCAATGCCCTTCCAATAATAGTACCTTCTTATATCATGCCGCAAATACAAGGCCTTGTTGGAAACAAATTATTGATAAGTGTCATATAAAAATATAATATTATAATATTTATTATTCTATTATGGGAATGATTGCTTACTTTTCTATTTTTCTATTTTGTATTAGACTCCGAAACTTGCTAAACAGTGTGGATGATCAGAGCTCTATGGATATCATTCCACCACCTTCCAGAAATGATCAGATAGAAGAGAATTGAAATCGAATCTGAATCCATTGTTACATACATATGTCTCTCTTACTCTTCATTTTTCTTTTCGTTAAGTAGCGATTTTAGATACCTTATCATTTATTCGTTGTAATTGACGATTGAAAAAAATAAAAAATAAATAAAAACTTCAGGAAAGTTGAAAATATAGTTGCTTAGTTATTTGAACCACTCCTCTGTGTGTAGTTAGATAAAAAAAAACGACTGCAGGAGTATTTTTAGTTTATTTTTTATTTTAATTCAACTTATTCCTTATTCAAGATAAATTTTACCTTTTGTTAAATTTGACTGCAGTTAGAAATTAGAATTCTCCGAAGCAAAATTGTGAAAAATGAAATTAGGAGTATTTCTTAGTTTGTAGAATGGTTAATTGTGGAAAATAAAATTTCTTTAAAACCATATCGCTTGAACTCTACAACATTACTGTTAAAAAATATGTTAGTTAACCTTAAGAAATTCATACGAATTTTTGTGAATGATTTTATGGGGAGTTGATCATAACCAAAAAAGATGCCTGCCGTGTTGTTTATAGATGCGATGTATATTTAAAATATACATTTTTCATATTTGAGAATTTTGTCATTTCTTGATTTGTATGAAACAGTTTTATATGTCTTATATCTACCTTACATTATTAGTTTATCATATGTATTTTTCTGTGTTGCAAATCTATCTCTTGTTTTGTGCAAACCTGTATAAAAAATCATGCTTGAAATTCTTGGATAGTTCGCCTGATCATCTCCAATACTTTCAAGAGAACTAAATCTTGTACAAAAACGTTTGCTATGTGATGAACCGTCTCAACCCCCCAAATTTAAGCATATTCTTATGTTATGCTGTGGTAATTACTAAATCTACTTTGCATTGGATGTTTTTTTACGAATGTGGGTGACAATAATGAAAATTTTGGTGTAAATGCTTCATCACATATGTAATCTTGTGGATGGCGTGCGTTCATTTGTTCTGTATATTTTCTTTGATGTGCCCAATATAAATATATGCGACTTTCTTGTCTCTGCAGTAGATCATTGATACCGGTGTGTTTTACTAGGTTTGGAGGACATGAGGTTAAAAGATATTGACCTCGCGTCGGATAATTAATTGTGATAACGATAGCAGTGTTGGTAGTAAAAGTAATGAAGTAAGTTTCTAATATTATATTTTCAAATCAAATTTCGAATACTTAAGAATCGGATTTTATTTATTGTACCTCAAAAATCGATCGTGCGCCTGATGTATGGATCAGGTAGTAATTTATGCGTTACTGTCTTCGCCCAGAACCAGTTTTGCGTTTAGGTGATAACGCACAGAATATTACATTTTTGACGGCGAAAGTGATTAGATTAGCATAAAACGACGCTGTTGTTTGTTGAGCTTAGTATGATCTTTCATTTAAACCGTATAGGCCGATGCGCCTTATGTATGGATAAAACCCCAATTTGTCGACAGTGCGCCTTATGGTCGTAAAATACGGTAGGGGTCTTCATTGCATACTGATTTCACTTTGCTATGCTGATTATGAAATCCGAATAAACTTACTCACCATACTCTCATGGACAAAGTATCAGAAGATCATCTCGAACTAATTTAATTGTAAATGCATGTAACGGTGCACGTTGCCTCCATTAATGGACGTTTTCTTGACCCCTGAAAGATTCTCCCTATACTTTATCATTGCAACATTTTAAACGCTGGTTTGGACAGTTGGCGCTTACGAATTGGTATACATGTCCAAAACAATAAACCACGTGCCGCTTATAGATACTATTAGCTCAGGGTGGTGCGAGGTTGGCGGGCCTCAAAAAGTTTTGAAAATGTCTCGCGGACCGCAGTCCGAAAAAACCCCAAAGTGATCACAACATAGCGAATTCACTCACTTAAAATATAATTAAGAATGAGATTTTAACGTTTTAATCTGTTTTTGTTGAGGATATAGACAGCCTTTAATTGTTTTGAAGTTGCTTACCGTGTAATGTTCGATATATATCTTTTATCGTGTGTGGTTTTGTAATGTCTCAAAATTATATATATTCTTTCGTGACAGATATTACTTGAAAACACACCAAACACTGTGGTTTGTTGTGGCAAGGAAATACGTTTCTTCCCAGTTTTCCACGCTCACCTTTTTTCACACTGATCGTATGATATATTGTTATATTTGGGTAATTTTATTACTTGTAGCGTCAGCAGGCCAGGTGCTATTGTCGAAGAACAACCAAGTCTAAGTTGGGATTCCGGACCCAGCTATAAAAAACTGGATCGCGCGGCGCTAAGTCAGCTCCGTGGTTCGTAACTGCTGTCAATATAGCTCACGATTGGAAATAGAGGAGTGCTTTTACTAAAATAAAGGCACAAAACACCTCTCCAAATGAGGAGTTACTTGCCGCGAGCTCAAGGTTCGAAGTTTAGAAGTTAAAGTGTAGGGGGGAACCCATCTCATCGGCTTGGTCCCGTCTGCACACGACAATTCATTTTCCTGGTCACAGGTCGTCATTCCCATATTGGCGCCGTCTTGACGTTTATAGATACAACATTGATATTCCGTGATTTTAACAAACATTAATCCTGACATCGGGATTAGGAAAAGGGCTATTTCCAGTTGAAATCATTTTAAAATAACTCGAAAATTTTCTGCCAACAAACACAAATATCTGCCAATGGTTTAGTTAGCTAATTTTGAGTTAGCTAGTCAATCGCAACGTTTACGGTATCAATTTTTGATTATTGTAACTAAACTAAATGTCCTCGGAAGATACAATAACAATTAAGTTATTTAATTTACAACTATTATTTGGAAACACAACTAAAACATGATGAATAACACGCAAAACTACAAAAACGAGGCAATGTTTGCAACTACACCTGAATATCTGTATATTCTGGATTGTTACGTCATAATTAACTTATTGCTGATTTGTATTTGTAACGGAAATAAACTAGGAAGTCGATGCTCGGGGGAACAGTAACACCCATCTTGTGTTGATACAATTATCAAGTGATTGATATAAATTGATTCCGGATAAAAACTTTTTTATATAAACAATGCTATATAATTCAAAATTATATCTCAATTGATTTCCAAAATTTTAAAATTGTATATCTATTGTTTTTATTATTTCCCCAACAACTTGTGCTCTTTATCTTTATATTTGATAACAATTATTATTATTTGTTCATATTCAAAGAGTCCCAAATAATGTTATAAAATGTTACTTTCTTCATTTTCTATTTATAAAGTTGATATATCAAGCTGATATTGCATCTTCATCGGTAACCTGAGCTTTTCATTTTGATTTCGATTAATATTACGATTATTGAATGTTTATATTTAAAGAGTCCCAAATTGTGTTGTAAAATGTTACATTCTTCATTTTCTATTTTATGAATTTAATATGCCTAGCTAATAGCTCTTTTTCATCAACTCTTGATCTGTAAATCATATCTCAAAAGTTCTTCATTGAGCTCCTTGTTCAATCTTTGATAAATTGATCTAACAATTACAAATTACCAAAACAAATTGTATGAATGGCATGGACTACTAGATTGTTATGTTATGTGTAAAAACACTTCTATTTAATGTTTATATTCAGAGTGTCCAAAATCATTTTACATAGTGTTATAAAATATTGCATCTTATCTATTTTGATATTAATCCAACCCTTTGCCAATTGTTGTGTTTTTTCATTCACTCGATTGATATTTCAATATCGTTTGTATTTATTATATTGAATCTCAAATAGTATATTCATTTACAAAGTCTACAATTCACTATAATATTTGCCTGAATGGCCATGACCAGAGAAATGCGTATTGTTTAACACCAAAAAATCGATTTGTTTCGATGACCCAACCCGTGCTTCTGATTTTATTGCATTAGTATGTGTCTAGTAGGCTATATTAAAACGAATCCCCTGTTTTGCATGTTCAAATTCCCCATTCATAAGTATACATATACCGGTTACTCAGATAATTGGTATCTATTCCAGCGCTCCCACCTATTTCGTTTCAATCATTTTTATTTTTCTGTGATACAATTTCAATATGTGGAAAATTCCGTTATTTAGAAAAAAAGATTTTATTTGAGAAATAGTGAAGACATGTGAATATTGTATATAGTAAACAAACATGGGAGATATTAATATATTGACGCCGAACCTGTTATATTTATGCTTATTCAATTGAATTGGGTGACAACTGACTCTGATGACCCCTAAAGTTCGTATCGTTGCCTCCCATTCATGTAACGAAAACATCTGTTTATTTGATATTTAAATATGTATATATATATATATGTTTATATTTATTTTTTATATTTATGTTTGTATATATTGTGTTTTTGGTTTGACGAAATAAACTCTCTCTCTCTTATGTTTTTGTCAATAATTCCCGGTTATGTATATATGTTTGCATATATTGTTTATGGTTTGACCGTAAATATATATACTACTACGGGTTTGACGAATGAAATAAACTCTCTCTCGCTCTCTCTCCTCAATATATGAAGATGTTTTACGTCGAATTTCACCGGTTATCTCGGGACTCCCGGTTTTGTCACCGTGTGGTTTGATCTAATGTTGTACTTAGATATCTTGAAGGATTCAGTGTAGCGAGCGCTCCGTAGCAGCACAAGCGTAGCTTTGTAGCAGACCAAGGTTTAGTTAGAGGTAATATCTCGACCAGCAGTTACAAGAAGCACCCTATGGCTATCCATATAAGACTACGGTATACCGTACACCGGTATTCAATATACAGATCAGCAGATATAACTAGTACAGTCAGACAGTACTGCAGTAGTAGGCCTAGTACCGGTATATTCTAATATTTATTTTGAACATTTCCACAGCTTAATTTAACGGACTTAGCATTGCACAAATTTAATTTTGTACACCATAATTTGTTTCCATATTTTGGAATAATGAATCGAGGTCAAGAGAAAGGAAATCGCTCTAAGATGTCAACTTCTAGAAGAAAAAAAACTCAAGCCACTGGATCAACCAGGTGAATTCTTGTTATGGTTTGAAATTTTACTTTTTATTTTGAAAATTTGAGTTTTATATTGATATTCAAGTTGTACTTATAGTCAGGGTTAGGGAACCATGGAGCCTTAACTTTTTGTTGGACTTAGCTCGAGCCAAGCTCACCATATTACAGTATTAAATAGAGCTGCATCCGGAGCTAGCCAAAATTTTAGTGGCTCCAGCTCCTAACTATTTATTTATTTTTTCACATAACTAATTTTCTAATACTTTGTTTAGGCCTATACAAATAACAAAATATTTCATTTTCAGCTCATACTTTTTTTAAATTTGATTTCTAATATTACCTGAAGTTGAATTTTGAAATTTGCAATCCTTATTCCTTATATCACAGTTTTGAGACCCACTTCTGCAAAACTGTATTTGGATTGATGGTAGTGGTCATGCCAAAAAACTTTATTGCTGCTAACGGAACCGAAGCACATCTCTGAGGTTAAAATGAAGCTCCGAGAAGCCTTAGTGGCTCAACGGGCTAAGCGTTAGGAATACGCTCGCCACCGCACCTCTAACTACTCTGCGTGGGTTCGCAGGTTCGAATCCCATGCAGGGATGGTTATGTGCGAGGGATTGCTGGACTCCTCGCCGTCGTTGGGTGGTTCACGTAACCGCTGGTCTGTTACGGCTTCCTCCACCACCAAGTCCATGCTTCCGAAAACAAACAATACAGTAAATCTAATCCCATACCTGATTTGGAATGGTAACCGGACGAGAGGCCGTGGTTCGCCATATGGATAAGCTGTCTTATCGGCTTTCCTCTCCCCCGGGATAAATATGTAAATCCTATCCTATACAGAGTACTGAAGCCTTTGTAATTTCAAACTAGTTCCCTAGTCTTACCTATGGTTCAATTTATCCAAGGTTGATAGAAACTTTCATAAGACAATATTTCTTTTTACGATATTATATTTAAGGGTTCTTTTGTTAGGATTAGAAGGTCCTATTCATTCAAGCTCCAAGGATTGTCAATTTTGCATTATTCAAATAGTGGTTTCTATTATTCTTATTTGAATTAACAAATGGCAATCGCATACCCATTCTGATTCGATTGTCAAATTATTTGGTCGAATATATATAATCTAATTCTTGCTACAAGGTAATATTTGTAGATCTGACAATCGGGACGGAAAATATCATTATTTTCGAAAATTGGAATATGAATGTTTTGACCATGTCTTGATCCTGAATCTACCGTAGCTATAATGAATGCTATATATTATGGTGAATTGGTGATGTTAACATTTCAAATTATGGATATAACTGAATTATTGATAATTATGCACCATGACTTATTTATAATATATTCATGGAAAATGTATGACAAGCATGTTTTGAGCTAATTTTGAAAAAGCCATTGTGATTCCTACATCAAACATTGTGCCAGTCTATTCTTCTGTTTGATCCAAATTTTGAAGCTCATTTTTTTTCTATAACCTACTGCTTAGCCTACTGCTTTGCTTGTATTTATTTTTGAATTTATTTTCCCATTGGGAGCTTGTACCTCAAACTGTTTTATTAAAGGCTAATCTCTAAAATCATATTTACTCAAAACGAGGCTCTGTATGTCTAGTCAGTTATTTGCATGAATATTCTGGAAGACCCAGCTTGCGAATTTTACTAATGATCCAATCACAGCTCAAAACTAGAATCACCAACCTCTGCCCAACATTTCATACTTTTGCCTCCCACCCAGCCTCTTTCCAGAACGGGTTGACTCATTGGGTATTATTTCAAGTTTGAGGCCAAACTCCATCTATGACTGACATATTTGATACAGGGATAAACTTATATATAATTGTATATGTCAATATATACAGATAAATGTGCTTGGGTCCTTTCTTCGAGCAAATTTCTGCATAAGGTATATATATCAGGCAGTGGCGTAGCCAGGGGGGGTGGTTTTGCGGGTCGACCCCCCCCCCCCCTTTTGAAATGTAAAAAACATAAAATCAATTTTCTGTATCATAGATAGCAATTTTTCGTAGCTTGAAATGCTTTTTAGATCCACAAACTACTAGAAACACGCGTATTCCAAAGTTCGATCGAACCCGCTAGCAGTTTGGATCTAACTTGGCAAAAAAAATTCAGAACCCCCCCTTTGAAAATTTCTGGCTACGCCCCTGATATCAGGGGTGGGGGTCATTGGACTGCTCGTCGCGGTAGGGTGGTGCACGTAACCACGGACAGCATTTTCCACCATCAAGTCCATGCATCTGAAATATATAAATGGTTAACTCATCTCATACCTGACATGTGCTGGTAATGGGGTGAGAGATTGTAATCACCACACGATTAAGCTGTTTTATCAGGTTTCCTCTTCCTGGGAATATGGAAATCTAATAGTATAATCCTGGCTTTGATCATGAGTGAGTTTATTTCTCTTTTGAGGAGGATTGGATACAATTAAATGCAATTTCAAACTTTAATTAACTAATTGATATAGTGTAAAATTTATATAAACATGGTTTGGATTCAATTTCTTTTATCTTTTTGCAGTAAAAAGAAAGGTAACGGCAATGATGTTATTGAAACTAGCAACAATTCTTCAGATAGTGATGATGAAAATTTGGAACATGGTGCAATGAGAAAAGTATCTACTCATAGGCAACTTAAAAGCAAGGTAAGCACTAATATAAGACAATTTTTATGATTCAGTAATCTATATAAAAATATACAGGTCTTAAAATAGCAAGTTTTCTGTGTTTTTGTCCGATATTTTTGGGTGATGATTCATGGTTCGGATGAAATGTGGCAATCTGATGAATTGCAAATGTTTTCACAAGACGTAAATAAACATTAAATTGCTACTGTGTGCTACAGTACATATATTTATATCAACTTGCCCCAGGGTATTGTTTTTCATTAATTGGTCAGTGTACCGAACAGTAGCCTCTTATTTCATTAAGTACTCTTCTCTCTTGTTATGTCATGATGACTATGGGTGTTTAAGAAACTTTTCTTTGAATCATAGTTCACAGTACTTGAACTTGAAAATTGATAAGGTAGGACCTATCCAAAATGACTGATTTGTGTTTGAAAATATTCATGAGGATGGATGATCTTAATAAGTGAAACCTGAATCAGTTTTTTGATGACATCATTTGGAACATATTCTAACGAGAACTTTTGTGCGAAGCGTCCTAGATTTCTGAAACTTTTGGGGGCAATCATACACAAAGAAAGGTTTATTAAAATCTAATGGATTTTCTTCATTTTCATAGAGATATTTCTTTTGCGCCGTACTGTTCCCGTATGATAGTAAAATTATCTGAAACCTTCAAAATAGTGATATATCTTCAAAATGAGAATTTCAGCTCTTGAATGAGATTTTCAATCCATAATTGCAATTTAGATCCAAGTTGCCCTTGAATACACACACAACACTATAAGCTGATCCTTACTAATCTTCATTGAAATGCACTATCAATAACTCTTTAAATGTACCACATTTTGTTATGAACAATGAAAAATTTGACTAATTCATATTTATCCTGATAGAGAGGAAAGTTGATAGCACTACTTGATAATAATTATACGTTCAATGGCCAATCTACCAATTCATATTCACTAATTTGCATGGATGCAATCAATAAAATTATATCGTTCCATCAATCAAACTATCTTTACAGGTTATTCGAATCAATTGGCATGACTTGATTGAACTCATTGCATAATAACACTCAATCAGATACAGATTTTTTTGTCATACATCAACCGGGTATGGGCCGTTTGAGTCCTTTGTGATTGATGATTTGTTCTCGTATATTAGTCTGGTCATTACAAGTTTCAATGACTATAAATAAAATATGAATTGAGGACCATTCCTCACTGAAATCTGATATTGTTGACCTTTTATCGGAGTATCGATATAATGCAAATAAAGTTGACATCAAAATTTTATGATATCACTTACGGTACCTTCTATTATCTTATGATTTGTACTATTTATCAATTTGTGCTTTTATATTTAGAAAAATATGATAGTCTTTCGCTTTTATTAAAAACATTATTGTTGTGTTAAATGGTATTCATAGCCAATTGTCAGAGTCGTACAAGGTCTAGCCAAGTCACTCTGCTTGATTGTATATATATAAGAACTCCAAATTATTCAATAAAACAGTTTTTTCGCAATAACCCTTTCCATGAGACATTTCACTAAATGACTATTCCATGTATATTTTTGATCAACTTTGACTAAGCATATGGACGGTGACTGAAAATTTGAGCTAAATTTTGACTGTTGTCATAATTTTCATCAAAAATCCTTTATTCAATCATAAACATGTTTTTAAGCGCTTGACTGGTTTTAATATGATGTGGCAACTATAAATAGCCTAAGCAGCCTCTTACAGACATTTTATTTATATATAAAATGTCAAATTTATTATAACCAAATGATTATAGGAACATTTAATTATATCAAGCTGTAGTTTCATAGGCTTGACAAATATTGATCTTGGATTAGCACATTATCTTATTGATTATATTTTCATTGCCCGATCCATGTTTTTGACCCATAAGTAGCTTGTTTATAGAAATACAAATGAATGATTATCTTACCTATAATAAGCATGGTCCATCTGTCAAATAATTTATAATTTTTATGTTGAAATAATATTTGAATTATGGATCAGGGATGTATAATACAGATTGGATGTTTGAATGGGTAACCTGAAAATCAAAACCCATCTGGGTCATTTGGAAGGGGAACATATTCTAGCGAAAACATAACTTTTGTGAAAAGCTATCGCTAATCATACGCAAACATAAGTTCAAGTGTTTGATTAATTTTCTTCATTTTTGTAAAATTATTTAGAAAAATTTTTGAGTCGTGTTTTTGGGTCAAGATATATATTTGAAATTAATTATATTAAACATAATAAATTCTTAATTTTACAAGTAATTTTGAATATGTTTATGCGAAAATTTATCACCTCAAACATGTAACATCTGGTAATACAACATTAAATAAAATTCTTTTTACATGTGGCATTGTAATAAATAGAGAAACAATCGAAATGAAGTTTATTGCCAACTGCATTACAAATCTAACAGTGCTTTGTGTACCTGATTCAGAATATATTGTATAGGCATAGGCCTATTCCAGATTCGAAAAATTATTTCAGACTATATTTGAATAGTAAATTATTCGTCGTAATCCCAGATTTACATCAATAGTGAATTCACCAAGCGCTTAAATTTTCAATTTAAAACGTGTCACAAACCTCATTTTTGTCATCCAGTGACGTCAATTTCAAAATTGTATTATATCAATTCTCATGTCAACCGCTATCTACTGACCTCGCGTCGTCCGAAACGATAAATCTATTTATATCTCGTAATGCGTCACTCTTCCTTCCACCTTTAGTTTTGAAGGATAGGAAGTCCTAACCTTGATTTGCTTTGAGCAAAATTATGTCAAAAACATTCAAAATAGAGTCACTGTGATGTGGATTCAAAAGTATTATTACCTGTAAAAGTAATACTCAAATTAGTAATTCTCTAATAATCTGATAATTTATCACTAAAGGAAACATATGTGAATAATTTGTTATCCATAAATATGTGTATAATTTTTTTTTAATTTGAATATTGATTAAAGAATTGATCTGTTGTTGAATGAAGCCATTATGGCTTAATCAATATAACAAGAAAATATGAAAATTCATAATTTTGCCGTTTACAAACATGACACTTGCTCACTAAATTCTAATATTTGCACTAAGTTGCTTACAATTTCGATTTTCACCAGCTGTAGGAGATTAGCTTATAAATAATTATTAGATTTATTAGCTAGAATATGGTTTGTAGCATTATGTGATTCGGCATGGCAGCCCTTACAGAAACAGGTAATTACTAACTCATCAGCCATTACCTCTTGTTAAAATCATTACTAATTGAACTATAAATAAAAGCATTGGTAAATTGTTCAAAATTTGGTTTGATAAGGATTTTAGTGTTCCCATCGACTTTTTTGAGAAGTCATGACGTCTACTACTCAGGAAACAAAGACAGGAAGTGTTACTGGTATGCGAAAGTCATCGATACTACTTTGTCAAAAATGATGCCAGATATTCTGAAACTGACATATGCGTATGCGTACAGCTTCGAAAATAAATACTCGCGTTCTCAAACATTCTCACTCGTTCTCACACAAAAACCCCGCGAAAGTTGTATTTTGCAACATCTTTTGAAATGCGAATTCCAGGTAATGTTCATACACTATGTGACATGGTAATCCTTGTCGTGACCAAACGAGTGCTCTCTTTTATCTGTTCTTTCACCATACTAAAATAATAAACATAATTTGTATGGTCAACTGCAGTAGCATGTACCTAACTACAGATTTCGTTTGTCTGTATTCGTGTAGTAGCAGATCCGTATGCATTGACTGCAAGGACTGTAGCATGAATGAAAACGGTTATATTGAGTCAAATATATTAATATATTTACACTGATTAGATATTATTTCAATCTTCTCCCAATTCCATAATTATGTTTGGAGTTGATGAGGATGGAATCTTCAAAGCTATTTTCAATTCATTAACATCAACCTGATTGATATATTTATGGTTGTTTGAATATATTTTTGCATATCAGCATATTTGCATATTTGAGTTGATGATTAATGATGGGCGAAACGAATGGGCAGAAAACTATGTTTACTGCCTTTTATTTATCTTATTTTTTAGGACGCTTACTCAAGCTATTCGCTCCGAACTAGGCCCTGAACTAACAACCACTATTATCTAACGATACTGTTTATTGGGAGGACCACAACCTTTCCTGTTCGTTTTTGTCTCCCTTATTTATATCCCCCTGGGTGAGGTGAAGGTCATGGGATTTGATCCCATATGTGAAACATGTGATGCACATGGTCGAGTCTAACGCTTTAACCCAGGGGTCACCAAACTTTTTTGACCGCGGGCCGGGTATGACTCAAATTGTGTTGAAACGGGCCGGATGAATATTTTTGTCAATGCAATACAATAAATTCACAAAAGTTGGGAATATCGCAGAATATAGATCGAGAACAACCTAGGAAAAAAAATTAACAAGATTTCTATATCTAGACAACTATCCTGAGTTTAGCTGTTATCAAAACGTTGCTTTCATGAATTAGAAATGTTACAAAATCCGCGGCAAAAAATGTACGCATCACGTCTACCGTTACGCCGTGTTGAAATACCGCTCATAAAAACGACTGCCTGCTGTAGCTTGGAATTCTATGAAATTTTGACATAATTTAGATAAAATAAACAACTATTATCTAGTATTTGAATTTTTTCATTAGCGCATAAATTTCCCAACATTCGACGCTTTTAAAAATTACGCTCCAGTTATACGTAGTGCAAATTAATGATATTGTCTACGGACACCAATAAAATTTATATGGACGTGTGTATTTCTTGTCTAATTTGATACTTACCAATTTTTATGAAGTTCGTACAATCAGAACATCGTTAATTATTACCCACAATGAACCACTGTCAAACTATCATGCACAACTCCAGCGTTTATTTGCGACGATCTTTCGGCGGTTGCCAGAATAAAATCCTGAAATAGTCTCAATATACCATAGATGTGACGCACATCGAAAGATTAGTGATTGATATGTGTTATTTTTCCATATTTAGTACAGTTCTTATCAAAAAAGTAATACAATCATTATGGAAAAAATTGGTTGTCGGGCGGTACTAAAATTCCGATATCTCCGTTATTTCTTGACCGTTTATTCCAAACTTGGTATTGTTTTCTATTTTTACTCAGATCTTTCCACTGGAGCAGTTTTTATTTAAATCGGATGAACTTCAATTTTTTTGTAACATACCACCTACATGAATATCCGCATTAAAGCAGTACAAAAGTTAGTGTGGCTTTTGAAATTGGAGCAGTACGCGAGGGATTACAGTACTGTTAGCACAAAATGCACATTCGACGTTTAATTTAGCACGAAAAACAAACTGTTTCGTCGAAAGCAAGCGCCACGAGTGTACAAGTGTATCGCAGAAAACGTTACGTACTGGTAGCATTCAAAGTCGCAAAAACGAAGTTTTGTTTACAACCACGACTGAAAATCTGTCAGAGTGACAAAAGTGTCTGAGCGGATGCGGAAAGGCCTATTATTACGTCACTTTTCTGCATCTTGCCGATTGGCCAATGTTACGAAATAAACAAGGACGACGATGCTCGTGAAAATCTTCCTTGGAAAAAAATATGGAAATGACGCCGCGGGCCGGATAAAATGACGTCGCAGACCGGATCCGGCCCGCGGGCCGTAGTTTGGTGACCCCTGCGTTTAACCAATCGATCGTTGCTCCCATGAAAGGTGCGCTTTTCTAGGATTCTATTATTTTCGCTCTAGTTACATTTTTGAATTTAAACTGCTCCGGGTTGACGTGATAACGGTTTCGTCTTTCGTCACCAGGTTATTTCTGTTTACAAGTGCTCCATATTCATATCTGCTCGTGTTTGTATTTGATTTCGTTGGACTACAACATAAACTTAAGATGTGCTTCGAAACTCTCGGAACAAAGAAATCATACACACTTACAAAACACGCATCGTGCTATAACCTGTAACTTTTTCCCCGAATCAATTATATAGAATATGTCTATTGCGATTTGTTATTGTTCGCTTTTTACAAATAATCGCTTTAAAAAACATCCATAACATGCTGAAAGGGCAATTTTAGATACCCTTATCTTAGTTCTGTGTATATTTCTCGGTAAAATACATCACAGTCTTAGTTTACATTGCCAGAACGAATTCGAATTTTTAAAATAGAATGTTGGTGGATTGTTATGTCTGCCACTTAGGGCGACGCTACTCCGAGGCCATAAATCACCCACGCATTCCCAAGACTGCGTGCGATTCGTCACAACTGCAATTATGGCAGGGGGTGCGATTGCATGTAAATCAAATTCGTATAAGATATATCTTGCTCATTTCCTGCTATCTGACGTAAGATTATGTTGTGGTTATTTTAGTCTCATTTATACCTTTCCTTCTCATCGGCCAACAAATCTTTCCGATAGAGATGCCATTAAAAACATAAAACTAACTTTAAATATGTTAAATTTCTAATATAAAACGTCATCGAGTACTTTGTACTTTATAATCATAGTTGTATTCTTTTCAATTAGGCCCCATGGGTATGTAATTAGGCCAGGTCACTGGTAGACTTAATAACGTAAGGTATCTGGTAACTTGCTACATATTGTATTGGCATGTTGTAATCTAATATGCATAGTCGTTTAATCAAAATGATATACGGTATATACTATACGATCGAGCATGAACGATCAACTGACGATACTCAATCTGTCTTTGGGCCAACCGAGGCAAAAATTTAATATTAATTAGGATTTTGAGCTGCAATCTCCTATGCCTCTACATGCGATGACAGCGAAATATTATACAGCTGTCTATTTGAAACTACAAATAGGATAGCGAGAGCAACATCGCGTCGTTTGATTATTACAGAGGAGTTTCTAGAAGTAGAAATCGCCCATAGAATGAATCAATCCAGCGCCAGTTTATGTTTTAAATAATAAGAACAGAAATAGTGTATTTTTTGGTTTTAGTCGAATATGTTTTATCACAGGAAATGTTCCATTTTGCCTTTGGAAGATAGCGAGGTAAATATGAAGAAATCATTTGTAATGAGTTGTATTTGAAAGATTAAGGCTGGTAAACGATTTAAATGTAAACCGTCTTTTGGGAAAATCAGTTCTGTTAACCACTGCGTTGTGGAATCCAAAGTCGGATTCTAGATTTTTTTGCTGCTTGTGAAGTTTGAATTTATTTTTTAAGGAGTCGTAACTAAAGGCCTAGCGGAAATAATAATCGAGGAATTACTTTTACTCCCAATTTTCACCAGAAAAAAGACTTGAAAAAAAGTTTTTTCGGTAGTCTGTAGTTTGATTATAGCGTCGTCAAATTCGTCCTGGTTGTTCTAATCTAAGGAAAACCATTGAGAATAAAATGAAATATTTAGTGCCGTAAAATAAAATTATTGTGGAAAAAGTTATCCAAAAAAGGTTATGATTATGATTGGAGGCCATGTTTGAGACGCTTCAAGTAGATGCCTATGCAGGGCACTTCGGAGCGAAAGGCATGAATGAATGAATGAAAAAACATTCAATATACAAAATAATTTGAATTAGTGGATGAATCATGGATGGTTATTATTATTAGGTAAACCAGCCTCGAAATATGCGAGATATAATTCAGATTATCTGCTTACACACAACAAACACTATCCCCGGAAAATTTAAAGTATGGGTATTGCCACTTGTTATCGCTTTCGTTGTTATTATACATAAACATAATCGCCTTAAATAGATTATTTGAATCTTTTTTGAAGCAAATTCGAAAATATTATCTTACATTCGGATCATTGAAAACAACTGTAACAGCCTCACGGTGTTTCGGCACATATCTGCGTCACGTCTCCAGTTCGTTCTACCGCTATTGAACTTGGTCTACGGCAGCATGTCGTCATCGACCGGCTGTAAGCAAATGTTAGTGACCGGAAATATTTCATGATTTGGCATTGAATGAAGAATGATGAAAAGTCTGAGCGGCGCCACGCTGGGTATAGGACATCATCAATCACGTATTTTATGCTGTAGAAATCACGCCGTAATATGTTGGATATTGTGATATGATACATTATTATTACCTTGATAATTTCTCCCCAGAACTTCATCGTCTAAAATAAATCATTCATAAATGTAGCAGTGGATTTAATTATCTTGAAATTTGAGTAATTTTTCAACTTTTGCGAGTAGTATACAATTACACGATAAATCAGGTGTGTTAGGTGTGAATGTGATCATATTAACTATGGCCAATTCAACGATAAGTAACCTAAGCAGCAAAAAAGTGGTATAAACTATGAAATATATGTGTGTAATGTAATACGCGGTGGCCTATTTGTTGAAGCGTTAGATTTAATTGTGACGGCATCACAGCCTTTACAGGTCAAAATACCAGGTTCGGATCCCTTGCTAGTACTTCGCCAAGATTGTAATAAATTAATTACGCTGTGATGAACCGGAAAAATCTTTTCCCGTGTCTTGTTTAGGAGTCCTATTGCTCGTGGGAGTTTTCTTGGATGTATGAAATTTCAGTGGCTCTAGCTTCCAACCATCTAACTATATTTTCACATTTATAATTTCCTAATACACCATAAGAATAATATAATCCATTTAAAGTTGAATCTATACGTTAAATTTTAAAATTCAAACTGTTATGTCATAGTTTTGAATTCCGTCTCCGCGCAACTGCAATTGGTCTGATGTTTCATAATAATGGCCAAACCAAAACATCTCATTGGCGACAAAGCCAGTCCTGGTCATGATGAATATTCATATATAATATTTCATTCTAATATTTTATTTTTCAGGTCAGCGTCAAAGAGGGTTATTTGATGCTTCAAATATCTTCCTCGTTTCAGGTTAGTTATGTTTCTTATTTCATAAGCAGTAATCCCCACCACCTTACCCACGATGTAATAAATTGAATAGGCAACCTGATTTCGATCCTTCAAAAAAGGATTGGCGTGGTTAGATCTATGTGTTTGCTCCTTTATTGTCGTGACAGGAATGGCTGATAAATTACAATAGTCGTGTTCTGAAACTATCTCGTGTCGGAATTGCAGATTTTAATGGTGGTGAAATAAGTCGTATAATCACCCAGTACAACTCAAAAAACTTTACTTTCAACAAGCGTTCCTGATCTTCTATTAAAGGAGACCCATATACGTCAATGTTTTTGTTATTAAAGTTAGATTTACTCGGGACTTCGTAGCTGGAGTCGGAGTCTTATTAAATCGGAGTCGGAGTCAAGATTTTTTTCAAACCGGAATCGAACTCGATCGAAATCTTCACAGACTTCACAGCCCTGGTGACAGGGGCGTAAATATGCATTTTTGACCTAAAAAATGTCGCGTTCAAATTCTAGTGGGAATTGTAAGGGAAGTAGCAAGGCAAAAAAAGCATTTTCTCTTTAGCGTAGGAATTTTCTTTTCAATCCACGATCCTCTAGAACGAATAGCATATAGTATACAGGAAAATTTTCGTAGGAACGTTTCAATTGCTCTCATGACGATGTTGGATGTGATATTCTCGGAATTATACTATATCTTTCACATCTTCATCACCACCAGTACGGCGAATTTCTAATTGTATCCTCAATTTGACCTTCGCTTCGAAGCCACGCTAGTTCGATTGGGAATTAGCAAACCTAGTTCAGAATATATACATGACACTTCTTATTTTACATAATATAATTTTTGAATTGTATTTATTGGCAGAAATGGAGACGATATTATTTCAAACTGCGACCAAGAAGACTTTTCTTCGCAAAATCCAAGGAGGTAAGTTTTAATAATCCAGTTCGTATACAGTTTGGACCAACCTCACGGTAACAGTTTTATTTAATCAATCATTATTCAACTGTTACCTCGTGTGTCAGCGTGGGCGCTTATATTGTTGCTACTTTCAAAATCTACATTTTTTCTTTTCATTTAATCTCGGTGTCGAATGTACCGGTAGTTTCAAATGTAATCTAACATTTTCCTCCATTTTATCGAAAGCCAATATTTCTGGAACAAATATTATCATTTGGCCGTACTCAATCATCGATAATTACATCGTGTACGTGATTTACCCAGATTTTTGAATTTTTTAACCAGCTTTTTTTGTTCAAACTTTAATTCTCTGCATTTCCCATTTTCTCAAAGTCGTCATATAGGAGTGTCAGTCAGAATATAATTTTCATCTATATTCCAGAAGATTAATAACAACGATTATTTGATTCTTTAGTACAATACGCCATTGCTGCTGATTTCGATTTAGGGAGTAAACATCATATTTCTTATATGTGAAAATGTTTTTTTCTCACGGCAATTGGTGTGAATAAATTCTTGGGAGAATTGCACTGTATTGAACAATGACGATTTTGGTGTGGTTAGCTAGCTCCAGAGCCCCCTCTTCCGATTAGCTGTGATGGCATGAAACTGCTTTATATCATTCAAAAATCACCAATCTTGAACTGACCCATGACATGACCCCAATCATTTTTTCCTATTCAACGTTAGGGTTTCGGCATTTGGATGAAAACTAAATACTACTTTGCACTTTATTCTTTTCTAGCATACAATGTCATTTGTGAAACAAAATTAATAGACTTGAATAAACGACCACAGGAATCTGAAATAACAATGATTGTGAAATAATATATGGTTGTGACCTTAATGCGGATCAAAGCCGATCGAAAAGATATCATGTCTTAAGAGTGGAATATCTTTACAAACATGAATAGATTCACCGTAGCATTATAAATGTTTTTCGTCAGTTCAAATGCATGAGATTCCGTATTTTTTCGCATGAATTTTATAGAATCGAGTGCCAGAAATCGCCTCATTCTTGATAATAAATGCTGCATGCCTGCATATGTAAAGCTCAAAACTACACACCAATAGATTTTTAAGACTCTGCAAAAAGATGCAGTAGCATGTTTCCAGTCTATCCTATTTTTGTAGACGTATTTTGATTACTGAGACGAAATTCAAGAGTCACTCAAATATCAAATGAAAACTTTATTTTCAAATCTACACCTCAAACGAACAAATCGCGCCCAAGACTACAATGCTTCGAAATTTAACGAACCACAAACGAGGCAAATTTAAACTGTTGCGTCACCGCTATCTTGCCGCTGATTAGCGCTTGTTACGGATGTTTATGCATATTATAGATTTTTTACAAAAATTGTTACATCATTTTGTGTTTTACTAACAGGCGGAGATATTTGACGAAGTTACATTGGCGGACTGCAGCGTTGCTGAGAGAAGCACAAAGAATGTTAACTGCAGTTTTTCGGTGAGTTGCTCTTTACTTCGCCAATTAGCATCGTTACAGGCTTTAAAGTCGCGGTGGGAGCCTAGCATCTTCGTTGGTATGGGAGCCGAAAGTCTCATTTTTCGAAGTAAATATCTGACGAATTTAGAATGACCTTTGCGGCGACGCTTTGAGTTTTTACCGTCAGTCCTGATTGTGAGCTGTGGTCGGTATCCAGAATGACAGTCGGATTTGTTATCCGGACTGAAAGTCGTAGTTTGTATCCAAATTGAGAATCAGAATCGGTATCCATATTGAGAGTCGAAGTCTAGATCCGTATTGAGAGTCGAAGTCTAGATCCGTATTGAGAGTCGGAGTCTTGATCCGGATTGAGAGTCTGGATCCCAATTGAGAATCGGAAAGCGATATCCGCATTGAGTCCACATCCGGATTGAGGGTGGGAGTCGGGATCTGTATTGAGAGTCTAAATATAGATCCGATAGATGCGAATTGAGAGTCTGTGCCAGGGTTCGGATTGTAAGTTGGAGTCGGGACCGGATAGGGAGTTGGGGGTCGGGATCCGGATTGAAAACGGACTCAGATACCGTTTTTGGAATGATTCAGAATTCATCTCGTCTTCACAGATATGGATGTTTTAACAGAGATGTGCAAAATTCAAACGGTATCAAAGGCTGGGCTACCCAGTCGATGTTTTTGTTTATTTCAATATCAAAATTATAATTATCTCAAATATCGTCGTATGTGTAATCTGAAAAAAATCGTATTATCACATCACGGACTTTACCGCGGAAGATAATGACATTGAGAAAGCCAATTTCCGTATTTGTATTATATGCTCGAAAGCGGATTTAAAAAATAATTTAAATTAAATTCCCCCTGAACCATGAATAATTATATGAATTTACATCGTAGGTTGTAAGTCACTCATTGTGTATGAAGTGCTGTAATCCGTTTATTGTTTCTCGTACTATGTCTCAAACCTAATTGTATTTTGATCCTTTCAGATCATAACACCGTTCCACAGTCTCATAGTATGTGCCGATTCGAGACGCGAAATGGATGAATGGATTAGCGCTATAAAAGCTGTTCAGTGTGGGGAATTTTACGAGGTATGGTTTTAATTCGTTCGTTGAATTCTTTTTGTATATTTCTCAATTATAGGTTGTAAATGCCATTTTCGATAGTCTAGTTCTTGGAACATCGTTTGCATATCGTAGATTGCTTTCGAATTTTATATATACAGGGTGACTCTAAAAAACAAAAAAACAAACCAGGTCATTTGGAACATATTCTATAGAGAATTCAATTTTGTGCCAATCGTCCAAGATTACTGAAATTTCGGAGCGCAATCATGTACAAACTAAAGTGCTAAAAAAGTTTCTTCATGTTCGTTAGAAGTAATTAAGAAATTTATGGGTTCTGTTTTTGGGATCACACTGTATATAATTATATGCCGGTATATATTACAATGCATTTGGCATGTTTAGAGCATAACTTCTGTGTAATACATCTTATAGATTACTGGAACTTTTGTGTACAAACATACACAAATAGAAGTTGAAAATATTAAATAAGTTTTCGTCATTTTCGTGCAAGTAATTGAGAAATCCATGGATGCTATTTTTAATTTGAATTTATATAGTAAAAATAACTTTTTAAAACGTTAAATTTTTGGCGCGAAATTTTTGTTTGATGCAAACGGTCCCGACTCCTCCCGACTAATTTTTATTCGGCCTTTACTTCTACCTTTGAAATAACACAACTGCGCCGATAAGAATGTAAATCGCGAGTGTACAGTAGTGATTCGAGACGATAAAAAATAACGGGAAGTTTGTAGTTTTTGTTATGAATAATACCTATATGGTCCGACTGCTTGGTTGTGTTTGTTAGGTTCGAGTTCAAAATAAATCTTAATTACTTTGCTTGGTTGAGTACTCTTCCTGTCAGAAGTACTTCGGTTATGGGTGACATATCGTAAGAAGTTTTCAGAATTTGAATATTAAAAATAGCATTTTTTATTGTTAAAAATAGCCCTCGTTTGCGGTGAAATTTAATTTTGATCTATGTAAATTTTTCATATTTCGATTACGCTGGAAGATTGATTCAGTTGATAAATGATTATAATAAGAATAAATTGTATGGAATTATAGAATACCTAAGAAAACGCGATTTGAATCAAAATAAAATCAGTATTGTCGTCTTAGAGTAATACAGATACTTTGGAAATTATTTTGTAATTCGTTTTTGATCCAGGTTGGAGAACTGTAGGTAGGTGAGAAATCGTCTGTTGAGGATTTGGCTTGAAAGGAGGAACGTCAGGTCTGCTTTTGTAACGAAGTAGTAGATAGCGAATATGGAGGAAAACTTGAGCCGGTTTTTGGATAATATAGATCATATAGGGGGGAATGTGTTGGTCCAGGATGGAAAGGTAACCAGGTGTAAAGTCGTCTGATGAGAATTTAGCTAGGCATGGAAGAAACGTCAAGTCACGAAGTGACTCGTTACGAAGTTGGAGATTGCGATTATGCAGGGATTAAACTTGATCCGTATAGTATCTATTGTTGTTGTTTTTATAATCTCCGGCGAAAAGAAAATTACTCTACTCTCGTTCAGTCACGCTTCGTCATGCACGGGGAAGAATTACACTGTCATTGGTTAATAATTTAGCAGAAACGAAAGTGCAAGTTGCGTAAAATGACACCAACCTGAAACGGATGTGACTTGTGTTATCGACCGAAGACTGCCCCGTGCAGGCGCCATGACATTATTTTGAAGGAACAACGAGAATGTCTATTTTGTATAAGAGCTATTATAAGGCTTACTTCGCGCAAGGCCGAATTTTTTTAGATATACGAGGGGGCTTGTTTTTTACGGGATAGGTATTTAGAAATGCATGTAATTTTGGATTGTTTTTTTTTCGAAATTATTTATTGACCTTTGATAATTTGCAGCAGGTAGTAGAATGTGCGTTATAAGCTCGGATATTGTTCTTTCTGAAGACTGTTAGTTATCCATGAGATTATCAGAAAAAGATGCATGCTATGAAATTAACATTAAATTTCCTCCAATTTTTATTCGTTTATTATTTTACAATAGCATTAGAATCTTATTTGTCCCGCCTTGGAAAGAATTACAAAAAAAAAATTTGGGGGAAATTTACTAATATACGTAGAATCGCTAGCGTAGGTGACAATGTCAAGGGGATAAAAATACCATCAATTTAGTACGGGGAATTCTTGAATGTCTCGATTAGATAGGCAACGCGTGGGTACTAAATGTCAAATTCTTAAATACGCGAGAGAGTTGGGGTATTTTTCTTATTTATTTCTGAAATATTTTGATCGGCATCACATGATATTATGATTATCCTAAAAATAGGTATAAGGAGGATTAGTCTTTAAATCCTCCATTAGACCCCAAAGGGAAATGAAAGTATGGTAGGGGGGGGATTATTTTTGTTATAGAAGGTTGGATCCTATCCTAGTATGAAAATCAGAAAGTTGGGGCTATTTTGTACTCTCTGCCGTTTGCAGTGCGCGATACGAAAATGCATTCCATTTGGTTAAAAGTTATCAAACATCGTGTCACACAAAACAGTATTTTTGCACTCCTGTAACTTTCGCAATTTCGCAATTATATAGATCGGAACGATACTCATTTTGAAATGCAATATTAAACCATTTTCTAATAACGGATTATTTTTGTATGAAGGTTATATATATATATATCTATGCAGGATGTAGTTTATCCGCTGGGTTATACCCAATTTTCAGCATATCTACCGTTATGGAATAATTACGTAATCTAAATTATGACGCAATCACATTGATAAAATCTTTTTTGCTCTTCATAACTTAATCGGTGACGCTACGATTGGACCATTAGCGGGTGTTTAAGGTTGATAACATGAGTTGGATCACCACAACTGTAAATATTGCCGAATTTACATCATGTTTTGTATCAAGCGCAGGGCATGTGGATTTGATAAATATGTATTCTGTTGAAAAAATGGCGCTCGTGGTGCAAGTCACTGCAGAGAAATTAGTTTTATTTTTATTTTCTAGTCATTTGGTTTACAATCTTGCTCAGTCAAAGTGAGATGTTTGCATTTCGCGTTAGTTAAATAGCCCTCTATCTCGAAAACTTCGGAAGGTCGATATTTTATGATCGCTTCCCAGTTGAATAACAAATGACCAACCAATAGCAAATCATATACGGCCCAGACAAAAGCGAATTGGTACTGATGACTAATTAATACCAATTGGATCCCGCTGGGATTTGGTCTAATTACGGCCTCGCCCGTCTTTGCGTGATGCATTACTCGCAAACCAGTAAGACTCTGCATTCGTAATCGGGAAAGGCGTCGTTTCCGAGTGTAAACTAAGGCAGTGAATATGGTTATTGCTAAGGTATTTTAAGATGTCATTGCCAAAGGGTTAGTTTTTGTTATAATACACCGGCTATTGAACGAAATCTCTTTCGTTTTGGGAATATACTCGGTCTTCTTTATGTCGGTTACTGTTACGAATATACAGACAGTTTATTTTGGGTTCAGAATAACAATGTACTAGATGCACTATATATAGATAATTCAATATCCACAGATAATTTAATATCCATTGCTGCGCACTAGTACACATATATTTCTGTAACGTTTCTAGGGACCATTACCGAAGGATAGATTGTTAGTAAATCAGTACAATTTCTGCTTTGAAATATAGGAGAATTGAAACAAGCGATTCATTTTTTATTTTCTGATTTTGAGCTACTGAGCAAAAGGAGTTAAGGAATAATGTAATACAATTTCGCCCTGATAAACGATAACAGCACCTAATTTGATTTAGTTAGGTATGGAAATATACCGTATAGTTCCAAAATAAAATCGGCGTTAAAAACATGAACCGAATGTCAGAGAACGTATTCCATTTCTCTGGTACTGGTTAATAAATAAAGTATTTTTATTTTTCATTCAAACTATGATTTATAAATTTCTTTTATTCTGAATGGCATAACGCAGCGTTCCCCCTGTGCAGAGGTGGTGTTGTTTTACTGATATTGTTTAGTTATCTAGTTTTTAATTTCATATATATTTAGACCACATTATAAATTATTCAAACTGCGCAAAAGCCATAGTTCGAGTCGCGAGTAACACTAGCTAAGGTACCATTAAAAATAGAATAGAATAACGGAAATTTAGTTTTTATGCATAATGAAGGAGGAGTAAAAAGTTCCATAATAGACAAATGGGAATTTAATCAAATTGGCTGGGAAACACTAGTATAGCGTATAATTAATATAATTTCGCAACCGCATTATGACATATTCCGCATACGCATAATTCTGAATCGTAATATAAATTAACCAGATTTTTTACAATTCGAATAAAAACCAGCAATTTCTATTATCCGACAAGCCAGAAACGCTTTTTATTTATATTTTATAGTAATACTTTCGGTTTATATTTAAACAAAACAAATTGATCATTCGTAGTATTTTCTAACAATTCGCCTTCAGATTAAATTAATCTAAACCTCGATGTTGGTAGTTAGCGTGGGATTTAAAAAAACAAACAATTGTCATTTAAATATATATTAGTAATGAGTTTTAAATAATTAGCCAGTCGATGAATTGTTATTGGCTATGCTATTTTGGTCTTGCATAGCTTAGTTCTTAATGTTGGGAAAAGGCCACCTGGGACTCACGAGTGTTTGCTTGTGTGATGGACGTAGTTTCCGGTGATTAATAATTATTTGAAAGGATTGTGCATTATGCAGTGCTAATGGATGACCCGTTTTGTTTATTCATTATATAGATAGAGTACGAAATTTAAGAAATCCGCACACATGAATAATAATAATGTCTAATAATGACAGTCTTAAGTTAGAATCGACCGGCTTTTATTAGTAAGTCGCCCGCATTTCAGTGAGTTTATAAAGGTTGACAGGTTGAGCGACATTTTCTCCGTCGTGAGGCTCGGTTTGTTTATTGAAAGATGCAAGTTTTATATAAAATGCCATTTGTCAGGAATGTTGCAATTTGACAATATTTCTATCGAAAATAATGAATAATGAAAAATTTGAAATCTAAGCACATCTAAAATTAGAAAATATTTTTGCAAAGTCATGTTGTTATTATTGTAATATAACTCTTTGTGGTATAGTTTATGGCTCCAATAAAATTCACACTATATTCTGTAATAATAGTATTACGTATTAATTAGTAATATGGGTGTAAATAATACTGCACAATTATAGCATATTTAACAGTTTAATAACACTGCTATCTGCTGTTGGTCGTTGTGGGTTCATATTTTCGCTATCAAAACCACCTGACTAAATATTTTCAGTCTAAATTCCTCATAGATCAATATAGATTATACCCTAATTTTAGATTGTATGATGTCATTTGGTAAGCCAAAGTACTGATCTCTCATATCATATTCAGAATAGATGTGGCATCATATATCATCCAATGGATTGAATCATACATGACTTGAGTATAAAATGTTTACAGGCTTTTTCTTAGATAGCGGGGTGACCAAATTAAGAAGTGTTGGTTTAAATCTGACTTTGGGCTTGTACAGGTTTTTTGGTTTAAGGAATGTGTCCCCACTTTGTTTGTTTTCCAGGCATTTCTGTTATATGGTTTAATTGTTTTATTGCATGTTGTGTTTTCATGATTCCGAAATAAATTTTATTATATTATTTTATTATTATTATTGTTCTTTCTTACATTTTTCGCTGTTCTCACTGAAAAAGTTTTTATTCATACTTTGTAGTGGTTCTTACCTGTTGACTAAGTATTTATACTGTCAATTTTTGTCTTCTAAGTTTTATTTCTAAGAACCTCTACTTATTGGAAATTCCTTCTACAGTAGTTGTTTTCCTGGTAAATCTTAGTTGATTTGTATCTCATTTATTTCTGATGCTGTGACTTATTACTCATACTCGTCATAGTAGTTTTGATGTTTTCCTCATTAACTTTCTGCACCAATCGATTTTCATAATAAAGTATATGCTATCACTTATTATACTTTCGCTTATTATTCTTGGGTTTCCTTCGTTAGAACCAATATTTTGTCATTATTAGAGAAATATTGTTTTGCTTTACCATGCTGATCTTTACTTGATCAGTATGAAGTATGGGAAATTTTTTAATAAGTTTTGATTCTGGGTTATGAAAAATTCAGACATCCGCTCCAACTTCAACAAATACTTCCAAGCTTTCATTATTAATAGACGTTAATAAGTAAGCTTAAGCAAATTAATTTTTTCGAGTCCTGTAAAAAATTGAACTATAACCATTAAAAGTCAGAAAATCAAAAATTTAAAATATGACATCGATTCCCATGAAAACTCCAAATTCATGTTAGTAATGGTACTGTGATATCCATGTTATTAATGCATTGTTTTTGTTCATTGAAAAAAAATTTGCACATGCTGTCTTGAACTATCAATTCTTATACAACATTCTTATACAACAGTTATATAACGTTTTTAAATATAATTTATTTCAAATGAAATGTGAAACGTTTTTGCAACAGCCTCGACAATTTTTCATGGAGAATTTATCTGGTGGACATAACTGGTATACTTGCACTCATGCTCGTCCGACGTACTGCAACGTTTGTCGGGATGTCTTGTCTGGCGTTATGAATCACGGACTTTCATGCGAAGGTGAAGTGAAAGTATTTATGATGATGTTTTTTTCCTTGTTAATTTACAGAAAATCATTTCTAATGACAAATTTTTTGATCTCGAATGAGTGCACTTTCTGTTCTGCGTGTTTTTTTATTTTTGTTTCCAACAATAAAAGATTAGTTTATCTCAAATTTGAACATTGTATTTTTTGTTCAAATGAAAATAAATTTAAAACTTCAACAAAATGGGACGTTTAAAAAAGGTTAGATTGTGTGTAGTGTAGAATAATGTGTAAAAATATTGCCAATCTGCTGTAGAATGTGTGTACTGTACTTCCTGTTTGTCAGCATTCAAATAAAACATTTCTATTTACTTTCAGTCTGTAAATTCAAAGCACACAAGAGGTGTGCTGCAAAATCATTGAACAATTGCAAATGGGCGACTCTTTCTACTGTTGGTAAAAACATCATTGAAGATGAGGATGGGGTAAGTGTGTTTGTGCACAATTTTATATTGATAATATGCTATATGATGGCAGTTTTGTAGAGTCTAGCATAAGTGAAAGGTGACCCAACAAAAACAGAAATCTGGTCATTTGAAGATATTCTACAGCAGGGGTGTGCAACCTGTGGCCCGCGGGCCAATTGTGGCCCTCAAGGAAAAATTGTGCAGCCCGCGAAAAATTCCAATTTTAATACATGGTATGTGCAAGTAATTCTAATCCTTCTGTGTTGCAAAGCCAATACCTGTGTCCAATTTATTATCTATGCCTATGCTATGACGTTACAGTGCATCTCCTAAGACTTAAAATTTTTGGCCCTGTAAGTACTAGAAAGCCTATGTTAAATCAAGGTGCGGCCCGCAGTTTCACCCAGTTATTTGTATCTGGCCTTCCTGTATTAAAAGTTGCACACCCCTGTTCTAGAGAATGCATAACTTTTGCACAAAATGTTCTAGATTAATGAAACTTTTGGGGACAATCATACACAAACAAAATTGTTAGGTTTTCTTCATTTTCATAGAGGCAACAGGCAATTGAAAAATTTATGGGTTCAGTTTTATTGGGTCACTCCATGCAATAAACTTTCTTTGAATCTGTCTTTTTTTTAGGGGGTGTTACACAGATAGAAATTTTGGAGGAGTAATTTGATAATCTCAAATATTTTCTTGTAACTCGATTGGTATAGAATAATGTTTTTATTGGTGGTACAGTCTTGTGTGAATCATCATTTGCAGACAAATGAAGCACTTTTTGTAAATCTGTATATTTACTGTCGCTCTTAGCGTTCAGAGGTCACCCTAGCTGTGATCAAAGTTTTGCTTAGGATTGAGCCTTTGGAAAGTTTTCAAAATATACTCCCAAATTTCAATCTACACCTTTCCAATGTTACATTTGATGATTTTTAGGTTTGGATACCTCACCAATGGATGGAAGGGAATTTACCAGTCAGTGCTAAATGTGTTATATGTGATAAAACGTGCGGCAGTGTGCTGAGACTACAAGACTGGAGATGCCTATGGTGCAGAGCTATGGTAAGTCATGCCAATACTGTGCTAGTATATTCATTTATTCTTGACAATTTTTTTTATGAATATCAATAACATTAGCTGATAGTCACATTCGTATTTTTGTTTCTGCGGTTGACCAAAAAATGTCTGTATTTTCCAAGATTGAAAATTGTGCTTCTGAAGTACTTGGTTTTTTCCCTTTTACAAACTTTTGAAAATCCTAAAATTATTGGACATCGACCGGGACCTTGGTACAGACCATACAGAACACTATTTTATGCCGTTTTTATTTTCAAAAGTCGTTTTCATCATCTCCTTCGATTGCCAAGACGGCATATCAGTTACATACAGATAGTAATTGGATTAATATTGATATATTGAACCACTCATTCTTTGCTGCCTCTCTTAGGACTTGAGATTTCAGCTAATTAGTAATTACATTATTATTGGTCAGTATTGTCCAATATCATCTATTCTCATTAGCTATTTTCATTACTATTCCATCAAACAAATTAAAGCTGGCTTTTAGCAGTAACTCTGGGAAATCGAAACATACGCAATGGCTTGTAAAATAAAAAAAATTTTATGTTCTGTATTTACCCAATTATGTACGGCCAAGTATGAGTTGTAACCAAGCACTGGTAGTTTGGAAAATGTCATTTTGCTTTAATTTTCGAATAACTGATTTATTGCTTATGCTGGGAGAAAATCCATTATATACTCTTGGGATGTCCCAAAACTTTGCTTGAAATGAAATGAAAGAATTTTTAATTTGTTTTATTGGAATCAGGATTTGTAAAGAAGCAAAATCATTTTGTCGTTTACGCGAGCCGCTTTTCATAAAATAAATTGACGACTTATATTATTTTGATGTTTTTTTAATACAAGTCATATTAAAGGCACAAACGTTACATTCTTAACCTGTTTGAGATCAATACAATCACTCAATTCGCCTGCTGTAATATGACCAACAGATAACTATTCACCATTTTTCTTATTTTTTGTTTGGATTTTCTATGTTTATACTCTGTTTACTCTTTGATTTATACGCATGGCGTCCAAACATATTCTTATTTATGGTAATTGATTGGTCAAATCGCTCTAAACATCCTTAACTGCGCTTTTTTTTTATATGACGCTTATTTACGCTTCGAACAAGGTGCTGTACAGGCAGCCACTGATATCTAACGGAGCTACTGTTTTTGAAAGAACTGGAATCTTCCCGTTTCGGCATTGCTTACCCTATATATTACAACCTGGACACCCAGGTTCGGTTTAACACGAGAAGTGTAACCTGCGATGCCGACACTGTGGTAAAGTACACACTTCAACTGCCAGGCTATCGTGACGACGACTGAAAAATACTAATTTCTAAATTTTACTAGACCAAGTATTAATAAGCATATGTCAAAATTTTTTTTAAATTGATCCTTTAAATTAAATGTTAAATATTCAGTATTATAGCAAATTCATCGCTATAAACTTATTTTTTAAGTATACTGTATACTGATTTATGTTCACCTTTTTTAAAACTGTTTGTCTCAGGTTCACACCAGCTGCAGATCTCAGCTACCAGCAACTTGTCCTTTGGGACCATGTAAAATGTCTGTTGTCCCACCCACAGCTCTCAATTCAATTGATTCTGATGGTAAGTTGATTGTTGTCTTCAAACGAAGTTAAGTGTTAACAGAGACATCTAATAAGCCAAAATCATCAGCGTTAGAGGCTAGAATGTACCTGAATGTAAAAATAATGAAATTGACCTATATCAAGTATTGTTGATCTATCTTTGACATTATATTACAAGGGTGATTTAAAAAAACAGGACACATAAATTTCTTATTTCTTTTACGAAATCGAAGAAGTCACTTGAACTTTTTATGTAGAATCGTACCCAAAAATTTCAGTAATCGAGAACACTCTACAGTCTACACAAAAGTTATGTTCTTTCTAGAATATTTTCCAGATTACTTTGATCCTCTTTTTGTTCACCCTATGGGAGCCTAAAAATATGACTATGCAATTCAGATCATTCAAATCTTATTTGTCAATGAAAACATTCAAAATCAATCTGTCATACAGAGTAGCTCGTTTTTAGTTCATTTGCGGATTTTGCTAAACCTAAATGTGCAATAATTATTTTTAGGTTACTGGCAAGCAATACCAACTGGCCAGTGTTCCAGTCCATTGTTGGTCTTTGTCAACTCCAAAAGTGGAGATAATCAAGGAGTGAAATTTCTCCGCAGATTTCGTCAATTTTTGAACCCAGCGCAGGTTTTTGATTTGATGTGTACCGGACCAAGAGCTGGGTAAGTAATTGAGTTTATAATGCCTTTTTTAACAAGTCCATTCGATACAGAATTAGAATAACACTTTAATGTTTATGGGTTTAAGCTATTATTATATCCGTGATTTGTGTAGCTTTTACTCAAACATGTATGTCTAATGCCCAGAAATTGTGTTAGGCATCACAGGTTTGAGATCTTAGAACTGAACTAATGTCTTACAACCTTCATCAATGGTGATCAGTTAAAACTGAAGTATTTTTTGATTGCTCTGAACAAGTCTCTACACTAGGTTAGAGTAGGAATTGAGCCCTCGAATCAATTTGAATTAATTATATAGGATATTTCCAACTCTTGATTTTATAAAAAATTTGATTGCAAAATTGTTCATCGAGATATGGGAATCTCACAGACATCACAGTATTTTCTTTGATGTCCTTTTTTTTCAATTTTTGAAAAATGTAGTAAAAAGTAGAAAACCAATAAAAACACTCTTCATATATGTTTTCCTGCATATCCAAACTCATGGAATATATAGGGTGTTCATAAGGTCTATTTACAATTTCCATTTTGTTATAGAGTCAGTTCTTAATATATCTTAACCAGGTTTGTGTTAATTTTTTAATCACTGTTTATTCAAGTATTTCTCACTGAAACTATGTTACTACATTTAATACATCTTTATATGCTCACTATTAGTTGCACGAAGCGCATCAAAGTTTTTTAACCTACTTCAATGCAGGACTTTAACAAGACCTTGTACATTGATTTCTATGTCCTCTTTGTTGAACTTTACTTAATTTAGAAGATATTCACATTCGATATTCAAAATATTATTTTAGAAGATAACACCTCTGACATAAATCTATTACAGGAGGTTCATGAAGTCCCAAATTTTTAAACTTTAAAGGGAATTTATCGATACCATTTAAATATAGTTTGTTATGTTTATTACATGAATAAAAAAAACTTAATTAACACTGATTTAAATAAAACAAACAAACCTGGTTAATATATAGGCTATCAAGAACTGACTCCATAACAAAATTGAAATTGTAAACGGGACTTTACAAACACTGTATATTTATATGATAGGTATGGTTGTAGCAACTATATTGATTCCTTTTTACCTCACTAAACTCCTAACTAACAAAAATAAATAAAACTGAAATTTTATAAGCTTTGCTTATTATGCCTAGTTACTGAAGCATTTGAGCATGATATGAAGTAGCCTAAAATAGAATTAGTCATTAATTATTTATTAGTGTGGAACTAGTGGGCACATAGAATTTATTTCATGTTCCCCATGAATGAATAATTCATTTTTTTCCTCATCTCGATTGCCCATTCACAAAACTGATATTTGCGTCATTTTGTCTGTGATAACATCAATTTGTATGTTTATATCATAAATAAGCAATAAGCTAGAATCACTAAAATGACGTAGTGTTGTTGATGATTTGTACAATAATTAAGTGTATATATTATGAAAAGGGAAATTATGCTTTTTTAAGGAGGGATGTTTATTTTGTTTTATGAGCATTTTCACAACTTAAAAAAAGTCATCATCTCCATCCCAGGGGGGAGTAAAGCTGATAAGGCGGCTTAATCATTTGGCATGCCATGGCCTCTCGTCTCGTTTACCAGTCCATGTCTGGTATGGGATTAGGTATCCAGTTATTGGAATCAGATGCATAGACTTGATGGCGGAGAAAGCCGTAACTGACCAGTAGTTATGTGAACCACCTGATGGCAATGAGGGGCTAGCAATTATTCTGAAATTTCAAGATTCGTCCTTTTGGTCTTGAAATTCTCAAAATACATTGTCCGTCTAATTTTAAAATAGAAAAAAATTATTTATAAGTTTACATTTATTGCAAATTTAATGTCATATCTACTATCTAGTAGAGTATACTATGGTATAGTACTTCATGTCAGAGAAAATAAACTATTTTTTTTAAAATAATATTCAATCGATTAATCAGTATCTGTTTTCAATTGTAGGTTGAAAATGTTTCAAAAGTTTGATACTTTCCGTATTCTTGTATGTGGTGGAGATGGTTCTGTTGGTTGGGTTCTTACAGAAATGGATAAGATGAATCTCCATAAAAAGGTTGGATTTTACTTTTATCACTGGGTATACAATAGATTTATATTCAAGGAAGTTCATACTTCCCAATTTGTGACCTTTGACATTTTTGTAGTGATTGATCCATTTAGTAGGTAGCAGTCTCTAGGTCTGTCTCTGATGTGGAAAACTTGAGCCGAGAGTAATTTCAAATTCTGTTCAGAAATGGCAGTCTGTTCCAGAGTGTTTAATCGCCTGGATTAAAATATCAAACTGCTAAATGTTATGAGCCAGAGTTAAATTTTTAATTGAAATAAAATATGTTACTCATAATAACCTCAATTTTTTTTGTGATTTTTTTATTGTAGAGCAAAGGGTAATGATTTTGTACTCACAAATTTTACAAAATCTTTGAAGTATTATTTTAGTGTACAGTTTGTTCATCGGTCTCAAAATTTTTTAAATTGCAACTTGAATTTATCGATACCATATATAGTTTAAATAGAAAAAAAACTTAAATAAGCACGGACTAAAATAAAACAAACCTGGTTAAGATATATTAAGAAATAATTTCATAATAAAATTGAAATTGTAGGGACTTTATTATCATTTCAGGCACAAGTGGGTGTTCTACCTCTTGGTACAGGCAATGATTTGGCTCAAGTGATGGGGTGGGGAAATGTGTGTGACGATGATACACAAGTACCTGCTATTCTGGAAAGATATGAAAGAGCAAGTGCAAAATTGCTAGACAGGTTCGTGCATTTCAAGTAATATTGTTGATCATTTTTAACTTTTTTGGTTTTGTTTATCGGATAATTCTATTCATTTGTAGATGGAGTATTATGACTTACGAAGGACCAATACATGCAGCATCTGCTCCAGTTTTAACTACCGTTACTGATGACACTGTGCAGTCTGAGGTTTGTTTTGTTTTCTAGAAAGAGTTAGTTTATGATTTTCATATTTATGTTGATAAGACAACTTATTCATATGGACAACTACGGCCTATCTTTGTCATTTCGTTGTTATATTTGTTGGGATTTTCAGGGTTGTTTTAGTGATAAATGAAGGGTGGTTTTATCAGTTATATTGTTGTTGTTCATATTGGCGTCCATAGGTTGTTGTCACTGTTCTCTACAAGTTATTGACCAATCTATATTAAATTTTCAGCGCTAGGCTTTTTTTTCAAAATTTCTTTTCTTATTGGACTTGACATTTCGACCTAAATTTTTGTAATTCACAGGCATATGACATTCAGTACATTGGACTGACATTTATCTGTCATTGTGGTGTTCACATTGGTGCATGTATACATTCAGTACATTGGACTGAAATTTATTTGTCATTGTGGTGTTCACATTGGTGCATGTATTTAGACATTCTCTCTTTTCTATCAATTTTTGCACAAACATCATTTTGGTCTTATTTTTCAGCCACCTCCTCCAATGTCAGATTACGAGCTCACTGTGGCGAACCATCTCTCAAAAATCTTGAATTCGGATCAAAATTCTGAAGTTATCAAATCTGCAGCGTACGTCTAATCAACAAATTTCAAATTAGGACTTATTTGAGCATAATTTGAATGAATTATTCATTCCATGCATTTTTATTACTTATGAATATTTTAGTAGCCTAATTTTCAACAGCCAAGTTCATTACTGTCAGACTACCGATACTTACTGAAAGATTAAAAACATTTTTGAATTGTTGGTTTTTGAAGGAAAAGGGTTCTATAAGAGCGCTATATAATCTGTAACTACAGAAAAGGGGAATTGGTATAGGTCTGATAAGCATTACTGAATAATTATCACAGAATAAAATTTTTGAAATTCCGATAAAAAATTTGTAGCCGATGCATAAGGATCCACCAACACGTGTCACGCTAGATGGAGCACGCTGCTCTGATCAACCATATACACACAATATTATGAATAATGCTAGGTATTTGTATAAGATATTTAAATATAATTCTCAAAAGATACGTTTTTGAAGGATTTTAATTATGATTTGTGTTCAATTTTTTTGGCGTTCCTGGTGCTCGGTTTATGTGTCATCTGTTTTGTTTTTTAAATGATTTTTTCAAATATTAGGATAAATAAATTTTACGCAGACGTAGTAATTTACTGAATTTTTGTATTTTTATTATTCTCATATTCAGTATTTTCCGTTTAAAATCTCAATTTTCACACTTACCATTTTTTGCAGTGTTTTGTGTGAAACTATCAAAGATTTTGTATCGAAAGTTGCCTCAGATGACAACACAATGACAGAAAAGTGTCAAACCCTAGATGAAAAATTGAATTCACTTCTAACGACACTCAATGAGGAATCAAAAGCGGCTGAAGATGAACAGAAGGTACCGTAGTTCTAATGTTCTTGGCATAGAGTCAGTCCACCCTTATTAATTATCAATTTTATACAATGCCCCGAGCAAGCATTGTACAGGCAGCTTCTGTTTATAATAATATGTAAGGAGATATTTTTACTACTCACTCCAAGGATGTTAATAAATGATAGCCAATTCCGCACCATAAGTATTCCTGACCTTCCATAAATAGTAGCTCCTACATATCAATGTCTGCTTCTATCTAGTCTTCTTTGAAATGAAAGGCATGTGAAAATCTCTGCTTCTATATAGTCTTCTTTGAAATGAAAGGCATGTGAAAATCTACCTGTCTTAAATATTTTCAATTAACTTTACTCTTTTTCCAGAGGGTCTTGCGTAGAAAGTTACGCAAAACTACGTTAAACAAGAAAGAATCAATAAAAGAAGAAGATGAAAATGCGATAGATGAAAAGACTGAAATACCATTGGCAACACTCAACGAAGAAACCTCTGTCGAAAGTCAAACAAAACAACCACCTCTATCCACTGACCAAACAGCCTCGGCTGTCGTTACCAAAGTTAAAATTGACACCAATTTCAATGGCAATAGAACAAGTGCCACGGCTTCTTCAGGTGCCACGGCACCTAATCCTACCAGAGATGATTCACCTTCTAATAGCAGTTCGGATTCCTCCAGTGGAAAAACTGACGAATCTATGGAAATGAAAAACATACCAAAGGTTTGTAAGGGACTACTATTATTTTGGAATATTTATTAGAATCATTTCAGTTTGACATTGCCTAACCAATTTATTACACCCTGGCTGTAATTTACAGGATCTTTATTCATATCATATAACTTCATTTTTAGACTTCTGGAACTTTCCGATCAAGGGAACAACTCATGTTAAGAGCAAATAGTTTGAAAAAAGCAGTTCGACAAATTATCGAGCACACTGAAAAAGGTAAGTATCAAATTAACCAGAACCATTTCACATTGAAAATTTCACATATTAATGTTGGAAATTCACACACACTGCCAGAAGTTTTGCACATCTTGCTTCATATTAGAAACCTTGCAATGTTGGATTCGCAAGTTCGAAACCTGTAGGGGTTGGTTATATGTAAGAGTATTGCTAAGCTTCTCACTGGTTGCTGATTGATTCATCATCACTGATCTCTGTTTTCAGAGCTTTCCCCACCATCCCCATTCTATGCATCTCCAACGATTTTCTGGTCAACTATTCCATATCTGGTCTTGTAACCAGACAAGAGGCCATGGTCTCGTAGGTGATTCAGCTGCCTCATGGACCTATCCACTGGGATGAATATGCAAGCGGAAAATTAAAGCTGATAGAATTTCACTCACATCATCTTTCATTATATACATATACCGTATATGCTCGTTTTACCGCCCGATTTTGATTAAGCGCCCGTTTGAATAGACGCCTGTGTGAACAGAACATAAAAATAAATAGTGGCCGGTGCTTGAATACCCGCCCGATGTGAAAGCTGATTTTTCAGTGGTAGAGAACGATAGGAAATAAGAAGCGCTTTTGTCACAACGATGTTGAGTTTTAAGCGCTGGTAGATAACACTCACGCCTTAGGCGTCTAATTACATAACAGATAGCATTGATTACGTAACATCGTGGTTCTCAAACTGGGCGTCGCGACGCCCAAGTGCGTCGTTTCAATATTGATAGGGCGTCGCAAAACTTTTCTTCTTTTGCGGATTGCGTAGAAAAAGTCAAAATTTTCATAATTCTTGTTTAAATCATACTTGAGAACTGGAAATGACAATATATTAATTATTGTAACGATCGATCTTATATATATGTGACTGGACAAACATCACCATAATTTTTGTGTATAATTTTACTTTAAAAATAACAAGCGCCCGTGCTTGAATAAGGGCCCGGTTAGTGAGTTTGGTTAAAAAAATATGGGCCCGGGCTACAAAACGAGCAAATACGGTATACTATGTTTTCGATCCTAATATTTTATTTTCACTCATCAGCTGTCGATGAACAAAATGAGCAAACACTGCAAAACAAGTTACCTACTCAACATGAAGAAGATGAGACGATGTCCAACAGATCACCACTATCTTCAACGACTTCGAACAAGAGTGAAAACCAACAACAGACCAACAACTTATTATCTATACCAGAACCAGGAAACCGACCGCTGTTCAGACTTTCCGTTGGATCCACTGGATCAATCCCAGATGAAATAAGGTGACAAGAAAATTTTTATGTGATGTTTCACAGCTAAGCTCTGAATAAGTCACTACACAAGCAGCTATGGATATATAGCTTACATGGGCAAACTACTACGGCTCGCGGGCCAAATCTGGCCTGTTGTGTAATTCAATCTGGCCCGCCTGATGCTGCCACACCCACACTGAAACCAAATTAGCTGAAAAATAGCTCAAGACATTTGTTGAGATTGCTATTGAATTTAGTTTTTGCACAAGGTTTTTCGTTTTCCACTTTCGCTTTTGTAACACTGTAAATATTGTTGGCTATATTGTAATGTAACTTTTTATGTCACACTTACATGGCCCACCTGTCTAAGTGGACGAAAATTTTGGCCCCTGGTCTAGAAAACCTTGTCCACCCCTGATATATAGGATGCTACTGTAATCTTCGATGTGGCATTTTTTTTTTTTTGGTATGAGACATTTTCACTTCAAACAAGGCTTTGTCAAGCAGCCACTTATCCCTTTTGGGAAGACCGGAGAATTTCAGATTGCGTCGCCTATTCATTTTATTACACCATGTGCGATATGTTGGGCATGGGTTTGTGACCTGGAATCTTCAAAAACCGACTTCTCGGGCTTCCGACTTCAGGGAGTCATGACTCTGCAGTAAAGAATGTCTAACTCAGAATGGTTTTTGAAACTTCTTCATTTTAAATTCAATATTTTTGTTTTAAGTGCCTCATCGTCAGTGCCATCTACCTTGAGTACACTGGATATTTCAACTTCAGATCAACAATTTCCTAGGCTTTCGCCAAAAGTTAAAGTAAAAGGTAGGCTGACACCTTGTACTACATATGGATATAAAACTTGGTTTTATTCGTTTCATTGTTATTGTATTTTTCTTAACTGTATGAATATCACATATATACTTAACGACTTACTCAGGTATTAATGGGGAAGGCAACAAAAAAAGTGAACGTAGGGTTTCAAAAAGTTACGAAGAGACTGGATGTTCACATGGTGAGACCTAATTTACGTTTACATATGTACACGATTTCAAAAAGCTTTGAAATGTTTCAAATTGTAAAGACAATTTATTGATACCATTTATACATTGTCTGCCGCATTTTTTGACGTCTGTTTCAAAAAATTCAGAAATTGAATCTTTTTTTCTTTTTGTTTAGTTAACCCAGATTTTAGTTCAAGAGGATCCTTCATAAACAGGGTATTATTGGCAAATGCTGATGCATTGTGCGCTGCCGCAAGTCCGCTGATCAACTTTGGATCTCCAATGTAAGTTCGTAGACTATGAATCTGAATGTTCAAAATATATCAGTTATTGATTCGATTGATTTCAATAAGAAATAACCATAAATCATTTATTTCACCTATTTTTATATTTTCAAATTTAATTTTTGTACATTCAAAATAATGTCTGAGACCCATTTTGAAATAAATTTGTTGATTCCTAGTCGAAAAGAATGTTTCAAATGTGCTGCGAATATTAAATTATTCCCCACAATGCTCACCTATCTCTTACTTTTGGAATGACTTTCCCATATGTCACACAATTTTGTGATTTTGTAAAAATTTCGTGCTTTGCCATTTGATAACATTATTTGATTCGCTTTTTTCTTCGGATGATGTGTTGTCACCTCACTTATTTCAAAGTTAGGATTATTCTAATCGGGTTTTCAGAAATGAAATGAAGACTTCTTTTGGTCATACAGTGAGTCTTCAATTGCCCAAAAGGATAATATTTCAAATAAAAAAATTTTAAATCATATATTATTTATATCATTTCCAGAATGAACGAACTCTTCTCAGAAAAATGTGTGATGAACAATTACTTTGGTATCGGTCTGGATGCTAAGATTGCTTTGGATTTTCATAGAAAGAGAGAAGAGCATCCTAAAAAGTGCAGGTTAGTTTTAATTTTTGTTTTTTTTACTAAAGGATGTTGACCAAATGAAACTGATTCCAGTGCTGTGATAACATATTACAAAACTTATACATATTTTGACATGTAATAATTTTTTTTCACATACATTTTTTATGAGTGTTACACATATTTTTACACATGTTTACCACATATATACTCAATTACAATACAAAATTGTGTTATTCTTGGAATAGTGTCTATGTCATTTTTTATTTGACTTATCAACCGTGCCTTCCACTCTGAACAAGGCTCTGTACCTAGGGATGGGCAATGTAGAATAATTTACTATTCTAGAATATTCTAGAATAGTTAAATCGAATCCAGAATACCGAATCCTATTCTATTTTCATACTTATTCAAATAGTGGAAATTTCTACATTGCTGGATTTAGATAGTAAAAAATTGCAAATGTATTACTTACTATAAATGTATTATCTATTTGGAAATGTCCTGAACATTGGATTTCATTTGATACTAAACAGGCAGTTCCCAGGACAATAAAATTTAGGAATATTACAATATTTTTTGCCTTCAATTGTTCCAAATGTATGTAATCCCTAAATACTAATAAATACTGATATGCTAAATTAAGACACGCTTTACACACTTTAATAGTAAGCGGTTAAATACAAAATAGACATGAAACGGCGTTAAATCGTTATTAATGTAAGTCTGCCGAGTATACTAAAACATACCCGCTGAGAATTAATTAGATGCTGAACCAGCATGCGGCCACTGCAAGCAACCTATGCTCCGTTGTAAAATATTAAATTTAACCACTATTAATTAAAATCAACCTTTTATTCTGTGAGAGCAAGACACGTAAAACCAAGTTCCCGTAAAGTTAAACGCGATTTCGTACTTAGTTATTAGGTTATAACATCTGAAGACGAACTCCTTTTCTATGATTATCGTTACATATCATTATCTACCCAGACTTGGCCCTACTCAAATTCAAGACGTCACTATCTTCGCCAGATGCAGCAACTTTTTTCAAAATTCATCGGCGACTAAAATACTACAGACTTTCGATCAAACGTGCGTCTATCTTGAACGATAGAAATGTTATTATTAATCATTATCTACCCAGACTTAGCCCTACTCAAATTTAATACGTCACTATCTTCGCCAAATGCGGCAACTTTTTTCAAAATTAACGACGACTAAAATACTACAGACACTCGATCAATCGTGCGTCTATCTTGAACGATAGAAATGTTATCATTAATCATTATCTACCCAGACTTAGCCCTACTCAAATTCAATACGTCACTATCTTCGCCTGATGCGGCAACTTTTTTCAAAATTTATCGGCGACTAAAATACTACAGACACTCGATCAAACGTGCGTCTATCTTGAACGATAGAAACGGACCGAAAAATATGTAATCTTTTGAGAGTGAAATTTAAATGTGACAGTTGTTCGCGTTTTGCGATATAACTTCGTATTTCGGAAAATGGTATAATAAAATTATTCGTAAATAATATTTGATTTAAATTAATGGCGAGTAATGTTATAACATTTAACGCCTGGCTTTTGGTTTACGTGCATCATTTTTTTGGGAAAACTCGTAGGTCACGAAAAATCATTTAATTTAAAATGAGGCAAGGCACGTCTGTAAACAATTAGAGATTGTTGCATTCAGATTATCGGAATATCACCAGTAAGTCGGCACAAATAACGCTAGCTAGATAGCAAAGGAGGAAAACGCAAAAATGGTGCAATAACGCGTCCTCGCCGTGAGGTTTTATTACCGACTTCTTGTCCTGAATATGCCGATTGAAATTACAGTGTTTGATGTTTACCGATTTACGGGTTCTTTGCGAGCAGACGCAAGTTTAGTTAAACGAGAGAGATTTCCACGCGAGAAAAACGCTCGTCTATATTTGATAAATTAGAAACCCGGAATACAAAAATTGACGCTTGGCGCCGGAGAGGCGGAAACCGAATCCTGTTATCGGATCCCGTTGGATTCGAATACTTTGGGATTCGAATCCTCCGGATTCGGTATTCTATATTGCCCATCCCTATCTGTACCCAATCTGTAACTGTTATTTGAGGAGTTACCCACTATAGCTCTGAAGGACCAGAATATCCCGATTCAGCATTGCCCATATAATTCTTTACACCTTCGTGAGGTGGTGATTATGGGATTTTAATCGGTGACGGCATCATAGTTTAGTGTAACGCTCAGAATTGTTGTTGCGTGGTTAAAGATAGTAACATTCTAACTTTATATGCAATTTAAGCGTCCCGCTGCACACTAATCATCGCATTATTCGTATACGGATTCACTAGCGCAATAGCATTGAGGAAGGATGGGGATTTAGTCTTGAGTTACCTCTATTGATAGTTGTTCTAACTTTAGTTTTATAGCACTATTTAATCACAAAGGTTACTAATATTTTTCCAATTTAGTCGAACGAAAAATATGGTTTGGTTTGGCATGCTTGGAGTCAAAGAAATTGCATTGAAAACATACAAGAACTTGGAACAGAGAATCAGATTAGAATGTGACGGACAATTCATTCCTCTACCTCGCCTAAGGGGCATCGTGGTCCTCAACATACCATCGTTCATGGGAGGTACAAATTTCTGGGGAGGGAAAACTGGAAATCAGGTAAGCTACGCTCCTTGTAAGATCTTTTGTTGTCAATTGTATTTTTTATGCCAAAGGCTTTTCAAAATGCTGCAGTTATAGAGAATATTTTTTTTATATGAGGATTACTCTGGCTTTTGTTTTGAATGAGGCTCTGTAGAACCAGTCACTGATATTCGAGGAGCTACTACTTAAGGGCCAAAACGTTCTTGTCTCGACATTGTCTATCCAATTTATTACAACCTGGTTAAGATGTTGGGCGTTTGTTCAACTGCTCAAGTCTGGGGTCAGCCGACAATTATTTGTTGTAGCTCTTGGTGGCATTTCACTGGTCACCTGCAACTTTCCTCAGATCTCATTATCCTTCACTTTTGTGTGAGTAGGGCATGTGGCTTTGTGCTGGACGGAATTTATTGTCAAAAAAACTGTCAAAAAGTAGACTTGTTATTGAACATCATATTATCCTGCTTCATGGGTTCATGACATGATTTCTGCACCTGGAACAATAGTTTTTTTAAGCCTTGTTTGTATTTTTTCAAGAAGCTCCCTGCGTGAATCCTAGGTTGGGAGAAATGAAATAAAAAATCTTTTATTCAGACCTTTATGGCTCCATCATACAATGATAAAGTATTAGAAGTAGTTGCAGTGTTTGGTACAATGCAACTTGGAATGGCTATGGTCGTACCTGAAGGTGTTCTACAACATCACAGGATAGCACAATGCAGAAGAGTCAAGATTACTATTTTAGGTAAGAGCTAGCTAATATTAATGAAAATTTTTAGCGATCACCGTTTTTTTTGTGTTTTTTTTCACTCGCATTCTTTCTGAACGAGGCTATTTTGAAGCAGCCAATAAATATATAAGAAGCTCTTATTTTTAGCCGGAATGAAATTTTTGTGGTTCAACATTTATTACACTTTGGGTGAGGTGGTGAGCATGAAATTTGAACTTAGATTTAAACCTGCGACACTACAGGTGCCTCAACCACTGTTCTAATCAATTTCAAGTTTCAGAACAAGTCGCTCATTCAAGTCGCTACGGTTTTATTTATTCTTTTTCCAGTTTTTTCTGAGGCCTGTAGGGTCTGACATTTCAGCCGAAATTTTGTGATTTCATTTTAAATCATGTGAACACTGTTTTGACATTGCTGTCTTGTTTTAGGTGATGAAGGAATGCCATTGCAAGTTGATGGTGAAGCGTGGCTGCAACCACCAGGCGTCATCAAAATAGAACATAAGAATAGAGCTCAAATGTTATCTCGTGATAGAGTAAGTTGAAAACATTATAAACTGTATTTATTGGACACAAAATGTACATATAAATCGTTATGCTGAATTTCTATTGTTGTTATTCGGGTTGTTTCTCTCGACTCGATAATTCATCAAAAATTTTAGTGTTTTTTTTAAATTTAAGCTGAAGACTTTTTTAGTAGGTATTGACCGACTGCTGACCTCTTTGACAAAGGTGCTCTTAGGTGTACCATACGGGTGGTACCCTCGCGCAACCTTCATACCCATATAGTTGAGCATTGTGCTTTTGTTTACCTTCAAATTTTTCTAATTTCTTTCAGCACTTTGAAGAAACTTTAAAATCTTGGGAAGATAAGCAACAAAGATACGTCGACAGAAATCTATCTGCTGAATATTTATCTGAAAATGAATTTGAAATTGTCGGAGAATTTGCAGAAACTGTTACTGCTATTGCAGAAAAGTACGTTTTATATTATAATAATATTAAACTGTTTACATGAAGAAAGTAAAGTATTAAGAGTATTATGAAATGAGGAATATCAATTTTAAAATCTACTTCAAATTTATAATATTATATAATTATAAATGCATTCAAATATTTGCTTCATTTCGGATATCACTGACTCCATAGATTTGTAGAAAATGTCCTAGATTACTACAGTCTACTACACAAACAGAAGTTCCAATGTCAAATATATTTTTGTAGGAATAATTAGAAAATTAATGGATTTTGTTTTTTGGGGTTATCCTGTATTATAGTGATTAAAGTAAACTCAATCATAGCCAGCAAGAATGCTGGTATCTGATATCTGAGCTTTTGCAATAGTTTATTACTATTGATCACATATTCTTTTATTGTAATTTATTCATTCATCCCTCATTTCAGTATCAATACCACTGTAAAAGGAGTTAGCTGGCTGGCAGAAGAATTACTGTCGTACGTCATTACAATTCAACGCATCAGTTGCAAAATGCGACCTTGTGGTCGTCTTACCGAAGTTACTTCTCGCAGTCATGTAACTGATTTGGTTCTAGCTGTCGGGGAATTATCGGGAGCTCTGGCGAAGTTATTCGAGTCTAAACCTGAGGTATTAATGTTTTTTATGCATAGCAATTTATAGGCAAAGATTAACTACGGTATAATACTTCTGGATGGACATATGTGTCTTGCAACCTGTTGGTTGGGAACTAACCTGGCACCGTTACTAATTTTTGTTCACACATTTAGATTTGTTAAGAAAGTTTAAACAATATTATAGAAAGAGAAATATTATACAATAGATTCATCTACCTGGAATAGCTTATAATTTACACTGTGACATCAACATAGTGGAATCTAATGATCTAATACCAGGGTATACAACAGATAGCCTACGGTCCACAATCCTGCACGACATGCTGTTTGGTATGGCCCTTGCAACACTCAGATTTTACCCCTTCAAGAATAAAATCCTAATCCGACGATCCCCTGCTCTAATCACAAGGCTATTGGGATGTGCAAATAGTATTAAGGCCGCTCTCACACTGGTTTATAACAAATTGTTTTGCCATTTACAGGAACTTGGAGATCTCGGTTCTAAATTTGTGCAATGGCTTGATTGGTTAGAAATCGAAATGAAAAAAATAAATGAACTGAGATGGATTTCACTCATGTTAAATCAACAACAATCATCATTAGATGAGGTGAATATAGTACTCCTAGGTTTGTCTACGTATCAAAGAAGTTTTTAAATGCCTATTACGATAGGAATGCGACACTTATCTGTTATAGTTTTTTGCACTGACGAATGGAAGGAATGTTCTGCTAAATTTCTGTTTGGCAAATTCATGCTGTTGTTAAGACGAAAAGTCACTTTTTACTATAAGTACTGCCTAATTTCAAATTTTTTCAAAAAGTTGTAAATGAAGTGTCTTTTACAAGGCTATTATTGTTTTTTTGTTGTACCTGGACTAGTTGCTTCCAAATTTTAGAAGCCAGATATTTAAGTGCCCCGACTTGTGAATCTGGAATAAAATGACTCGCATTGTCTAGGGCAGGGGTGTGCAACAGGCGGCCCGCGGGCCACAACCCGGCCCGCCAAGCCATTTAGTGTGGCCCTTGTCAATACTCTGATTTTCACCCATCAAGCATAAAATCCCAATCCGACAGTTTACTTAGACCTGACGATTGAGACCTCGTGTATCTTTTTAGTAGCTTATATAAAAACAGTAATTTGATTATGACAGTACGTGACGTGAGCATTCTTTGGAATTGTGGTTTAGACTCGTTCAGTTATAAGCTCTGTCTAGCAGATTACGTTTATTGATAAAATGTGTTATCTCACTAGCCAGGAATTGTTGTTGGCCGCCATTGCTTTTTTACTTGATTCGCTTGTTTACAACAATACATTGTGATGTAATAATCCCTCATAGTGATTGCTAGACACTTTCCAGTCACTAGCTTTCAAGAATTTGAAGCAGTTCAGTAGCCTATTTTGCTAGTTTCGTGAGGGTAATATTTCTGTGATAATATCAAGGCTAGTAAAATGTCAGCAGCTAAGAGCGAAAAAGAGGGAAGGGTATTCAACAGTGCATGGTGTACAAAATATTTTGTTGTCCCAAGTGCTGTCTGCCTCGTTTGTCAAAGTACTATTGCAGTTGCAGTAGACAAAATGAAACATTTAGAAAAAATTCATTTTTTTACCACTTACAAGAAGGACTCAGAACTGGTGACAAAGTTGAGTTTTAAACTTTGTGAATGTATGGCAGAAAAGGGAAATTATTAAAAACTGTTTGACAATATTTACAGAATATGCATGCCCAGAAAAAAAACATTTGGTGCAGCAAACCGCTTTACTGTTTCTCGCCAAACAAAGGATCTTTCAGGGACTCGAAGCTTGAAATTACTGGCACACAGATGGCAACTGACTCGGAATTTAGGGAATTTATTTTTTGATTTTGATGATAACTTTTATGCTCAATTTTACAGCCTATCAATTCTGCACTCTGGCAGAAAAATAGAAGTAAATTTCGTTTGGTTCCTTTCCTGAAAAAATCACAGAAGAAAGAACAGAAGACTGTAAATCTGGACATCAATGGTAACTATTTATTTCCCCGCTGAAGTGTTGATTGATGAAACATGAATATCGGGAAATCTGTTCATAGGTTGTTGTGGTTGCAACCTACTTTTCAATTACTGTCTTATTTGGTCTAAAGCTTTACTTTACTGTTCTCAAATAGTTTCACTGGGTACCAAAGAGATACTATAGTATAAATATAATTGGCTAAAAGCTAACTCAGGGTTTGTAAAATCTTTCTCATTGATGCCTAAATTTTTTTTTCTAGTCAACAATTGGACATTGGATGAAGTTAGTCAGTGGTTGGATACTCTTCAGTTTAGTGAATATCGTGATATATTTATCAGGCATGATATTCGGGGAGAAGAATTACTTAAACTTGAAGGCGGAGATCTTAAGGTAAGCAGTTTCATTCCAAATCTTTTATGCAGTGTTTTTAAACAACATTCTCACCTGCCCGGACTAGATCTGTGCCACGCACTATGTTCACATCGCCTTCCCAATTTGTTACAACCCGAATGAGGGGGTAGGCATGAGATTTGATCTCAGGATTTTTAACATGACACTTGAAATTGTGTTGCTCCTGGAAGTTCTATCCTTCAATAGCTAGTAATAGCCTTCCTAATTTTTCAATAAACCCTGAGTGAATTATACCAAATGTACTAATAACTAGGCCGGCACATTTTGATATTGACATGAAATGATCAAATCTGGTAGAAGTATCTTGAGAGAGAGAGGTATGGCTTACAACGGCATATTTTCATTCATGTTATGCTCATTTATATGAAACTCTGATGACATTTTATTAATTCTCAACCAGTTTTTCAATAAGTTTGTGGCCCATCTACTGAGTGATAATTTACATTCTACAAATTAAAGTGAAAGTGTCTGTTTGGGCGATATGACTTTTTTGTTTTTCTTGTAGTTTTCCCTTGCATTAAAAAGTAAAAAGGTTGAGAACCACTTGAAACATATTACTTATATTATTATAGGGAATGGGAATAACTAAGGTCGGACATGTCAAAAGAATACAAACTGGGATCAAAGATTTGCAAAAAGCAATGAATCAATTCAACTGTTAACTACAAATGCAATTCTACGGAAAAAACTCAGTGATGGAAAAGGTGTAAGAATATTGCATACTGCTACAGGTTATATAACTGCTGCATGAAATATTATGTATTGTCAGATACAGTTTATACCTTCAGAAATTTGTATGAAAACCTGCTTTGGCAATGCCAAACAAAGAAAAAAATTGTTTTGTAAGGGTGGGATTACTGAAACTTTTGGGTACAATCATATACAGAAATTCAAATGTTAAATAAATTTTCTTCATTTTCATAAAAGTGAATAAGAATTTTGTGAGTTCTGGGCTGGGGCTGTCACGCTGTAGATCCATATTTTGCTATTAATACATTTTTTTCCAAAAATGAGTCTTCTTTGCCTGACCTTGCTTGAACAATTCTTCCATAGAAAAATTAATTTTGATTCAACAGTATAAAAATTATTTTATCTGTATTCAATTAACAGTTTGCGAGTTGTAAACTCTTATATGAAGCAACAGTTTATTAAATTTCTTCCGGTTTGTGCATTGACATAATATTTCACATTCTTCAAGATCTCTCATTCAAGTCTTGCATTTTCCCAATATCGTTTTCTGGTTTGGTCTTCGCAAATCGTTTCCATTATGTGCCTTATGAGATTTTGTTTTCTTATTGTCCAGAAGGCTAATCAACATGAGATTTTGAGCCATTCCTTGGTGTACTTGTATTTTTGTTTGTCATTATTGTTTCATTGTCCGCTGACAAACACACTTTTTTGTTGTTGAAAAATCGATGCTCGTAAAACACACAAATAGGTGCTATTCATTTAATATTGGAAATGTATAAAGCGTGAGATTAAAAATACAAAGAAATTTATATATCACACAAAAATATATATATATTCACTTGGAAATATTATGTTATTCTTTACAATTTAAAAAGAGTTTTTGCCTATGTGTCAAGCACTTCTTGTTTTGATTGCATTATAGCTTATGGTGTTTAATCACAGTTGATTTTGATATTTTCTCAATTAAATAGGAATCATGAATGGTTTGAAAATTATTTTGTGTTTTTTCTACCTTTGACCAAATTTATATCTGTTTCAACACCTTTTATTATGTTGTTTGAGCTGTTTTTTCTTTATTTTGCTAGAGATTGTATTGAAAGTTTAGTAATCATGTAGCCTATATGTATTGCATTTTAAATATATTGCGCTTTTTCATAAATGTTGTGTGTTGCTCTCTACAATTGCAGTTTTGATTTTTTTTTTTTGGTATCAAATCAGATGTTTCCACCTGACAAAAATCATATGCTGAATCGTGCATTTTTCGTAGTCTCTATTTTGTCATTTGCATTGCTCCATAGCTTAAAACATACATGATTTGAATGAAACCTGAAATGGTTGAAAAAGGATGCAGATTGTTGAAAACTATGACAGGGTTGCTCAAACAATGGAATATTCAAATACATTCAAAATTGTCTATTTTGGAGATTTTTGAACTCTTGGAATATTTCAACCTCTCTCATATTGTATTCCTGTCCATATAAAATGAATTGTGCAAATTTCTTTGTTGAATGGTGGCATACTAAGATTATATTTGCATATTGTTGGATTTGGCAATCCTGTGTAATGCAGAAATTGTTTTTTACATACGAAACATTGAATGATTGTCCTTTGTATGCATTGTCCTGACTTATTTTCGATTAATCTGTCGCGAATGAAGAAAAACAAAACTGATTCTGTTATCGCTCTGATTATGTTATACCTCATATTCGTTTGTTAACTTGATTATAAATAGGGTTGATAAGTCAGCTTATAAAACACTATAAGAAAATACTTACAGTAAGCAATAGTAATTTTTGCTGTTGCCATTTTCTTCAATAATGCATTTCTTTTTCAATTTATCTATTCTGTTTTGCCCATAAAATTTATACCAGTTTATTGCAATGTTGAAATACATCTGTCTTGAATGTTGCCGCTTGTTCACATTTCTGGACATTTCACATGGGAAGCAGTTTTCTACGTTTAACACTAGATTTATGTGCAGTTTCCCTTCGAGCAAGAATGCCACTTTGCTCATATTTGAGTATGAATAATGCTATGGTATGGTATCATCCTGCATACTAACCTTCTTTAAAGTATATTTTTTGAGAGGAGTAGATAAGTGGGTTACGACCGCAAGTGTAACTAAGATAAGTGTCACTAAGGGACGGTATGTTCTGTCGTGACAACGCTTGAAGACTGGCTAAGAAGATTGTCTTACTAAGTTTGCATGTAATGTTTGGACCGCACCGCATGTAATGTTTGGGATATTTCTCTGCAACCGCCCGCAACGGGGCTATGGGGTCGTGAGTTTGGCATGTTTTCTCTGGGAGTAGAAATTTCCATAACCTAGAGTCCTAGACTAAGAGTCGGCGTTTTCGCGACATCTTGTTCAGCTGTCGATAGTAATAAGCATTAAACCATCACTGACTAAGTTCCAAACTCTTTAGTTTAAGCCAGCGGCCGGAGTATATGTGAATTAGATTTGACCGCGTCCATGGATGTTGTATCGAAAGTCTTTTTTTGCACCAATTAATTACTTGAAATAGGTCGTACTGATGCCAAAGTAGATGTTGTCGTCAAGATTGCAGCCGGCCTTAAAAATTTCTTGGAGGGAGGCAAAATATTTTTTTGTATAATGGCTTAATTCAACGCCTACTCAAGCTTTTCGCTCCGAACAAGGCCAGGTGAAACCTGCCACGATATCTAACAATACCTTAATAAGGAATCTCTCCACATACTTACTTCACTGTTGAAGGTATCCAAGCTATATAAGCGCATTTTCGTCTATCTTGGTTGGTTTAATTGGAGGAAGGATTATGATGGCAAGCTAGAAAACGTCGGATTTTTAGTAAATGGTTCAAAAATAGATCAAATGGTGTAGAAAAAGACTGTATAATTTATGTCCAACTGCAAATGACGCAAAATTGCAATAAAAATGTATATTCGGAGAGGGTTGGCCCACGAGCTACGCCTATGATTGTCAGTCAATACATCGTTATTGAATCCTAGCTTTATTTTCGAAATAACGTTGCCCCAACGCGGGGTGAAAGCTCAGTGTCGGTATCACTCCTATATAAATATTTCACAGTTGTTTATGAACTTTGTGGCCCGAAAGGGCGGCCCTTGATTTGCGAGTCGAGGTTAGTGGCGATTGGCGAACACTGCGTACAATGGAGTTTCATGAACTGTTGTATTACCGCAGATTGCTCATTTGTGCAATACGTCATTTAGTGCTTCTGTTCAATATTATGTGGTTCGTAATTTGGCTCAATATTATTACATAGGGCTCAGATGTAATCGTGGTGAACGTAAGGAACACGATCGTCATCGCACCGCCTACAACTACTCTGCGTGGATTCACGGATTTGAATCACTCTGAAAATGATTCGATTCCGAGTCCGAGTTACCACCCAATATTAATAAACTTGAATAAAAAAACGCTTCAGATATGGTTTAACATATTTCAGATGTGTCCGAAACAGCATTAAATTTCCATGGAAAAATATTTAGGTACATATAAACAATGAGCAATCACATATAAGCTTTGAAATCTTGATAAAAAATAGTTTTATTTCTGATCGTTTAAGTGTTATTCTTACTTCCCCATTGTGCACTTCACATGAACTAGTAACAGGACGGGAGGTCGCAGCTCGTCATTTGTTCAAGTTGTCTTCTTGTCCGTCCTTTCCCAGGAAATTAATACAAAATACGTTAGTATCCGGGCATAAAGCTTTATCTTGATTCCAGCAATGACTTTGATTCCAGATACAAATGCATGCAAAAAAACCTTTAAGTGTAGCGATGCGCCGCACCTCCGAGCCGAGTTGCATTTACTGTTGTAAAGGCGTAAATAAAGATATTAGATTTTTTATTTTCCGCGAAATAAATATGTACGATAGCTTATTTGGACTCCTCGCTACAGTAGGGTGGTTCACATAATCGCTGATAGGCAGGGCCGGATTTAGATCATGAGAGGCCCTAGGCTATTCTATTTGCGAGGCCCCTTCATATTTTTGAGCTCAGAATTTCTCTCATAACAACATCACATGTCATTGCAAAATGTTAAAAATATTAGTGCATTAAACTCTTCGTTCTTTTCATTCTCCCCATTCATGAGTGCAAATTTTTAATTAAAAGAATAAAAAATTTACTCAAGGCATTTTTGCTTTTAATTCCTTTCTCTTGCGCTTGCTAGCTCCACTTTCAAATCTTTCACTCATAATAAATTTAAGGTTCGAAAAATTATGAAATAAGATTATTCCTTGATCTAAACGCAGGTTAGCATTACCAAGACGTCTAAAAATAAGATAAGTCGATAACATTAGTCAATTAGTTATTTCAGCAACATATCAACTACCGATACTGTTTTTTGCAGAGTAGAATACGGTACCGTACTTCAACATAGAAGCTTCCAGCAGAATGCGCATATTAATTGCCTTATTTTTCATGCAAACGACGTAATAATGGCTGTTTACAACGTGGTTGAAACCAGTTGTGTATAGAATTTTCTACTCTGAAAAGCTTGATATATATATACTATAACATAAGGTAAGGTTTAAACTTGTCAAGTTTTTAAAAGAATTACAAATTTCGAAACCGAACTTCGAGGCCCCTTGACGTTGAGGCCCTAGGCTTCAGCCTGCCTGGCCTATTGGTAAATAGGGGCCAGGGGATAAATATGTAAATCCTATCTTATATTTATATTACATCGTAGTATTCAAACGCAATGATTCATTCTAAGACACTCAATCAATCATTTATTTTGGTTCTCTGACATGAACAATACAAAAAGTAAACGGACAAAACAAAATGCAGAGATACCGTACCTGGGTGACGAGAATAACCCAATACAAAGTTAAAAAGCGTACAATGTACGTGCCCGCACACCAAAAAAAATAATAAAACGAACACAGAAAAACGCGATTCACAATCGGGCAGTACTTTAAAGGCAATTTAACAAAAACAGCAAATATGAATTATTAGTAGATAATTGAATGTAATAAACTTCAGACACTAATTGACTCCGATCACGTTAATCGGGAAGGGGAACTTTGTGCCCATTGATTTTGTTGAAACTTCTTGGTTTGGGCGTAGGCTTCCTTACTTTAAAATTTTCAGTTATGATAATTCTGTAAGTAGCGTCACACGAGTGTGGGCTGGCATCACTCGTGTGACGCTAGACCACACTCGTTTTTGTCCGGTCATACTAAGAGTAACTGGGCCGTGCTTGGCATTGTGTATATCATATATGGTCTCTATATTGTCAGAGTCACCAAGTTTTTATGTAATAACGTTTATAAAGTCAGTAAAATAGTTGGTTAACCCGTTGACGTCAGGCTGAGTGTGGGCCTGAAAGAAAGACTGAAAGAGGTAGCCTAATGATATTTTCAGAATTTTTCCACTAATTGGGAAGTGTTGCGCTTCCCAACCTTTTATGTTAAATTTCTCCCTTCTACCTCTTTCAGTACTCTTCATTCCTCCTCCCTCACTACATGCACTATGCACAAAAACTGTTTTATTTATTCAGTCTTCAATGGATTCCTAGCTAGTGTTTATGTACAAGCTGCACTCCCGCTTTTGTACAGTTCAAGTAATTTATGTGTGCATAAATACAGAAATAAAAAGTATCATATTAATAATGAGAACTAGAGGGGTCCCATGTAGTTTTGTACCCTAAGTACTTATGGTGGGCGTAGCATAACGATTTTTGCACATGTCAATCCTAACCCCCACCTGACTTCGCCATCGAAAAATTACGTCACAATCACATCATAGAGCTTGCAAAAGTATAGCTACGAACGCACGAAATGGCATCTGACGAAAGAACTCGCTAACGGCAACGATCTCTTGGGTCTCATGAAGCAAACGCCATAACTGCTTAAATACCCCCAAACAAAGATGTTGTGTGAAAATGAATGCTGTAATTCCATGATTGTAGTCTGGTGTTATGTTTTAACTTGCAGCTATATTTTTATAGATTTGTGTTTTACACTAATAAATTTATTTATTAAATTTCAAATATAGTAAGATAAAGAATGGAAAAACAGGCAAGTGAAGATGAAAGAACATTATGGGTTGGTAGCGTGGACAACAGAGTTACAGAAGAAATTTTATGGGAATTATTTTTACAGGCTGGTCCCTTAGAATCGGTCAAAATACCAAAAGATTTTAAAACGGGCAGAAAAAGAAATTTTGCTTTTATTAAATTTCAACATAAGGAGTCGGTGCCTTATGTGATTGAACTCATGAATGGTATTATATTATACGATAGCGCATTGAAACTATGCGTAAAAAATAAACCATCAGGCAATGGAAATAATGATACAGAGCAAAACGAATTTGAAGATGCACCAAAGCGACGGCGAATGAACCCTTCCTACGAACCAGAGCAATATCAGCAAATGCAATACATAGAACAGCAGCAACAATTTGGCCAGTTCCATGGTCAAGGATATATGGGCCATCACCCTATGATGTTTCATCCACATATGATTACACAGTATCCTTTACATGCTATGCCTCATCAAATGTGGCCTAGGCATGGTGGTCCTCCACATAGGATGCCAAGGGATGGAAGCCCTTTTAGGCCACCACACGGCCATGAAATCAATAGTGATGATAGGTCATCTCCCAATATGCAAAAAAGAGAAAGTATGTCTATGCGACGTAGTTATTCATCTCCAAATCGTATGTATGATGAAGAAAGACAAGTAGATAGAAGACGTGAGTCCAGATATGACCGCAGCAGGAGATAGTGCTGGGGTGTTAATGTTCATTAGAGGTTATAAACTAAAGTTACTTAACCTTGAATTGAATATCACTGTGCTGTCATACTGAATTTCCATCGTACCTCTTTTATATGACCAATATAATAACAGGTGGCTCGCCTTCGCATCTGATGAATATATGTCCAATTTGATATATAATTTTTCTATAAATTTTGGATTAACACTGCTATTGGTATTTTGACAGTTTTTATACTTCTTGACTGTTTTTTATATTGATTTTACTTTCACCGTAGGTGTAATATTTAAAATCAAACTTTTAACTATTAATTTAAGATGACTGGATTAATTCTAGTTTTTCTTTATGGTTTAAATATCACATTTACCATTACGTGTACATGATTACTGAATAGAACATGATAATTCATTTCCCATCATTGATTATAAAACAGGGTCACACAGTCACAGTATGGTGCCATGTATTTGTATGATTGTTTAATAATATAAAGGAGACAGTTAAACTAGCTTGTAAAATCGAGGAAAAAAATATCTAACACATTAGGAAATAACGAGAAAAATAAGTTGCTTATTTAAGGTGAAATTTATATTGTTAAAAATTGAAAAACAAAAGAATGCTGTAAATTTGAAATTTGGAAGAAATATATATAATTTTTTCCTATATTTTTTAGGTATTCGTAGATGAATTCGGTAATAGTTTAAGAAAGCACCTTATTTGTATTAAGATATTTGTCTTAGGCCATCTTGTTTTTTTCTGGTATTAGGTGTTATAAGTCTAATATAATGGTAGTTTGACTTTGATGGAACAGGTTCAATATTTTGAATTTTTTTTTCGTAATTTTGAATAATTTAAACAGATCCATTTTGTAGCATATTCATAGAATATGTCAAAATTCCCTCTTAAAAATTTAAACCAAATTAAAATTCCAGTGCAAAAATGCCTTATTACTCAGTAATATGTATTATCCAGATCATTGAAATATATGTTACTCAAATAGCGTTTACGCATCCTTATTTTTGATGATATATAATATTAGCAGCCAATTTGCGATTTTTACTCCGTCAAATTTTTTTGAAGAAACCTTTCCTCATATTTTGCAAAAAAAATTTGTAAATTGGGAGATCAATTTATCACTAAGCTACTAATATTATTGAGAGAATCGATATAAGAAATTACTGTATTGTTTATAATTATAGTCATTTTAAATGTTAAATTGGTCGTTCATTGCTTCAGATGATTCATGCGAAGTCATCTGACATGGAATAAAAAGTATTTTGAAAAAGATTTTCTTAGAGTTACTATGTTCTCAGTCTTATTTTTTTATTTCAATGATTTTTTTCATGTCGTAGCAGTATCTATTACCCTAATATATGATACTCGACGGCATTTCCAATCGGTTTGTATCAATGTTGAACATAGAGAACTATCAAATTTGACTACTTGAAGTTTATAAAAAATGGCGGTATATATCTGAAAACAAGTTAACCAGCTAATTGTTCTTATATAAAACATTTCTAGGTGTTTTAATTTTCTTCGCTCTACTAAGCATGGTGATGTAGTTTCAATTCTCAAGTACTATATTTAAAAATTCCTCTTCTCTACTGTACTTGTTATGGATAGCACCACTGGTGAATATTCAGAAGAAAACGAAACCCCAACTCGTGGTTTTCCTGTCATTGTTCAAAACTCTTATGCGTCAAATTTGGAATCATCAGCATTGCAAAAAATGGCGTTTGACAGCGATTTCGCAGAAGACATAAATATGAAAATGAGAATTCCACAAAAATTAACTGTTGGTGCTTCACAAAATGATAGCAACTCAACTACCAATGGGTACATTCCATCACAAAAACATGGAGCGTATGAGATGGAGGTGCCAGAAAGAATCGTGGTTTCTGGTGAGATTAATGAACAGAATATTTTAAATTCTCCAATCAAAAATAGTCTGTCATGTAGAATTCTTGTCCACTTAGCTATTTTCAAGGCAATAATAAAAAAGCAATAAATGCAGATTAGGATTTTTATTGGAAAGACGAAAACGTTGTGCCTTGAACACAAGCTGCCATATAGTTGCTGAATAACTTATTGTTCAGACATATATTGGGATTGAATAATTTTTCAGACCAGAATATAATTTGTGAGAAATAAGTTTTTGCAAACCAAGAAAGAAAAAAAAGCGTCATTCTATTTAAAAGTGTGATACCTCAGTAGTGTTGTCTTTCTTACATGCTAAAAAGGTTTGAGTGTATAAATCTATATTTATGGAAAGTTATCTTATTAAATTTATTGTCTTTAAATCAGTTCAATTTTATGAATATAACCTTAAAACAGAAAATAATTTGTTTAGTTGGTGAGGATGGTGCCAGATATGGCCGTTCTAATATTTCAATCTCGCGAGATGATCTTTATGGCGATAATTTCCCACAAAGGAATCCAAATGATTTATTATCTTTAACAACACCACCTCGGAAACTAACTCTGGAAGAAAGAGATCTAGACACTCTTGATGTGAGTAAAAATACACAGACAGGAGATTAGTTGATGACATTTCGTATTATTGATTATTCTATGTACAAGAAGTGTTTATCAGAGCTGTCAAGTTAGGGATAATTTACTGTCGGACTCAAATAGCCAACTCCAGCTTCAAACACTGAATGATATCACTTTTGATGATAAAAAATTTTGTGTATGTAAGCCTTCAGGAATGCTTATTCAACTTCTTAATTTTTTTTTGTGGAAAAATTGGCTTATTGGTTATTGCCAAAAAAAAGTTTGAAGTTCTGACTCCCAACTCTGGGGAAACCAAAATTCAGACTCAATTGAAAGCCTACCAAACTTCACACAACTTGTGGAGTCACAAGTTTGATAGGTTTTCAATTGGTTGGGTTGTGGGCCGCAACCCTGATATTTATCATGATTTTTTATGGCTTGATAAAGTACCGTACTATTGTTACTTGGAAAAATGAGCCCTTTTCAATGACTCTATGACGCAAAGTTTTTGTTTTCTTGCATAACCATATGTGTAACACAAAATAAAAAGGTATTGTTTTTGAAAGAGGAATCTTTTTCTCCATGACTGTACACGCCAATATTTTTACGATTATTATGCACCTGGGCCATTCCAAGCAAAAGTTGAATTCCATCAATTTTTCAAAAAGTGTAGTGAAAGTAATTTTTTTTATTCCTGATATCAAAAAACATTGAAATTTTATTGGACTTCATTCATTTCATCGAACAATTTAATATTTCACCCAGGTTTTTGATGGTTTATAAAAAATGGCCTGAAATGTAGAAATTTTGGTATAATTGACATATTTTGTGATGATTCTTGACACAAAGTGTTTGATTGTGTGGTACAGTTATTTCATATGAAATTGACGCACTGGATTTAAGTTAATAAAGTTTAAATGTTTGCAGTGCTGTAGGACATTTCTTCACCCATTTAACGATCTATTACCAGGATTTTAAGAGATGATAGAGGCCGCTATTTCGAAGTGGAAAAATGTCCTGTAGTGTCACGTCCTGTAGTGTCACATACAATATGCACATTATTGGCATGGATTTACAGTGTTACATTAGGTGAATTGAGTAACACATAGAGGGGTAGTTCAGCTACTGCACCAGAAAATATTGTGGGCTCCTACTGTACCATCGCAAAAATTTACAGCACAACACAACGTACTGTTAGTGCATGGTGGATTTGCCGTCCTGTAGTGTCACGCTATATTTTACTATATTTTTTTTATCTATTAAGTAAGTCTTGGGTGTAACTTTTGTGCAATTTTTTACATATTCAATAAAGCAACTGATTGGACAATGAAACAAAACATGTAGCTGAAAATGTGAAAATATATTGCATCCAACAACTTGCAAAATTTCTGGAATTGTCCTGTAGTGTCACTTGGAATAGCCCACCTAGTGTTTTTCTATTAAATTTTATAATGAATTTAGGTTTATATGAAGATTTGTAGTCTGCTCATAACTTCATAAAGTTTAACTTTATTTTTACCATAAATGCCATTTCGTGGTACCAATCAGATGTTTCCATTTTTACATTCTCATATACTTCAATCAATAGTATTCTGTGGGTTTTAACAACTTGGTTGGGAATCATATTAATGATAATCAGAAAATCATGCATAAACTCATCTGATCATTAGAATAAAATGAATTTCTGAATTACGAGTACGACTGTACGACCCCAGTTCCATAAAAGCTTTGAAATCAATTTTCAGATTCAAGATTCCCAACAAGATACCAGTGTGACGAAAAGTGAAACATCACACAAGTCAAAAGAATCAGTCAGGTAAGATTCTGTCTCTAACTGACAATTTCACCAACATTTTCTTTGCAAAACCTTTTATTGTATGATAGAAATGTTGTAGTCAATGATGACCATTATTAGATTATATTCTATATATTTTGTTCTTTATTCCTGCCGCATGTAGTACTGTATCACAGTCGCCAAGTAAAGGTAAGGAGCTTGTTAGATCATCTCATAATATGAATGTCATTCCTGGAATTGAATATGAAAATATGATTCCATTTGGAAATATTCGTGAAGCTTCTCAAAGACTTTATGAAACGATTGTAGGAGTTTTTGATGACGATCGCACTGATTTACCGGGCGATCATGCTGTTTCTGATATGGATGGATCCCCTGGGAAGTCTGCCCAATTGACTCCTATTTTCTCCGCTGATAACAGGTTTTTCCTGTTTTGTTTTGTCATCTATTGTATCAACTGTCATGTTATATGTACAGCATCTTGTTCTCATCTTGAGTTTCTCTTCAGTTCAAACCATTACTTCTGCAGTGTTTGACGAGCATTGTCTTCTTGAATTATTGAAAACAGTGGCTACATATACTGCCTTTCTACTTAAGTAATGGACCCCTCTCTATCTAATTTTGAGTATTTGGATATGAAAGTCCTCAATTGCCTCTATTTTTACCCAATTCTCATCTGGGTAACTTTGAATGCACCATGCGTCGAGTATGCAAGTATTACCTTACCATGTGAATATATTCCAGTATTCATGGCTTCTGTCCATTTGACAGCCTTCTGTCTCTCGTTTTTGTTATCAAAAATAACTTTAAATTTTTTTACTGAGCCCCCGTTTCTTGGTATTGCGTCATATTTTGCATTTGCGCTTGTCTCTCGTGCGTTTTACCTTTTTGAGTTGCTTGCAGTCAATGGTTATATTTTGTCAATAAAAGAACGAAGAATGCATACAATACTCTACTTTAACTCAAACTCGGTTGTTAATCAACTCAATTTGAAGCATGGATATCTGTAGTACAATAGTGCCTGTTTTACTAAGACATAGAATTCTGTGCATCCCACATATTTTCTAATGTACTTATTCGAATGTCTTAATGTTTATTTCTACTGTTCAGTGTTTATGTCAATGCTCTGATCTGTTACAAAGTAATCACTTATATGATTTATATCACTCTTTACATACTGTCCCTGAACCATATTGCAAAGATGTTTCTACTATAAAATGGATTTCTAGTGTTGATGAAGGTTTTTGATTTGAGACTTGAAACCTACAGTTTGGATGAAGTGCTATCACATGTTAAAATTGTATAAATAACTATAGAGAATTTAATCATATTACATATTTACTATCTCTCACTCGAAACTACCGTTATATTCTCATTAGAAGAATAATTTTGATTTCTCAGGTTGTTCATATAGAACAGCCCCTGTAGCTTGTCTTGAATTTAATGAATATTGTCTTATTAGTATTAAAGTGAGCCTTTCATATATTTAGTGATGTCTTAATGGGCCCAGTCGTACCAGCAGTTCATAATGAATCAATGGAAGAACTTGATGATGTTTCAGTGTTAAGAAGACAGGTAAATATGCAAGGGTTACTATATTGAATGAATGGTGTGTCTTTTCCATGTGTACACCACTTGTACCATGGCCATTTATATTAATAGAATACCAATTCAACCAAAGAAATGTGCAGACTTGTTATGCAGGATGCTATATCAAGTAATCTAGCAATCCACTCATATATATAATCAACAGTGCAATTGCTTCTGTGTTATTAATACTTATGAAGCCATTCATTTTTAAAATATATAGTGTAAAGGAAGTTCAAATTGTAGGAATCCTATTTACTTGAAAATCTTAGATGTTCGTTTTTATTCAATTTTAGGTTTTTAAGCTTCATCATCGAATAACTTCCATAGAGAAGCAGCAAGAAGAAAAGTCTAAACGTGATTTATATGTTTATGCAGTCACAATTGCATTCTGGTTTATAAATGGATGGTTTTTATATAGTTCTAGAAGACCTTACTGATGTTTTTTATATTTCTACTTTTGTTAGTTTGTCATAAACTGCTACCGCATTCAAGCAATCATGTCACATACTAATTCAGGAAGTTTTCAGTTTAAATGTTTATGTGTCTTAATGTGTGAATAATCCTGATGTCGTGTTTTACACTTGCTCTATTAAATAGTGCACATTTGTCTATTTGGATAAATCATTAGATTACAAGATTGCAGGGTTTATTCAGCAAAGATAATATTATTAGTTTGTCTAATATGTGTATGCATGCATGTCCCATTGATCTATATGCACATTCCAAGGATAACACTTTTTCATCTTTCCTTCTCTCTTTCGAAACTGTGCTTTTGCTTGCAGATACATACAAACCATGATCTGAGAAAAGAATATTAGACAATTTGTGTAATTCATTCTATTAACATGTATTCGACAATTTATTACTTTATTTATTTCTTCTTCGAAACGCTTTGGGATATTTGGAGGGAAGCTGCTTGGTCTATGAATAATACCGAGATACTTGAAAATCTGGCATCTTTGTCAATTACATTTAGCTTTTAGACTAGAGATTAATAAGCCTCCTTAAAAATTAAGAAAAAATGGCAAGTTCTGTGATCCAGTCTTGGCAGTACCATGAGGTGGTCTCACGCTTGCAATTGTCTGTGTATGGAATTAAAATATTATGACGCACAAAACAAAGACATCTTTGCTCTTCGTCAAGTTCCCAACCCAAAGTTACCATGAGTCGTAGCTATTCTTTGACTTCAATTTGTTGATGAAAGACTGTACTGTACTTCAAACTTATTCCATTACTCTTAAATGCTTCATAATTGTAGTGATTTCAAATAACAGGTTGTGGCTAATATATTATTTCATTTTCTTTCTGCCATCGAATACATGTTTCAAATAAACTTTGTTGATTTATAGCAATATGCCAATATCACATATGGAGATTTGACGATGACAATTTCACTACCAATAGCGGGGCACAGATGTTCGTCCCTGCTCAGCGCTTCCGCGTCTGTTATTTGCCTTCGATCGCAAGTTTACATACATACCTAATATTTTGGTTGATTTTATCCAAAAATTTAAGTTTCTTCACGGAGAGAATTTCGCATTGGAATAGGTCCGGGAGCCGGGCCAGGCTTCGTATGATCTTGGAAATTACATCCCGTAGAATGCGGATAAAATTATGAGCAACTGTGATGGAAAAGACGCCCATTAAACATATCTATATTTCAAATTGTTCCCCAATAGAATGCAACATTTGAATTCTCGTCGAAATATATTCCAAGATCATGAAATTATAAATGACTAATGGGAGGAAAGGGTAAACCCGACATCACAATGCGTTTACATTTCAGTTACGCTGCCAAGGACTCCATTGTGACGTAACTATTAAGATATACAAAATCGCATCATGATGACGCCTTTTCGTTATGTCGTCACTTTCTAATCAAACGTCCGAGTAGCCATTATTCTATCATAATATTTATACTGACGAAACAAGACCCAAACTCAAAAATAATGATGACATCAGAATAACTTTACTCCTGTATTATGATACGAATACGCGCCAAACGACGTACCGGGTGATTCCTAATCAATGCCGAAAATAAAACCAGGTAAGTTGAATTTATTTAATAATCTTTGCTCTTGTCTTTCTATTTCCTTTATCGTAAAAGATGGCGTTGTTTATTCACTATGGCATTTGGGTATATTTGCTTTTCGACTTGCAAGCCTGTTGGCAAACGTTGCATGAAAAGGGGTGTAATGATCATTTGAGAATTACATTTATCCTTGTAGTGAAACATTTTGCAACATAGATTGGATTATCTAAGCTCAGTACCTCGGTGTTGTTCTAGTGAAGTGGTTTCCAATCGGCGGACCATGAGGATAGCCCCAGAGCTTGGCGTAAATTAAAACAAACAAATGAACGAAGACAAATAGCAAATAACTTGCCCTGATAAGCGGCCTCGTTATCTCTTTTACGTGCGCGCGTGTGTGACACGAGGATTCTTAGAAGGCAACAGCGGGTCGGTACGCAACAGAAGCCCTCTCTGTGGTATCACTCACTAAACAATGCTGAACAAGCGCTAACCTTAGTTTTGTGGAAGACGTCCAAAAACAAAACTAATTATACCTCATTATTGCAATCTTAGTTTTTAAAGCATCATAAAATAGTTCGCGACCATGTTTTATGAGTTTCACGTTTTCTTGTTGCAATTAGTATAAATCGTTGACTACAAAATCGATTTTTTGTTTGCCTCTGCTTACGTGTGCCGGGAAGTTCTTGCCCAACAAGAGCGGCAGAAAACGAACGCTGACTTTTCATGTACCGTACTCTAAAAAAAATTTAAAGTTTATCTATAATAAAATGAATAATGATAAATATTCACTATTTAGTTATGAAGTAGAATTGCATAGATATCAATATTGAAGGCCAACGTGCAGTGATATATTGCTGTTTACTTTTCAGAAATGAAGAAGTTTGTGCATTCCAGGTGGAAGGAAAATGAGGTTAACTCCGATTCTCTCTTGGAAGAAGCTTCTGATGTGATCACAGGTTCAAAAGAGATCGATGACACAGTTTCAGTTAGTAACCATGAGGCTGGACAAAAAGTCTTGTCGACAAACACCAAAGAAACATCAAACGCTAGAAACTTGTTCGATGACGTGTTTACCGAAAAACGGCGTCTGGTGCGAAAGAAAAGCTATCCTAGAAGACGTTACAGAGGGAAAGATATGCGTTTGCAAGCGTTGAAACAACTAGAAGATGGACCCGATGAAAATGTGAGAATACAGAATGATACAGGAGCTACAGCAGAAGACGATGGTGACTCCAATATTTTTCAGAGACCCCAATCCACCTATAGTGTTCTTATCAGCGAAGCTTTTGTTAGCGAGAAAAGCTCCGTGCTGAGTGTCCAAAATATTGTCCGTCTATTAAAAAAGAAGTAAGTATATTGAGTCATATATGAATATTTTTAAAAATGGTGTAAATGGCGACTCGAAAAATCAAGAATAATACCACCAATATTTTCAATCAAAGGAGGAACAAAATCATTTGCGCGATAATTTGTTCTGTCTAACCTATACTAATATTTTAATATAATATTGAGAATTTATATTTTTTACTCGTATTTGTTATCACTTTAATTTTAATATTTTCAGGTATCCATATTTTTACACGGTCAAATCGCTTGTAAATTGTGTAAACCAAGCTCTACAGAATTGCAAAAAGTTTGAGAAAGTTTCACCAGCAGTGTGGAGTTACAACGATACAACTCCATTAAAACTTAAAGGTACTGTTTAATATTTTTCATACCGGTACTTATTTGTTGATTGTTAGGCACCATTTTTGCTTTAATAAATATTCCTCTATGTTGCATTCATTTAAAAAATGGTGAATTTCAGTTTGTAATTTCAATCAAGCTCTTCGATCCCTGGTAGGCCTACAACAAATTGTAGGTATTTCACTTGAAACTGAAAAATATTATATTCAGTTACAAGTCATCATGACACGAGCAATCACATATTTATGTACCCGATGGCACCATCACCGCGACACATGTCATTCGTTGAGCTTTATTTCCTTGAAATTGTTCCCCGCCCGATTGCGCAATGCTTCGTAACAACAAAAAATCGGGCTCCAGAAAACCAGAAGAAAAGATAAAAAATTAAATGACTACTAGAGACACTTCTGAGTGCTGAAATTTGAAATTGATTAGTCCAGTAATAAAGGAGGACAGGGATTTTATCGGGCTAAAGCAACACAATCTGTACCGATTTAGTAAAACGATACACGGGTGCAGTTAGTGTCCTATAACTTCTCTCATTTTTCCACAGGGCGGACTTGGCGTCCAGGATCAAACTCTTTGTCCAAACAAAAACACCATGAAGCTAAAAACGAACGACCACCGCGACGGCGCTCACAGCGTACCAGGTCGAGGAAGCGTCCGGAATTTTTGAATATTGAGTGGAACAAAGAAAGCAAAGGTTCCAGTAAGAAATCGAAACTTCAGAGTGAAAGAAGGGACAAAAATAAGAAGCACCGGAGGTAAATTGCTCCACACGTTATTTATTATGTAAAAGGGATAATAAAAAAGGAATGTCTCGTTGAATACGTAGTTGATTTACAGAAAACTATCTCCTTGGTATACTATACGGCGATACGCCATCAATTCGTAAATTGAAAAAAAACATTGGTTTATTTCTTTTAAACTGACCACGTGCATTACAAAATATTTTACCTATGTCTTATTCAGTTCTGCAGGCAGACAACACCGTTCTAAATACGACACTATGTCACCACCAAATAGTGAAAATGATGAAATTGTGGTGAAGTCGGAGGTGGGTAGACCTGATTAATATATATATATGATGATTGTTGGGTAGTACAGAAACTGGCCTACGTAGATAGTGGATGGTCATTATTTATGTAGGCCCCCTACTGATTTTATAATGTTATTGTAAATAATGTATGAATAAAAAGTATTATTTAATTTTGAGGCGTTATCGTGTATCTTTTTTAATATGTTATAATAGAATAGAAAGCAGTTAAATATACAAATAACGATAAGACATTTTTCCTTAAGGTAGTACAAGCATTATCTTTTGTAAGCATTGTTTACAGCATATTTCTTGGTGAATTTTACTAGGTAACATTTACGGTCACTTGTTATCTGAAAATAACTTAGCTTGAATGTGGCAAAGAGTTTTTTTTTTCATTCGTACTCGCTGACATCATAATAGTGATTTTGAAATAGTCGAAGCAATGTCGAAATAGTCGCTCCAGAAGTATGTGTACCAATACTGAGGTAACTAATTTTATTCGTCTACTTTACATCAAGCTGTGTAAAGGGACTGAAATCTTTGGACAGGGGGATATTCACTTGTCTAATACAGACAGTCTCCAAACCCGTAATAGAACTAAAATAAAGAAAATCAGAATAAAATTATGGCCTAATCCTAACCTGGTACACATGCTTCGGGAGTACCGAAGCAATTTCTAAATTCTCACACTACAGATTTTATCATTTTCTGCTCCACAGAAAAGGGTGAAATTCTGATAATACTGTATCTGTAAAATATGATAAATATTCTTTTTGTTTTTATTCAGCCTAGTGACGATGTACAGGAATATTACTTTGCTAACAATAGTCGATCACATGGTGGTAATAGTAATCAAATGTCTGAAAGCCAATCTAAGGAAAGAATTATGGAATATAATAAAAAAGTACTAGCCGATGCTATCAATAAAATTATAAAAGAAAACGAAAAGTGTCTAAAAGTAAGCAAATGTGCGAAAATTGAAATAATATTTTATGTTTTTGTTGTCGTGGGACGGTTCCAGAAATTATTCAGCGCATAGTTATATCGTACTGAATCTCTCATCTCATTGCATTGGTGAAGTTAGGGAATTGGTTCAAAATAAATCTTACTGATCAGAGCTAGTATCTCTAGCATGATATATTTTTTTATAACGAAACAACAATAAAAACTGTAGGACCTGGGATTGTTACCGGAAACTCCAGAATCAGAAGTTGTACAAGATAAGAAAAATGATGATGAACAACCACCCAACACAGCTGTCACAAATTCAAAATCAAACGAACAGTCTGAATCAAAATCGGCTGATACTACTTGTCGGTCGAAAGAAAAAATGATGAAATATAACAGCGAGATTCTTGCTGAAACAATAAATAAAGTAATCATGGAAAATGAAAAATGCTTAAGGGTGAGTTATATGCCGATTACAAATTGTGAAATATTGTTTACGAAACTTTTGTGGAGTCGAATTTTGGTACCTTTTTGGCGCAATAAAAGCTAAAATCGAATTTTCGGACTCTCCGTTGAAGTTGGAGTCAAAATTTTCAACTCTTTAAAACCGGAATTTTGTAATTCTTGATAACGGGATATGATGTAAAACTTATTGGCTAAGATAGAACAAATTCGACTAACGCCAAAGTGTTCAGACTCCAGATTATGTTAAAATGAATATATAACTTCCTTGTCTCAAAACGAGCCAATGAAAGTTGGAGCTCTCTACCCTGCTCGTTGATATTTGTCCACTAAGTGCGTCCATGATATGTATTGCTATCATATTTGTAGCGGCGATACTGTGACTATATTAATTGAACCTGCCGGACCAAATTCAAAAAATACCATCAGATATGATTCGCTCGCTAATGACATGAGAACTGCAAACTGCCATCGACAAAATGTCTCCTCGTTATATTTATTCTACAGATATCATATCGGACTGTGTTCGTGCTTGATTGGCTGAAGGCTATATCCGTTTACCGCCCCTCTTTGGGAGATTTTTTTCATTGTTATTGAGTTATACTTTTGGATTTGAATCGTGACATACTGATTGGTTGATTCAAAGTTGGTAATATCGTCAATGATTTCAGAGTTTGGGTTTGTTGCGTGATGATGAGCAGACTTCCGGCATTTCTTCCGGTGCAGAAAGAGAGGACGAGCGAAAAAAGGAAGAAGATACCCACAAGTCATCAGTAAATGAAGATTTCAATACGCCAATTGAACGCAGTCGACAGCTTCTGAAAAATGCAATTCAAGACGTGATTTCAGAAGGCGAAAGTGGTGCTCAGGTATAATATGCATATGAAATATATTTTTATACGACTTTTCTCACGCTTTCCACTCAGACCAGAGCTCTAATACGTAAACAGCGTCCGGTTCGACATTGCGTAACGTGGTGATCACTGGTTATCAAGGGTGTCCCATACTTGTCGCAGTTGCATGAATCTCACCTTATGACCCTTCTGTTATATTATATCTATCCTAACCCAGATAATGGCATGAATCCCTCTGTATATGCTTACTATACCTATTTGTCCAACACTATATATTACCATTTCAAGTCACAACAGCGGGACACGAGACTTCTGAACCCGTGATCTTTTAACTTGCAAGGGCAACACGGTTGAAGCTCTAACCCGGGGGTGTGCAACCTGCGGCACGCGGGCCAAATGCAGCCACAAGGGAAAATTATGCGACCCGCGAAGAAGTGCCGATTTTGAATGGTTTTGCGACCCGCGAACCTAAACCTGAGTCCAATTTATTATCTATGCCTATGCCGTTACAACTTCCCAACAGCTATCTTGTGTGTAGCAAACAACGTATGCCATAAGATCAATATTCAAAAATTTTGTTCCTGCAGCTACGAGAAATCTTATGTTAAATAAAAGTGCGACTTGCGATTTCACCCAGTAATTTGTTCCTTGCCCTCCTCTGTTAAAAGTTGCACACCCCTGCTCTAACCCATATCATGCGAATACGGTCATAGACCTATATATATATATTTACACATATATATTTAAATTAAGCGATCCAGGATTGCTATTGGGCAGTAATGTTATCTTCTGATGATCTTAATCGGACACTAATTATTCTTCTACCTTATACCAGGAAACTACTGCACTCACTGATAAGCACGAACGATCACCTGATGATTTTCAAACCTTGGACTTGAGTATGCGTAAATCTTCGAAAAGTCGCAATGAGTTTGCATCGACATCTCAATTTCAAAAAATCGTCAACAATCCATCACAAAGAGCTTGTAGCAGCGAAAATATTCACTCCGCTTGTGCTTTACCACACACTGGCAATACCCGAGGATATCACGTACGTCACGGAAAGAGAATTTTCCCGCGTTTTAATGGATCACGTGATCAACAACAGCCTTGTAATTCAAAGTATTTGGAAACCTATTGCGAACCTACGCTTAACAAACATTTTAAATCAAAACGTAATAATTTACATAACTGCAAACCTGTGGATTTATCATTAGATGAAAAAGTCGACAAGAACACCGAAGTTCAAAGTTTAAATCCAGATAAAATGGAAGAATCGGTAGCTTGTTTCCATGACAAAGACGATGACACAAAGAAGGTTACATCTCCTAACTCATCTACAGAAACAATGAAAATGCCGATTGACACTTGCGATGATTTAAATTCGGATTCGCCTTTCGATTCAAGTGACGAAGCAATGATCGAGAATGCATTTGCTGAATTCGCACAGAAAAATTCAGAATTGGATGATATTGTGGCTTTGATTGATCCCATGTTAGTGAGCGGTCGTTCGTCACAGGAAACCAGTTCGAGTGTCTTGGATAATACTTTCAAAAACCTATTCGATTTTATCAATGAGGACACGCGTGATGCAGGTAACTGGCACGATGACGTCAACAGGACAAGTCCGGATTTGCTATGCTCGGAGAAAATGAAGGATAGCCCGGATAAGGATACGTCACATTCGGGTATTGTAATATAATCGTAACTTTAACTATAATTAAACACGAAAGGTACCTGTGGATCGTTTCGAAAAGTTGTTTTTGTTTTGTTTTTATTCTTTTATCCGCAGCTGATGGATCAATCTTTTTTTTTGTCAAATTGTTAGTACTTTAAGATGGTTGGCGCCGCTAAATGGCCTTTACCTTTTTTACGGTATAAAACTGCTACCAATACATGAAGCAATACCGTATTAAATGGGAATATTGTGTTTTTAGCAGACTCTGCCTGTCTTTATTTTAAACTCAAGTCGTAACCACTTTAAAAATTATACCCCTTTCCAAAACAAATCTCTGATTTTCCTTATTGTTAAATTCCAATTTACTAACATGTTCTTTACTGCCTTCCGATAATATTTGTGTATTCTCTCACGAAGAAAGCTTGATTTTGTCTCCTAAAAGTACAAAGTTACATCTAAAAATAACAGTTTTCATATATATATATTAAACTAGGTGAATGTATTGATGTGAGCGACGATGAAAACAACCCCATGGCGACACAAAACATTTGTACGCAAACAAGTCCAGAATTCGTAAAACCGTCTTCTTTAAAATCGCCTGTGACTCCAAAGATAAAATCCGTGTTCAGCATAACGAAGGAAGGAAATCGGTTTACCGCGGCAAAATCATCTTTGGATCTAGAAGAAACTTCTTCTTCATCCTTACAACAAGTAAACGTTGTTGGGATATCGCCTTCAGAAAAGGTGGGCAAAGTTACCAAGTTGACAATGCAATATATACCCGAAGCAAATTGTATTGCAAAAAAGAAAACCAAAAGGAAGAAAAGTTCGAAATCGAAAGGAAATAAAGTGAATGAGAATCAGGTGAGATAATAACAAGAAAAACGTACAAATTTTTTTTCCCAAGACCTGGATAATTTTTACTAACACTTAAATATCTCGCAATTTTGTAAAACAAAAATGGAATTAATGTTCCACTAGCAGTGTACGAAAACCAATTTTGACACAGTTCCATCTAATTTCGTTGAAATAAGAAGAGAGATTTTTAATTGGACTGCAAATTCTAATTAAATTAAACTTGGGTCTAGCTAAATTACCATTTATTAAAAAACGACACTTTCCGTGGATAAACCAGTACATTGTTGACTCTCTTTAGTCGATCACAAGATAAATTACCAAATATATTACACCCTGCGTTCGATGTTAGCTTGGGTTCACAGCGCGATAGCCTAGTGGTGCCAGTCACAGGGGTGGGCAGGGTTTTTGGAGCAGGGACCAGGGATTTTTGCCCATCTAGACTGACGAGTCATGTAAGTGTGACGTTACATTTCATTAACAATATTTACAGTGTTACAAAAGCGAAAGTGGAAAACCATAAGCCTCGTGCCGAAACTGAATTTAAAAGCAATATCATCAAATTCCTTTAGTTATTTTTAATTAAAACATCAAAATTTGGTTTCAGTTTGGTTGTGGCAGCAATACAGCATCAGGCGCGCCAGATTGAATTACCCATCGGGCCGGATGTTGCCCGTGGGCCGTAGTTTGCCCATGTCAGTGCTAGAGCGTTGGGCCTCACTATGTTTGTTTCGCCCACATATGATATATTAAATTGGGTAGGCAAGTGTCTTAATGGAGAGATTGTTGTCTCTCCTCAAATAGTATTTCCCAACGTATCGTCGGCTGCTTTTTCAACTTGTTCGGATCAAAATCTCATGATTCCTGATGACATCATAGCTTAATTTAAGTAGAATTAACATTTCATATTTGATATTTCAGTCACGTTACATCAGCATCAATCGACCACCATATCAACAATGTTTGAATACACCACGACATACACACACCAGTTATCGATACGTTCCACCCTACCAATGGAAAGTTCGCATCGGGGCAGCCCCCCAACCCGAAGTAGCAAAATCACCCATTTATGTGACACCCATGTATGTAGCAAATACTCATCAACGCCACCAAGTGCATGCACCGTTGCCCAATCCTACCGGAAGCCGATTTTACACCATTGGAAATTCCGTTCATGTTGGGACATCTGAGTTACAACCTACTAGGTTTGTTGTCCCTAACAACAGAAATGATGTCAGATATAGGATTCGTGGAGCAAATGTCTTCCGGTTTCCGACTTCGTAATAAAATGAGGTCATTTTGTTAGTAGAAGCAATATGATCACCACGTGTTCTTCGTCAAAATAACTAAACCGAAGTCCGCAACTTATTCTGGCAAACATTACTCAGATTTTCTTTAGGTCATAAATTTCATTATGCTACCTAAAAAAGACTATTTGTGAATTGGTGAACATGGTACAGAAATGGTACGCTTGATTAATGGTGTTAATTAATATCAATATGTATTAGAGCGCTGATGGCTGTAAGAAAATATACAAGGTGACCCCGAAACTTAACCCAGGTCATTTCGAACATTTACCAGAAAGAACATAACTTGTGTGTAAAGCGGCCTAGATTACTGAAAAAGTTTGGATATTATACACAAACAGAAGTTCAAATGTTAAATCAATTTTCTTCATTCTTATAGAAATAATTAAGAAATTGAATGTTCTGTTTTTATGGGTCAATATTATAGCAAACATATTATTGCATAAAAATTTTACTTTTGAAGATACTCGGCTCGGTATCTGTACTTGGTTTTTCTATTTCGATATCGTTTTTCACTGAAATTCATTTTAGACGGATTTTGTTTGTTTTTGAATAAGCGGTTAAAGTTAGACTGACACTCATTTTGTAAAAAAAACGTTTCTTTGGCATATTTCGAGTTTGTTTCATTTCTAAAGAAATGCTGTAAAATTAAGCATCATTAGGCATAATAAACGATATTGGAAGATAATTGATTTATCCTTCATGTAAGTCAGAGTGGGCTTGCTGTAAGATCCACGTTCTAGCTACGTATTTGACGGTTTTTGCGTTTCGATTTTGTAATACGGATTACATACGATGTTGCTACGGTAAACAACAACTGCGCACATTCCGGCTTAACTCTCGATGTAATCAGGGATGGGGATCCAGAATTTGAAGTCATGTAGTCGTACGTAACGTTTTGTTGGAGCCGAACCAGCAGAAATTTTAGTGACTCCAGCTCCCAACTATCTAATTATTTTTTTCACATTCACAATTTTCTAATACTTCATCAAAAATTTCCCATGCCTTTTGCTCCGAACAAAGCCAGATGAAAGTAGCCACTGATTTCATCTATCGCGCATTTCCATCTTGCTCGTTTGGTTCATTTGGTGAAAGGATTATTATTAGCAAGCCAGGAAATGTCCAGTTTTCAGTAAATCGTTTAAGAAGAGAGCAAAATGGTCTTGGAAAAGGCGTATGAATTTATATCTTACTGCAAATGCAGAGCTGTAATATGCTGATCCTTTGTGTGGTTTAAAATATAAATATATGAGAATTACTTTTCGAAATTGGGTAAGATGTGACATCATAACAAGTAATCTCAGTCTTGCAATATTTCATTGTGGCGTAATCCCAAGTCATTTGGAACATATTCTAGAGAAACCTAAATTTTGTGCAATGCGTACTAGATTGTTGAAACTTTTTGATATATTCATGCAGAAACAGAAGTTCAAGTATTGAATAGATTTTTGTTGGAATAGTTAAGGAATTTAGGGGTCCTATTTTGTGAGGTCACCTGAAAATGGCTTTGTACAAACGTATAACTTTTCTTGGTTCGAGATATCCTACCTAATAACTTACATGAGGTGATGAGTATAGTAAAATACTAGGCAAGTCAGGTTTTGTGTCTCAAACCTGATATGCCAGCATACGATAATATATAGCAAGACAATATACTTAGTCTACGCTACGATAAATTGCTTAAACCTGTTGAAAATTCTGAAAAATCACAACAAAAAATATCAAAAAGGAACTTTTATTACATAATCTTATGAAAAAAGATCACAGTTTTATTTTTGTTCCGTTAATATATAAACGAGTGCAATTAAAAGATGGACATTTAGCATGGAAGAACAAAGCCTTCAAAAAATAATATGACCAAAATAACGAACTTTATAAATTTTGAAACTGATGTTCTTACTGTTATCGCGCACAATGAAATATCAAAAAAAATGGACGAATTGGAAGAAACTTTTTTGGTAAAATAGGAAGAATATACTAAAGAATAAATCAAAATAAAACAACAATTGAGTCAATAAATAAATTGAACAAAACGTTTTTTTAGAATGTGCAAAAAGTTCAATTTATAGATTTTGCAGACTGACCGTCTGAACTACAATGTAACACTGTTAGGATCACTTGGTAAACAGCAATCTAATAACTAATTTGAATCACTGGAGTAAATTCACTGAATTATATTGAAAAGACGTTTCATCGAATTCACCTATTACAGAAAATAAGTGATGTTTTATATTTAGAATTTCTCTAAATTTTTTTGATGACACACGTTTTAAGCATTCGTTATTTCTTCTGTGTCGTTTAGGCTGGTATGAATATTATAAATCATGAAACAGGCGCATTCAAATCTTGTCTTTCAGTTAGTAAAGAGCCCTTTCGTTCTTCTTCTATCGCTTGTTTGAGTTCATTTTGAGCCAGTCTTCTGTCAACGTTTGTACATTTACAACAAATAAGAAATCGAAAAGTTTCGCGAAGATCTGGAGAGAATCCAACGTATATAATGGGATTGAGAGCGCTGTTAAGATAGCCCAGCCATAACACCAGCCGTACCTAAGAAATAGGAGAAAAATAGTTAAAATATATTCATGTACCCTGTTCCGTGAGAAGAAGGGGGTAATTAGGGGTTATTTAATTATAAAAAAAAAATTAGAATTAAGGCGTGTTATCGATTTAGTGGGCTATATGCCACACATGTAAGAAATCGGTCCTTTTATATTCAGTAGCACCTTACGTGATGAAGACTTTTGTCTTGCTGGACCAATGTTTTCAGACGATGTTCCGCGGACTACTAATGTTCCGTTAAAGGCCTTAGGGTGTTCCGGGCCAAATTACTGCTTTTTTTTCGAATGGCACATTTTATGATATAAAATAATACAAATTAAGAATGAAAGATCACTTATTTGGCGTTAAGACGGGTCGGTTGCGTGTGATAATAAAAAGCAACAGTGCGAATATCCGCTAAATGCGAGTTTTTATGACATCATAGCAAAAATTTAATTTATCTTTAACATTTGCCAGTATTGGGCAGTTGGCCAACGATATCACAACGCGAACCGTACGTTTACCAATTACTCTTGTTATGGTGGATAGATATTTGAAAAAAAACAGACTCCTAAAGACGATTATTTCTGAAAAAACTTGTGATATAAAAGTGTTCCGCGGTTTAAAATGGGGTTGAAAATCACGGTGCTAGACAACATATTATTATATATATTGTTAGTAACCGTATCGGGTATAAACTCTATTAGATATTCCACAACTAAATTGTATCCAAACTGATGATAAATATGGTGGGCTATTTTGAAGCAGGTTGATAAGGTACAACGAAATCATGTAGCTCTTCAATTATATTAGTGGCTATTTATTCAAAGGCAAACAACGTAATAATTTATAATATGGCCCATGAACAATTTTTATAAGTTAGTACATTGCCAGAATCTCACGCATGAATAAATAATAACGTCACTGATTAAGCTTTCACGATAGGAGTTAGGTTATCAGATTGAGGCATGGGTTGAATGGCGCTCACATAAGATGGAGCAGCAAATTTTAAATTTGGGGGAATAAGTGCAAAGTAAAGATAATTACGTGTGATACCAACACATTCTTTTTTAAAGTCGAGGCTTTCCGAATTAGCTTAGCTTTATTAGCGAAATAAATAACCAAAAGTTCCATTTTGCTCTGTTATGGCGAATTCGTATACAGTGAAACCATCGTATCACAAAGAAGGAATGAAATACCCGACCATTAGGTAGGTTATTTATCTTACCAGCCATAGTGGAAAACAGTCTTTTGATTCCGGATGCTCGCACACAAACGGTCGTATAAAAGTTAATATGAAGAATGGCAGCCAACAAAATGTAAAAACAGCAACAATAATACCAAGAGTACGAATTGCTTTTGCATTGCGTAATCTATCACGTGATGTTGTAGACGAAACACGTCGTATGATGCTTCCTCTGAAATTAAAAAAAATAACTAGATAAAAAAACTTCTGCGATATTTTGCTGCCAACAATCGTGGTATCTCAAGCATGGCTGAAAACTAAATTGCGACCGATGGCCAGCAGATACAGAAAAATGTTGTAAGTTAAATTTTAATTGCGAAATTTTCCTAATTTATACAGAAATTGTACCACATTTTCAGGAAGATATGCGTTTTTTTTCATGAAAAATATTCTTAATCAAAGGCCACTGATAGGAGAGGAAACTGTTTTTGTATGAACAGAAATATTTTCGGATCAGCATTGCCTACCCAATTTACGGTACCCTAGGTAGAGTGGTGTGTATTGAAGGTAATCCCGAAATCAACCGTCCCGTCAACTCGTCATGATGACATACTTTGGTCAGGCTCGAAAAGCCAGTTATAAACTCGTCTTGAAAACAGTTGCCTCTGTTGATATTTCTAAGATTTTCTTACTCTAGTCTATCATTAACGGCTCACCTTCTTGATCTTCTGGTTGAGGATAGAAAACTGCCGTTACGTGTTGATCGTCTTCCAGATAAAATACTACTTGATTTTCTACGCAAAGAATGTCCTTTGAAACTTTGTCTTATAGAATTCGAACGCTGATTTGCGAAACTTTCAAAATGTCTATTATCATTTGATAAGGGATCTTGTGGTCGTCCATTGCTCATTACATTATTGGCAACCGATTTTGCGTCCATTTGATTCACAGACGCGGCGGAATAATGTAAGGTTTTGCACCACGAAGAACTTTTTCTCATACTACTAAATTGTTTATCGTTCGGCAAAGCGTTGCCGTTTATTTCAATCGGCATTAAACTCGATGTACGTTTGCATGTAGACATCGTTCCGTTATTGCACAGTATAGTTTTATCATTGATATGACTGTCACTCACAGACTGTCTTTTTCCATTTGCAATTTCAGGATTTAGTAAATGTTTATTTGGTAACGTTGATGAATTAAAAACGTCGTCTCGAGACGTAATTGGTGATTTCATATCGTGTTCACCGATCTTGCATTTGGCTGTATCGTTACTGTTATTCAAAACGCAATTCATCTCATGGTTATTAGGTGGTGATCGATATGGACTACTGTCCGGTGTATCATAACTCTGAATGCCATAATCCAACAGGTCTGTAGTGGATTCGTCTGATATTATGTCGCATTTCCGTCGCAACGATTGTGATAGCAGAGAATGTGGCTGAAAATAATACAGTATAGTTAATAGTAAATTGGATGGTTTGTGAAATCGATGTTTCCTCAAGCATCGATTTCCTTGTTCATTTCCGTAACAATGATATATCAGTCATAGGTTAACCTGGATGTAATAATTGAAACTTATGGAACCGCACAGACCATGTTTACAGTAAGACAGATTTTCAAGTATGGTTTCAAACACTTCAGTTTTTTCCTTTCGTAAGTTATGTATAAATCAAATAGCTGAATGACAAACGAAAATTAGTAGCAAAACAGCTGTGATAAACTACTGGGCTAAAACTAGCTGCCAGTACTTTAATATGGCATATTGTACATTATTTTGAATCAAAATGATGCTCATGAACATGTACACAGGTTTCTGGGCGCCAACTTACGAAAAACATTTTTACAATTGTCAAGTATAGGAAGACTCCTTCTGGGGCCAACAGTAGCGGAATCGTTCATTATAACAGCACCAACCCGATACTGGAAAATGGGTGCAAAATCCCCGTTCCCAACACAAGAGTAAAACGGTAAAATCGCGGGACGCACGGCGATTGGTTTTAAATTATTTTTTTTCAGTAATTAAGATATTTTTTTCCAGAAACCTTTATTCGACACGAAGTCTATGTGGACGCACTCCGGTAATCATACTAATCATTGCGGGAACTTAGAAACGGGCACTTAGTCAAACGATATTAGACAATATCACATCTGTCAGGTTTAGTTGATCCAATTAGACGCCAACTGACGAAAACAAAAGAATATATATTCAGCTGGGGATTAGTCCACGATAATAATATTTTGCACATTAGAAATCGAATCGAAGGGTTTATTAGGTCATCAATAACCAAATTTAATAACAGAGCATTGTTATTATTTACACGAATATGGTGGTGGTATATGTCAGCTAAGCATACACCGTTTTTTGATAACTGGGTCTGCAAAATCGACCAATAGAAAATCCACTTGAGGGTAAAGTTTTCATAAAACGAGTAGAATTTTGTAATGAAACCACTGGTCTGGGGGAGTCCTGATTATGGTTTCCAACCTTTTATGGCTCGTGGCCCCTTTCCGGAGGTTTTGAGCACTCATGAGTGCTTTATATATTTGAAAACATATATAAGAATAACTCTTGTTAGGCGACACTCCCATGAATAATTACTGAAAAATTTGAAGAGATTGTACATAAAGTATAAACGATTTTTGACGTGCTAAAAACTAATCGCGAACATTGTTTAAACGAGCAGCTTTTCATTACATTGGGAGATCAAAATTTCGAAACACTTCCAGCTCATTTACTTTTAGGATTACTATTGAAGTGTGTTGTTTTTGCGCTCAAAATTATGTGGTGTGGATAGATGATTCATAGCAGGTGTATTAAAAATATGGAAGGGGTAATTATAAGAACGATAACTCATACATAACAGTGAAAAATGGAGGCAATGTGGTGTTGGTTTTATTTTAGAAAAATTTGGCGTATGACCAAAGTTACAACGTATATTGAGTATCTCAAGTGCTCAAAGTCATTTTACTTTTTTTTTCAACATCTAGTTTGGGCCAGTAAACTCGTCCAGTACAATGGACAAATCGGAATTACGGTAGGGATCTATAACTGATATAATAGAATAAAATCGATTTAGTCAACTCATGCAAATTCCTGAAATAAGATTAATTTCTTTAACTGATAAATGGATTGAAAGAACATCGATTTTATATGAAAAAAAAAAAAGGCAGTATGGTCAATATAGCGTTGCGTTTCGCGCATTCTTATGGCGTATTCTCGTTATTATCCAATATCGCTCTAACGGCATGGCTACTGATACACATAGGCCCAACTCTGTTACAATTTTCCGACTCGGCATATTCCATATAATTTTGTAACTCGTAAAACAATATAGAAAATATTACAACAGACCATCATGGCGCGTCTCAGTAATTGATTTCAGCAAGTACACATGTGATATTGATTTAAAAATGAAGACACGAAGCAAGTACAGAATATTTAATAATTATAAAGAACGATACCTGATCGCTTAAACTTTTTGATCTTGCTCTTTGACGTGCTTTAAAACGAGATGCTTCCAAATATATTTTATAATACATGCATAACATCACAGCAAGAGGAATATAAAATGAAACGACTGTTGAATAAATAGTGAACCAGACTTCTTGGCTAATTAAGCATGTCTTTCCTGTTAACAAAAGTGTTTCAATTTTAATTTCAGTCATTCAGGTAGAAATAAAATTAATTTATTATACAGGCCAAATGTCGCTCTCCAAAATCGATCGGTGGGAAAAAACCAACATTGGTGAATCAACTTTTTGAAATTAGCAAAATTTGGGGTTAAAATATTTGAAAAATATTGGTCCAGTGAATAAACAGAAAATATGGTTTTGTTTGAACAACAATAACAGATTACTAAGCTGCATATATATCATCCCCATGTTGTTCAGTAAGTGAAGTTCAATTCTGTCAAGAACTCATTTAAGGTATTTCAATATCTGTCAAATATTATTTTAACACAGTACGAATGACGTATCAAAATAACGAAAAAGGGTTTTGCCATTTTCCAAAAATGTATATTGTCACGTCCGACTTGAAAAATGCTAATGGATTTTGACTTATGGGGAATAATTTGATTGTGTGCTAATGCCATATGGAAATGTGAAGAGAATTGAATAAAAGTCTGGAAGAGGAATAGTTCGGTTTTATTATTAAAAAACAAAACAAATGAGTGGAATTTGGAAGTGAAAAAAATCTGCTTTCCGTAAGTTTTAAGTTTGAACATTTGTGAGGGCACAACTAGATCTTTGGAGTGACTATAAAATGGCATCACTAATCAAAAATCTTGAGTTCAAACCCCAAACCCCCCGCTTTAGTCAAATTCTGAGAAATAGGGTAGGGAATGCCGATCTAGAAAATTCCCTATCTCTCCAGTAGCTTCTTATCTATTGGTGGTTGCTTGTACAACGCCTTGTTCGTAGTAGAGCGTTGTATAGAAAACTGAATTTATGAACTCGTGTGACAAAGAGAATAATATTTATTCATCCAGAAATATTTTTCCATCTCGAAAATAAAATGAATCTTGCCACTGATGTGAGGAATTCCGAAGGCCCATGTTTGGGAAGAACGTTTGTGCAATTGAACCGGTAGTCACCCGTCAAAATATGTTCAGTACAGAGTTAATAAACATTAAATGACCATTCTTGTCAAAATAATATTTTACTCGGGATTAAATTCGTGATACCTAACCACAAAAGCCTATTATCTACGTCTTAGGCACAAGTTAACAATGATGAAAAGTTGTTGTAATAATTCAGCGGCTGTTGATAGTGGTTACATATCACACTTGTATAAATAAATACAATATGAGAGTTCCAAAATCAACAGTGAACAAACTTATAAAAACAAACACGATTAAATTAACATTCGAAACAGGTACTTGGGAACACTCAATATAAACGCGTAGAATTTATTACAAACTTCGGACACGATAGTTACTCGAGTTCAATTACGAATAATTTTCTTAGACTTTTACTGAAGGAAATTAGTTACAAGTATTAATAATACACGGTTTTTCTCCTGTTTTTCTAGTGACGAAATTAAAAGTGACAGAATAGTTCGGGCGTTATGCTTAATGGAAAATCAATAAAAACTATTTACCATGAATGAGTTCCCCAAATATTTCCACTGACGTACTAGATACTTTGTCGATGTTGGACTCGTTCAGCAGAATTCTGAAATGAAATATTGGTTACTCAAAATAGTCAAATTTCTAGACATCAAATTTTGAGCACAATACATAATATTATTGCAAAGAGTGGCCTAAAAATAAACTGAACTCATAAATTCCTTAATTAATTTAATTACTTCACGAAAATGAATAAAAACTTCTTTAACCCTTGAACTTCTGTTTGTGTATGATTGTACCCAAAAGTTTCAATAATCTTGGATGCTACGCATATAACTTATTTTCTCTCTGAAATATGTTCCTTGTGACCTAGTGCAGGGTGGTCTAAGGATGTCGCCTTCGCGGGCCACAAACTTATTTTTTCATTGTTCGCGGGCCACGATAGTGTCAGAAATAGGTAAACTGGGCAATACAAAACAATCACTTTTATTGTGCAAACAATAAATCATTATTTGTCATTTATCAATCTAAAACATGCAAAATACGCCTGAAAAATCACTGAAACATACAAAAGTTTTTCTATATCTACATTTAGTGTAAGATCTCAAATTCTTCACAACGGAGAAAGTGCTCCCGCAAATGTAAGTGCTCTCAAACATCGATTGGGTTCTCAATGCAAAACCCCTCAAAATTTGAAAATGCTTGTTGCTCACATGATAGCAAAATGCCGTTTAAGATTATATTTGCCATAGCTGCAGATTGATTGATTATCAAATTTTACTAAATGTAAGGTACAAAAGCGTAATTACTAATTTTACTGACAGAATAGCAGCATACTTTCTAATACTGTTTAGGCTGGTTGCAGAAAATCACTCGAAGGAATTATATTCTCAGGTCATAACATTAATATTTAGTTATTATAACTGTTGGAATATATTCTCAACCAAAAAGATCTAAACCAGTGAACAATTTGGAATACCCAAGCACACTATGCAACTTCGCTAGTTGCTTCAGCAAGCCGTGACACTAGTCAATTAAGTGACATTAGGGATGTAGCAGGATGTCGAAAAGATTCTGTAGTTATTTTTAGGACGAAACAACACCAAATGTGATTTTTTGATTACCCTTCAGCAAAGGCGACGCGGGCCACAGATAATGACGCCGCGGTGGCCTGGGTTTGGACCACCCTGACCTAGTGTTTTAAAGAAAAAACATTCACGATAAGATTTAATTTTAGAATAGTTTCTTCCATACACGAGCGTGTTTAATCTCTTATTTGAAACCTAAAAAAGAAACTTTGTTTTCGTGCACCCAATAGATCAACTTCAGTTAATCCTCATCGGTGAGATGTAAGGAATTCAGAATTTCAATGCGGCATGAAGTATGTATTATGTCGTATGCACCGTGACAAAACAAACCAAGGTTTTCACTGAAAATTCAGTAGAACGTATAACCTTTGTGAAATTTTTAAGAAAAGTTTTAGGAGTGTAGAAATTCTTGGCGCTCAACAATTTCACAAGAAAAACAAAAATACTCCAGTAAATGTACGAAATATTCAAAACCTTACAACTTTTTATGACGCCATATTGTATATCTACTTTGAAAATTTTCAATACATTTGAGAATGAAACACGACGTGGTTTATTTTGTTAAAACTGACAATCGCGTACAAGAATATAGTAATCTGTTATCATTACGTCACCAAGATTGACGTCATCAATATGAAATGTTGCCAACAAAGTGAAAGAGTCCAGATACTCCACTGATATATCTTAGAACGAATTTAGAAATTAATATCGTTAAATCACCATCGGAATCTCTTTTCAATCTTATCTACTATCACAAACAAGTACATTCATAGCATTGAAGTTCGCAAAATAAAGGATTTATATTAGTTTTGTGGTTAGAGTGCCGCGACTTTTTAAAATATTTTTGCAGGGTCGCAGTCCGAAAATGCTTGATAATACTTCGGGACGTTACTTCCTGGTATGCGTAGTAGAATGACTAATCTTATACGGAAGTGTCAATTAATTTTTATTTCCATCTTGAATATGCGAAGAATCATAACATGTTTTTCTACGCCACATTCGTCAAGTATCAATTATCCGATGAAGCTTTTACCCAGTAAGTGATGTTTAATAAAAACAAAAGCAAGAGAATCGTGTAATGTGTTGTAAAGTACTTGCTAATGCAACAGAAACTAAAAACTGACATGAATACTGTAACAACACTTGCATAAAATTCACTGATAGGTACCATCCAACTCTGGTGGCAGTTTCTACATGTAGATTATACTTCATCTACAAATCGCAACATACAAATTAACTCAAGACTCAATTGTTCAAGTCCAAAAATTATTGATATTTATTTGAACCATATCTCATATTTTCAAAATAAAACCATCTTCGAGTGCTTGGGTTTTTATGAAACACGCATTTGTCAATATGTGAGCACCTGCATTGTTTCTTGAAAGGACTTTTTTGATACATTGGTATTATGTGATCTACATACTATTGTGAAACGTAACATGTAGAACACTACACAAAATATTAATGTGTTTGAAACTAAAGTTGTTTTTGGTTTATATATACGTCGAGAAATAGAATAAAAAAGATATGGTGTGATATTGTTGTTCGCTGATGATTAGCATTTTTATTGCCAGTGGATGTAGATTACAAGCCACACTAGAAAATGCATGTAAATCACATAGTACCATAGCAACCTTTTTGGGGCGCTACAGAAGTGTGTGAACCAATATGGAGATAACTAATTTCGTTCGCCTATTTTACATCAAGTTGTGTAAAGGGACTGAAACGTATGGGCAGGGGTATATTCACTTGGCTAACGCAGACAGTACCCGAACTCGTGATAGTATTAAAATAAGGAAAATAGAAATAAAATTATGACCTAACCCTAACCTGGTACACATACTGTACGGGAACGCTCTTTTAGGGACAGAGCAGCCTACGCAATTTACACAAACTAAGCGTGTTGAGCATTGAGTTGAGGTATTTGACCTGAGACGACAACGTTAGAAGTCCATCTTGGTAATTTATATTTACGTTAGAATAATTGTGTGAACAAAGAGATTATTTGATTTTCTTTGAAACCTAATTCCTAAACCTTATCAGAGTCTAGCAGAATCGATGTAAAAAACTACTATGACTAGAAAGTCAAATCTTTTAACTCTGAGAAGCAATTTATTATTCTGATAGATGAAGTAATAATTTGAACAACGATTGGCGTTAACGTGACATATTCGCCACAAAACCAATAAAAAGACCACAGAGAAAAAGGATATTGGCTTACGATAGGATCTCTCAAAGCTTAGGTATGGCGCCACAATCTACAAAAACAAAACGGGCCATATATAGGTATGTGAAGTGGAAGGCTACCCCGTGTCGTCAAAACATTTATATTATTTCAAGTGCCTGATGTTGTATTTATTTATTTGAATTGTTACAAGACCATGTGGCTCTAACATAACAATGAGAAGATAACATTCTCATTGTAGATATTTTAAATGATTTCGTGCCGCTTCAATCTCCAAACGAAGTCACGCCATGTTATTGGTTGTACTTTGACCTCAAACCGGAACTTGACCACAAAGTAGTATTGCACGCAGAGTGTTAATGATAATTTAAAATATTTCCAAAGCTTGGAAAATATGTTATGATGGTACATATTGTATGATTTTGTTGAGAGGCGTATTCTGTTTCTAAAATTGAGATTACAAAGTAGTACAAACTGAAAATAATAATCTTGCTTTCAGAACATAACGTAATTGAATTGTTATTTGTAGTTTTTGAATTGTAATTAAAAATTTCTAAAACCAATCAAAATTGTGTCTTTGTAACGATTTTCGCAATTAACAAGTTCTTTTTACATAAATATCGTGAAATCTTTCATAAGGTGCCTATATATCTAATGAAATACAGTTGTTGTGAACCTGATAAATTTACTTAAATTTACCAATCATTCAATATTGCAATACACCTTTTAACTTTGAAAATTGATACCGCTTAATATGAATTTATGCTTAAAAATTGGAAATATTTTTTACAGTTGAAGACTGAAATATACTGACCTGATATATCTGGTTGGTAATCCCGGTAGATTAGCCACAGCGTTCGTCTTTATTGAAAAATTGGTATCGACGACTTCACTGATATCTTCTGGTATTGTCTACAAAAAGAAAAAGACAATATTTTTAGCAAAAGATCATCTGAATTCATACACCAGCTAAGCAAATGAATAATGGTTAGCGCATCGGACTCAATTTTTTTTTTAGGAGTTTCAATTACTCATACTCGCGTTTGAACCCAATGTTTACCCCCCCCCCCCTTTATCTTAGAAAAAAAAATGATAAAAATATGTGTGTACTATGGTCACACATAGGTGATTCAATATAAATCAGTATTTCACAGATTACTGAGATACCAAAATAGTTGCTTAATATACTATACAAATAGTAGTAAGTTTAAAAAGTCTTTAATAAGCTGATAGCTTTATGTACCAACTCTTGACTTTTTCCCCTCTTCCGCTAAACAAATTTATTAAACTCGAATTTGCAAAGTTGCGCTACCAAAATTAAATTTTGCCGTCTTTCTAATTAGTATTTCTTAGAAAATATTTTACAACAATATTTGACTTTACATATTTCTTCGATTTAAAAATGATCGAGCTCGATTTTGTGTCAAAAAGGAGCGATGGAAATAAAAGCAATTTACGCGGGCTTTGAAAATCGATAAAACTCATCAAAAAGTACCGGTAAAAGAATTAATAAAATAATATTTTCTCCTTAAATGACCAAAGGTAAAAACCATTAGTCGAACCGATATTACTATTAGCCATTACGTATGTGTGTCCCACGCGAATAAGACGTGACGAAATTCTGTGAAAGTGACAATAAACAATGGCATACATTGCAAATAATTCAGCAGGAAATGTCGAAAAATAATAACATAATATTAGAAAAAGAAAGCACCATATCTCACAAAAATCGATTTTTTGTTATTTCCCCAAATTTCATCTTTGTAGTTACGAAATTAAAACCACTTTCTACCCAGGGGAAAATTACTCATGCTAGGAAAATAGGCTCAGATCTTGTTTATTGCATTGCAAGCCTGCGCCACGTTTTTCTTCGAAGGCGGGCCGTGAATTTTCTTGTTTTCGTAAAACAAACCATATGGGACAATTTCGTCTGTCTGTCTTGTGGATTATCGTTGTAAAACAAAAAATATTGTTTTTTTATACAACCCAGCTATACGCAGTCCTGACCCGAAAAAACACGTTGAATTGTATCAAATAGTCCTAAATTTGGTTGGTGATCTGCATTCTTTGTGAATCGTAGGCATTTTTTATGTTGAATTATATTACCCACGCTAATCTGCAAATACTTTATGTGCTTATGCGTTCACAAGTTAGATTGTAAAAATATTTATACTAAATATTTTGTAATATAAGTATTCGTGTTTTTGAACACTTTACACAACATGACAGTTTTTGATGTTGAATTATAAATACTTACTTATACTAATCTGCAAATTAATTTATGGGCTGTTGCGCTCACAAGTTAGATGGCGCTCCCGTAATATTCGTACCAAGATGGCGCACAACCTGCTAACCTGGTACTATCACTAACCTGGTACACATACTATGTTCAGGTTGTGCGCCATTTTAGTACGAATACTACGTGAGCACCGAAAATTCTATATATGCTGATAACTAACCGATAATAAAACAGTCCAAACATAACCGCAAAATGCGCTCATTTTGGATAGTAATTTTGGTCTCATAAATCGTGAAAATACGCTTGTGAAACGAGTAGTCTGAACGGGTAATTTATCATGAGTGAAACTACCCAGATTATAACAGAAATTATAACTTAAAATCCATTAGGGATTCATTAAATGTTGTGGCTGTGTGTATAAGCAGTGAGCTGCCCCCGACTTGTTGAACATCCCACACAAAGGCAGAGCAGAGCTTTAAATCTTGAATATTTTGACTTGAAAAAGCTGGATTCACCGACTGCCAGGTGAACCACTTTTCACCTATAGTCCTTCATACGATCGTTATTTAAAAACGATTTATCAAGTTGAAGTGCACTTAGTCAGATATCGATTAAATTTGAGGGTTTTCTATTTCACTCCCATCATTCAAAACACATGTAAGTGGTCGCCAAAAGTGTCAATGACAACCAAATTACATTGCCCGTCTTCACTCTGATAATAAAAACAGTTTTTTAACATCTTGAAATCGACTTTAATGAAATCATCGTTAAAAACCAACATGTTTGTGGATCAACCAACCGAAGCTAATACGATTATTTTGATAAATACTTTTTAGCGGGTACGTACAAAATCCAAATCTGACTCGTAAAACCATGCCCCCGGAGATTTTAATATTTTCGAAACTTTGATGAAATATTTTGATATTTTGTGGTAAGTTTGGCTTCGTCGAACAAAACTAACAACTTACTTCCGTTTCTTGCAATATGGTGATAAAGATGGCTGTTTGTTCGAAGAAGTCTGGGTATAGTCTCACGGAACGTTACATAAATATGGATGTAGGTAGATGTTTTTAGGTTCAACAACACCCCTCAATCATTTTGAATTTCATCTGCCAGCAGCTAGAAGATGCAGGGGTATCCCAAAAATTGTATAAACTTAGCGATCTACACCACAAACTGATAACATTGCATTTGCAAATGTTGTGATTGTAAGCATTGAGCCAATTAGCCATCTGTCGTGACGCGTAACGTGGTATGGGCATTGTGCATGCTAAAACAAATCCTGCATTGTATCGAATACGAAACGAATTCGAAATTTTGACTTTGAAATTATAAAAGAATTTGAATTCAAAAGACAGGGATTAAGAACATTCATTCATGTGGTGGGACATACAAACCACAACTGAGTAGTGAAGAGTACTCGAGATTCCGCGGGCATTCGCCGCATTAACTACTAGTAAGTTGTTCAAACGTAACGTACAACTGTCCATACGCACCTTCAGAGAAGTCAAGTCATAGGGCGTTTGGAGACCATATATATCTTTATATTAGCACATCGTTGGAAGCAGGATAGCTGTTACTATAATTGTCTCATACAAAAAACTCTACTCACTAACAGAGTTTATATGATCGACTTGTTGACAGCAAATAAGTGGAAGATAAAACTTTATGACTATACATAAGAAATGACAGACTGGTCAAATATTCTATAAATCAGAAATTCACGCCCCCATTAACATGAGGATATCAACCCACTGTCATCGTCAGACCTCATAACTTTCAGCAGGTCATTGATCACAGCTCGCCGAAACAAAGGCCTGGTGGCCAACGAAAAAATGAAAATATAGAATAGCCTTTAATGAAACGCTTCCATCTTTGATTATTAAAAGTTAATGGCGAAGGTTCCAGTACTCCAACAAAATAGCGATTTTTGTACCAATAACAACAACAAGAACTCCTAACAACAGCAGTTTACCAGAACCACACATAGAATCGTTATGCTTCCAACAGCATCTCAATACTGCACTTCCTACTACAAAAATTGCCCCGAGATGACTTAAGACGGCAATAACTATACCCAAAATTCGCGTTCGTGCTCTTTCATACAATCTTAAATTTACACTAAAGACAATCATTAGGCTCAATTTTATCGTTTTATTGTAATCCCGACCTATTAAAAGTAATAAACCATTTCAATACACAATCAATTCCTGTATAAGCCCCCATAAAATTGGGATCACCTAAGGATAAGCAAACAGACGTGTTTACTTGCAGTTAATTAAGCCTGGAAAGCAACTTTTTCAAGGTACTATATTATGTACTTGGGTTTTTAACAGTGAATACACCCCTAGCGATTCAATTGTAAATATTTCCAATTTTAATCCCTTCCAAGAATTGACAAATTTATATTTTACCGTCATCGTAGTAAGCAGTATTACTGGTTTATATTTCGCAGAACTAGGATGGGTGAATGCCAAGAAAATGGAACAATGTGCAGTTCCTGCTTATAAAGATTTGCCCAATTATAGAGAATCATATCTTTTTAAAGTCGAAATAAAAGATATGATGTGAACGAAAGTTATAAACGAGATTGTTGAGCCGCTTCTACAGTGGTTCCCCAAACCTTTTCAGTATCCTAACAGATTATTTCCCTAAGAGTTATGGGCCCCTTCGGATAAAACCAGTCAATACCGTTATGTACAAATGGTATGCAAAATGACGTAAATAAACGAAAAAGCACCGCCTATACATAACACTCGGATAAATCAAATAAGAAGCTTCATCACGCCATAAAACCTGGATGCCGAGGGGGTTAGCACCTTCATCCACCGCCCTGGGACAATGCTCAATAACTTTCCAGTTACCTCATCGGTTCCACGTCTTTAATAGTGATACCAATTAAATAAATGTACACATGGGCAATACGAGCGCAGTTACTGTTACTAAATAGGCATTCTAAGTACTCTTTGTTGATTCTGACCTCTAATTATGTCTCTCTGTATATAGAAAACACAAATTATAAATATAGCATTGATAAATGCTATCAATATTTGACTAAAAAGGATAGTGTAAACGAATGCTTGTGAAACAACAAATCAAGTCTAAAAATAACTGGAAATACGATAGCATAAACTAATTATAATTGAAGTCCCTGGTAATGTTTTCGGTTAGTGATTCATCATTTCTGCAAATTAGTTATCATGTCCGAGAAATTATGACGCCGATATCTCCTTATGGTTAAACAAATTGGGAGCGCGAAAAATGTGTACATTACTATTTGAGATAGTACACTTCAAAATCGAAGGGCTATTTACTATTTACCGGGTAAAAGACGTTTTCGAATAAAAATTAGGGCTAAAATATAATTTTTCGAGTCTTTATCCTATCCTGGTATGCTATAAGCCTGTTTGGTGCTTTTCGGTCAATTAGGCTTGGCTTATACGGGGTGAACTTAAACAATTTCTAGAAGGGTCATAAAGAAACAATACTTTATGAGAAAATCTTATTCTCGGGCAGTGAATATTTATTGGGGAGCTCAATCAAGATAATACCATACTTTATGAGAAAATCTTATTCTCGGGCAGTGAATATTTATTGGGGAGCTCAATCAAGATAATACCATACATATTCACGTATCTGTGAGTCGATAAGACGATTTAATCACATGGCGAACTACGGCCTTTTGGTCACCCGTCCATGTCGGGTATGGGATATTTAGCCAGTTCGTCGTTTCAGATGCATGGACTTGATGGTGGAGTAAGTCGTAATTGACGTGTGCAGCCACTCTCCTGCACATGATTATCCCCACGGGATTCAAACCCGCGCATCAGAGGCCAGATGGCTAGCGTATTCCTAACGCTTACCACGATGCGCCATCCGCCAGGCCAAACTGCTTTAGCTGTAAAGATAACGCCATTTTATATTTGCGCCAGATGGTGGAATATTAGCAACAATTTATTACAAGATTGTTGAATGTTTTTTGGAAGTTTCTATAACGTCACAGGAGAATTCCATTGAGGAATCATAGCATGGCACTATCAATCTTGGTGAAAAATGACTTAAAGAAAGTGTTTTGAGTTTTAAATTTAAAAATACACTTACTTGTACGTGACCATAATATATACTGCTGTTCAAACTGTCGAACCGAATATGTGTCGTATAATATTCTCTTTCCATGTCTACTGCAAATTGCCATATTGTTGATTCACTGAACAAAAAAAAAATTAAATGAAATTTACATGTAAATCATATTTCAATATCCAGGATATCAACCTCTGTATTGAGCAATGTGGATGGGACCTAAAACAGGCAATAGGAAACCATGAGATATGACTATCAAACGTCAATATATAACTTATTGAGTTCTTTCAATCAGAAATTACAAAAAATATCCATTAGTGCATAATCGACCATATAAAGTACTATAAATGTAGTATGAACTTTCGCATAATGTCATTGAACATGGCCAACATGAGGAGGTACATGGCGCGATACATAATAAAATTCAATATTTTAACAACCGAAAAAGTTTAGGTAATTTCAACGTTTATTTTCCAATAGTGTCAGTAGGTTATATTCGTCTAAAAATAAATCCAAAACACAACGGAATTTATCTAAAAATTACCCTTTTTATCACTCTAATGGCGCCCATCGATAAATCGAATTAATTATGGTTGAATAACAGATTTCGAAAATCGATATTGACCGAACTGCCGCAAGTGTCGGGATTTTTTTTTATTTTTTATTCATGAACGTTACCATTTTGCTTAGTATCTCTGGATGGGATTGTTTTATTTTTCGTTTGAAGTAAATCCAGATTAGAATCGTTTTTATATTGTTGTTTTCAGACTTGAATACATATGCTTATGGCGTTTCGCGTCTGAAAAGCGTTTGAATTGCATAGTACCGAGTGTCACAAAAGGCAAACACAAAAGCTGCTTGTTTTTGATTGTGTTCAAAAATTTCAGAAACCTAGGACGCTTTACGCTTTGCGCCAAATTCATGTTCTTTCTAAAGTAATATGTTTATATTTTTGAATCACCTTGTATTTGGAAAATTATGTACAACCTAGCGTAGTACATGAATATTTTGCGGCCTTTCTGCTCCTAATCCTCATCTTAGGTATATATTCTATATTGCCCCACCGCTAAATTTCTTTTAATTCTGTTTATCTTACGTTAGGTTGGGTTACTGATTTACGATTTTTGGTTTACGCTATGTTGTTCAATACTTTTGCTAACATAACTCATCCTAACTTAACCTATGACGATAAGAATAAAGCAAAAGGGATCGGATTATTGGCGGGGCAATAGCAGAAAAGTAATCTATATAGCATAGTCATCTATATATTAATATTATTTTTTACATTTACTATATATAAATCCAGGTTCCGGATATTGTTCGAATGTACACCGGATAGGACTCCTAGTAGGTCATTTTAGCTCTTGGGTGTATCTTGGAACTTTACATAAGTAAAACTCCTGATTTAGGTCGGGCCCGATTCCCATACAAATTTAACCAGACTAGTCTCTGTATTGCCACCCGAACATGTAATATCACACGCGCCGCTTGTGTAAAGTCTTGTACGTGGCGAAATGTTTATGTACATCAGTGCGATTTTCACACACTAAGGGGAAAGAGTTTGTTTCGACCCATCGCGTTATATTATCAGTATTGGAAATGCGTTACCATAAAATATATCACGTTCCTAACAAGATTATTCGACTTTGTCAAATATTGACTGAGCTGTAGCCAACAAAAGAACGATGCCAGATTTCATTGTGGTATTCAATGTTCATATGAACTTTTTCCTTATCTTATCCGGCCTCGAGAAACTAGAAATAAATTTCAATTGTGTAAGGTGTGGCAACAATCACAAAAACGACGTTCATAGGATGACATATCCATTTTTGTATAACTTGCTAGTCAACACTTAAAAAAAAACAAAATATGACTTATAATTAACTGAACATTGACTCTAGAAATGTCTTAAAGTCAAAATGCTATTTTGGTTTCAACACACAAAGCGTTGAAAGTTAAAAAAAGATTAGGTAATATAACTGACATTTTGTTATCGTTAGTTTTAATATATATATTCTATAATTGTCAGAGTGTAAGTTCCACAATCAGACAATCGTCATTTTTCTTTTGGTAACTAACATCTCATATCTATATTAGATATTATAAGTTGTTTGACAACACACACATTATGACACATTCCCTCTATAAGCCTTTTCGTTTGCTTTACGTACGGGAAATCTTGGATAATATCAAAAGTAAATATTGATAGGATTGGTGTATAATCCTATAATAGAATAATAAGTGACTTCAACGCGAATTGTATTTTGTAACCGGCACAAATAAACGTTTATATATAGAGTTTAAAAATTTGAAAACATTGGTCGGCTGTGAAATTTGTTTTGTCAATTTTGGCGCGTGTGTGGTGCAATTGAACCACAAACTGACAGGGAAATATTTTGTGGGTGTCTCGGACTTTTGAGTGACAAATTACTACTTGTCCGTGCGCTGAAACTTTTATTTCCATTTCAAGAAGCCGTTAAATTTAGGAAAGTAATACTACTTGGATAACCTAAGTCATTATGCTCCAGCATTCCCGACTAATTTTGTTACATCTCCGGTGCTATTATAGTGTGTTCTCGGTTGAAACGGCGTTTTCACGACCCCCTCTCCCCCAAACAAGGCTCTGCACAGAAAGACAGACAGACAGACAGACACACACTGATTACAAGCTACTATTATCACTATACCGAAACCTACAACCGATGTGCGCTAATACATATATTTTAAATTTATTGCGTCAATTTCGCCTAGGCTCAATAAAATCGTTGCTAGGTGTTTCCCAAGAATTTGTAATAAAATATGTTATCCAAGGATCTACTAGTAGGTCATTAATTTTGGTTAGTTTTTGATTAAAATTCATGTCTTTTACTAACAAACAATTCGGCTCAAATGGGTATTTCTGTGCCAAAATATAAAGTGATTTTTCGTACCTGTCGCATTTCGTCCAATAAGTAGGCATTTCGTCTGTTGCTATTGAGGACATTTTTGTCCAAATCGGTCGAGATGAAAAATTGAAGTGATCTTCGTGGATTCCTGATGAAGGCCCAAGTGTCATCCACGAAGGATCTAAAAAAGAGAAATATGAATATTTTATAAAAAAAAGTTGGCATTCATTTAGTGGTCGTATAAGATCAATATACACGGCAATTTCCATGGCTTGTCGTACTCTTGCCACCAAAATAATTGTTGGGTATGTTCATGGTATTGTTGTTAGGATTCAGATAACTCTTTTCTCGCCAATCGCTTTCAGTTTTCAGTGGTCAAACATAGAATTGTATTCAAAAATAACTATTGCAACTGGGCTCTATGGGACACGTTGTTTTTATTTACATTTTGCAAATTTTGAGAGGATTTTTGAAGTATATATCGATATATTTCTTCTGTCACCCTATTTCTCGTTCGCCGGTTTTTCGCTTTTCCGTTTATATCACAAATGATGATTTTTTAGGTTATCTTACGATATCATTTTATAACTGACATTGCCGTCAAACTTTTTCCCGTGTTCTAAATCAAACCTTGAATAATTTACGAGGTTTAATCGTTTTACATCGATGATAATCGCTTCTGTAGTGACCGATTAAAATTGTTATAACAAGCATAAAATCGGATGAAAATCCTGTCGATAAATTACCTATATTCAAGGATTTCGTGGTTAAGACTAAAAAAAGGCGAATTCAAAACTAAGAAATGTGTCAACCATGGTTATTTCACCAACTATACATTGACGATATTATTATACAGCAGACAAAAATATAAGGTTGTGCGACATGTTTCAAGCTTCGCTTCTACTATTTTTTTTTTCAAATAAAAAATTTTTTAGCAAGGCCTTCAAAATAAAAAAAAAATAAAAAAAATAAGAAATCCCTTTCTATGTCTTTTTTAACATAAATCAATATTGATCAGATAAAGTGTTATCCCAGACATTCATCGCAACATAAAGCATTGTATTGACTTGAAAATTAACGTTCTTGGTTTGAGTAGAAAATTTTATACAATCTCGCACTTGGCGAACGATAAAATTCTCACTAGAATCTACTCAAAATTTGGGCACTCCTGAAGTATGTGAACCAAGATGGCGGACACCGGAACGTAATATGTGTACCAGGTTAAAGTTAGACCATAATTTCAGGTAGAAATACTACGGGAGTTACTTGGCTAGTCCCCGAACTCAAAATTATGACCTAACCCTAACCTCGTACACATACTACGTTTCGGTGTCCGCCATCTTGGTTCACATACTTCGGGAGTAACCAAATTTGTATACTCACTCAAAACTAAATCATAGAACTGGAGACACATTGTGTGAGAGACAACAAAAAGTTAATATATTTATAAACCTTATTCAAATATTTTATTATGTCTTTGTGTCTCAGCTAGATTTATTACACATGTTATATATAAAGCATGAGATGCAATGCGTGGTCTAATGGGAATATTCATGCTCTCAGGTGAGGCTAATTACTTGTAGCTTCTACGCACATCGATGTGCTGGTATTTGCTAGTAGTTATTTCGATATATTCAATAAATTGAATCATGCTTGGGTTATATATGACTGAGATTCGTTTTCAATGGCATACGGTACATGCAATATAAATAATTTTTCAAATATTTCCCAAAGATGATTTTAATTGCGGCTGGAAGATCAAAGGAATAATGTATATTGCGTTAGTCCTAATGCGTTATTCGATTCTGATGTGGCAAAACGAAAATATGTCGGTATTTTTATGTGCACAACGATTAGAAAAATTCAATTTCAGCCGAAGTTTGCGATAACTCTCTGGTTAGTTTTAAACTTTACCTATTAATATCATACGTCTAAATCGCCCCAAAATCCTATATCTTGCAATTTATTATGGATCACACGAATGTACATCCGAAGCTATGAGCGCTAGCGCAAACATTAGAGGGCCACATACAAATTTAACTTCCCAAACCAATATTACATTCACACTCGGGCTAACCCAATACATTACTATAATTGTTTGAACTAATTTTGGCGTAAGATGTCTTTATATATTACCGTACCGTGGTATATTACCGTATAACCATACATGCATCCTGATTTTATCACAATATCACGACCTATTAGAGTATTTATTTATTTTTCCGGCAATAATAACACAAAATATTATGTTCTTGAGACTAAAGTGCCCGTGGAGACACTTTGAAGATGACCACATACCTTCTGACCACTAATCCGGTCACTATATATGTTTTGACACCAAAGGTTTTGTTTGAAGACAACTTTGACATGGGTTAAGTAAATAAATGGAATTTTTAAAATAGTTCTAGTAAAATTCATTATTATTACTTGATTCACAGGGTAATTTGAATCGTGGTGCATAAAAAACGTAAAAGTATTTGTTCAATCGGCAATCCTTCCGCCTATGATGCAGCTTGCATGGGACTGATTTGTCAAATAATTTGTGAGATGTTTCGTTGGCTGCTTGAACCGAGCTTTAATTGCAGAGACACCTAAATTCTTTTACTAAATATATCAAGAGTACTACCGATGGGAATGTTTTTTGAATCCAGTCATAAATAACATAAATTTACGCCACTCCAGAAGTGTGTGTACCAGTATTGAGGTAACTAATTTTGTTTGCCTAATTAACATCACGTTATGTAAAGGGACTGGAACCGATGGGTAGGGGGTATATTCACTTGGCTAACACAGACAGTCCCCGAACTCTAAAAACTCTACACTAAAATCGGAATTAATAACCTTAACCTGGTACAGTTTTGTAAAAAAAATGCTATTTTGTATTTTGGCCACAATCCCTTACCATCAGTAACGTTTTTCGTAAATCCAAACAATGCAGGAAAAATAATAAGACAAGCTAATATCCATGCTGTACATATCATGAACACCATCAACTTCGCTGTTCTTTTCTTCGGATACTTCATAGGTCGTGTCACCATAAGATATCTGAAAAATAATGTTATCATACATATTTAATTGAAAAATAATGACTTTTAAGTATAGTGTCAAATGGAAAATTTCAGATCTCATCGTATAAACTTTACTTCTGGTATCTGGTTTTACTGTTATTTTTATGGTCAGTATGAATGTGGTAAAGTCTTGCCTAGTGTGTAATCATTGTGTGAGATAAGGGACCGGATGTCTTAGAAATAAGATGGTAATTTTCATCGGAAAACATAGAACCGTACTATATAAACGAAAAGATCGCACTATTCGATAAATGTCTGTAATTGCACGATAGAATCGAATACATTTGCCAATGAAACAGGTAAAAACGGGCCACTCTTACTTATTATGAGTTCAAGTTCATTTTCATGGAATACGCCAGATTAGAAATCGAAAGTACATGCTCACCGGAATCGAACAATAATTTATATAAATTCATTACATAAGCTGAAGCATTATTCAATGAATGTAATTTAGTCTATCGTCCTATCTCTTAATTTGTTCAACAGAATTGAGGGTACAAGGGTCATTCTAAAACTGACTCAAAATTCCACTCCTAGTTATGTGTTGACTAAAATTTAGATTCCAACTTCATGCGGTTAATATACCTAATTTTACTACGAAAAATTTTCTGTCCGTTACACTTTTTTTAGTTTCAGTTGGACATTTCGACTTAGTATCCAAAATTTGATGATTAGGCAACTCCGACACCGTACAATTTGGACTAGAACATTTCCTCAATTTGAAAAAAAATTCCCGTTTGGTGTATCCATACTCAAGCTCAATTCTCCATAATGCAAAGCAATTGGTTCACCCCCGTTGTCTTGTATTCAGTCATTACTAGTAGTGCTCTGCATATCATTTCAATTTTACACTTCATTTATTTCGTTGACAATTATATTTCTGAATGAATGACATTTATGCACGAGTACTGTTTACTATTGTTTACTGATTGGTCACACTATCGGTGTGGTATTTTGGGGTGTTGAAAAATTAGTAACATAACTAGCATTTCAAAGCATACTGTTGCATTTTATGATTTGACGAAAAATGTGAACGCGTTTTGTTGCATCTCAAGTATTTTCGCCTTATAGCAGAATTCTAGTATTGATTTTTAATATTTACAGCGTCTTTTATCTTTCTATCCAATCCAATTTGTATCCTTATTTATTTTATTATTTGTCATTTGACATTTTAATATTTTCATATAACGAATTATGCTTAGTCATAAGAAGGTCAGAGTTCATGACTTCTTTGTCGCAAAAAGAAATTGAAATATTTTCATTGGGAATTTCAAACGTTTGAAATGAAGAAGGCTCCGGACAAGTATACGAATCACATATATATTTTAAAAAAAATTGATATCGTTGATTTGTCCATTTAAAAAATCCAGAATGACGTAGTGTAGGCATGGGAGATCCACTAACATAGGCATAAACTACGAAAGTACTAGTCTGCGCTATATTGTTTGTGCCACATTATTTTGAGTGTAAAAGAATCACTTAGTGGTGATAATGAACAATTACAATGAAAAAATACAAATTTTTGACATTGAACGATTTCTGGATGATATTTTTTGCCCAAAATTGATTCGTTTGAAATACCATTGTAAAAAACAACACAGTTTGATCCTCTCTATGAGCAAGATTTTATTTTTGCGATCATGGCTCGTTCTAATCAAGATAAGTCGGGAATGGTGTACCTTTGCTGTTAATATATTACCTTTTGTGGTTTCAAGTCGCCTCCTCTTAGGAAATATTGCTCTATATACTTTGTTTACCCCCAAACAAAAAGATTGCTGTGTAAATAGTTCGAGTGCGAACTCGGGGGTATAAGAGACATTAATTTTTATTTCGTCTGTGAGTGTCGGCACGTATGTTTCAATCAGTTTAAAATTGGCAATTTCTAATTTATCAGTCTGTTTTCTAGTAAAAAATCAAGAAAATATACTATTGTATCGTAGTAATTATATAACATCTGTATTATACGTAAAACCTGCATAGTTTTTATTTATGGCATGATGAATCCGCAAAAAAAGCGAAGAAGCCAATACTCTAAAGAAGTATGATTAATGATATAGTAATAGGCTAATTTAAATTAAATGAATGAATAATATTCACACAAATTGTACTGGAATTTTGACAGTATGAGCGTATGCTTTAAAAAAGTATTCGTCATGATACCAATACGTGGCGTTGTTTTTCAAGAAACAGTGCTTTTTTCTAATTTAATTGATGGTGAAATTTTCAAAAATAATGGGTAAAACGCTATTGCAACATACAATGAGGTAACAAAGACTGAATGAAAATAACCAACATAAGAGAAAAAAAGTTTCACATCAAAATTTAATCGATCATGCGAATATGAAATAACCAGGCACATGTTTCAATTCAATTTTTAATTTTTCATTTGGATAATTTATGGTTATTTATAAACACGGTTTGTATTCATTTTTGATTCAGATTCGCTGATTGGTAGAATCTACAAAAACGTTTTTTGTCATCATCATCATCATTAGATAATTAAAAGAATTCTATGCAAATTAAGCGTGTCCCACGATTTCTTGATAAAAATCACACGATTCGATAACATTAAAAGATAAAAATGATAAGAAATATAATTACAACTCAGCGTTCAATGACGTAATTGTCTTCGAAACCAAATATGCAAAATATCTCAATTCTGCCGTCCTCGATTAAGGGTTATTTAATGTTAATAAGTTCAAAAATTAAATACTTTTCAGGGAAATGGAAGAATTTAAGTAACGTTACCGCACACGGAAATGTCAATTCAATTAAAACTAAATAAATATATTGGCACATTAATCACACTTTTCCACCCTTCAATAATATTTGCAATTATTTAGAGACGAAGAGAGCAGTGCTCAAATATACAACCACGAAGATCCCACATCAGCACTGGGACGGCAAGATCTTTGCTGAGTCTAGCTGAGCAATGAGTTTTCTGGAAAGATCAGCGGAAAAGCGTGATGGAATACAGTGTTCCCATATTCCATAAAATGCATTTCTGTGAATTAAAACAAAACCACAAAAATTGTGGGTGAAATATTGGATTGCATTTGGAAAAAAATTGAAAACAATCAAATTCAAAAGCCTTCTAGCGCTTCGATCATTTTAAATGTTTAAAATCTTTTGGTTCATAAGTAACGAAGAATCTTTTTTCAACAACGAATATTTAGCAAAAAAATGGTCCCTAGGTCTATTTTGTGTCCAAAAAGTTTTAACATATTACATTTCACTTGATTGGTAGTACACATGTCACACACGACGCTAAATATTATATCAGCTAATCAGCTATCTATACAGCAGCCCAATATCCCTGTACCTGTACCCTGGTATTTCAAATGGCGATTGGGGCCATTCATCCATACGTATTTCAAACTGGTTTAAATACTATATAAAATCGAAAGTTACTCGTCTTAGTATACCTGAAAAGGCAATCTTACACAAGAATGTAACAAATTGAGTAACGTATTAGGTTGATAGATTCCGGCCATTCAAAACCCCAGTAACTTTCTACCCCAGAGATTTATTCTCGATGACGTAACGATGACGTCATTTTCGTAAAACCCAGTACAATCTTCAAGTGACTGAACAGTAAATGAGAAAATCAAGAATTTACATGATAAATTACTAACAACCATTTTTGAAGGTCGTTCATATGGAAATCACGTACCAAATTCTATTTAAGATACATTTGTCAAATAAATATGGGGAGCAATGATCTCCCGTAAGACATTATTCATCTTATACGGCCACAATTATAGTTATTTATCACATCTCAGGATACAGAACGATTTGGATATGTAATCAGTCATATTTAAAGTATTAAATTAGAACGAGCAACGATTCTAAATTTGGAATGGATTAAAATTTGAAAGACATTTATGAAAAAATTATTTTACCTGGCATAAACCTAATAAATACCTGGCATATTATTACAAATATCCTAATTCCAATAAAAAATCAGTAAATATGTAGGATCACTATTAAAAGGAAGTGAGTCGTTTTTTACCATTGCTGACACAACAATGTTTTCAATTCTAACAATCAAACTTGAGCCATAGACGGATAGCGCAGCCTTGTCATGGTCATTGTGATACCAATGTCCAGTAAAGACAAATTTATCAAACGACTGTAAATAACTGATAACAATATTTGACGTGCGCGGTGGCCTAGTGATTAAACCGTTTGACTTAACTGTTTATGATGGCATTGCAAGTTAAAATCTCTGGTTCAAACCCCATTCCCACCACCTCAACAGGGTGTGATAAATTGGGTATAGGTGACGCTGAACAGGTAACATTCTGGTCTTTCTAAAATAGAGTACCTCCTTATATACTAGGGCTACTTGTGAAGTGCCTTGTTAGGAGCGAAAGACGTAAAATTAAAAAAAATAAATAAATAAAAAATAAAATAAAAAATATGTAATATCACACACGCACGGCGCTTAAGATAGAAAATATTTTCTCTGGCTCGCGTCAAATATATTTCAATATAAATTTCTCAGGCAAATGAGTGAATTGGAGTACTTTCTTGAGCACGAGTTTCTTCAGCCCGATCAATAACTCAGAAAAGGTTATTGAAACTGTCAAGATCTATTAAACTTTATTAAGGACAATAACGCATAATATAAAATTCAGTTGTGAAAAATAATATGCATATTACAGTTTATTGCCAATTTCCTTCAACGGCATTTAAATGTTGTAGTTTGAAATGGCGAGAATTTGCGTTTTATAGCTGAGGATTAGTTTTATAGATTGTCTGCCGTTTTGTTTCCGGCAAGTCTTTTTTATTTTTACAGTGGTATTCGAATTACAAGCATGGCCTAACAGTGTTCGTATACATAGTGGACATCGCATAATGTTTCGTGGGTATAAGTTCTCAAATTTAAACGTTAATTAATCAGTTGATCAGCCCAAAACCACCCCGGGCCCGGGGCCATTAAATTGCGTAAGCTTTTCTAAAAGGTTGGATGCTTGATTTCGTAAAAAAACATTTAGTGTGGGACATTGATAATTGGCTAGCCTATGCCGAGCCGATAGCATGTAGGTTTGGCCATATCATATTCGAGATGTTTCTCATGGGTAGGCGAAGCCTCTTGATTTTGAGGGTCGTATGGGTAGGCAGGACAAAAATATACAATAAGATCCATGTACATAATTCAAAAAATGACTTACGATAAAATGACAAATTTTGGCATATATTGTTTCAAAACGTTTAAAAACAGTAAACAGAGAAGAACGCGATTATTTCCGAGTTCGCGTTGCTTGTAAGCGTGTAACAATATCAAATTGAAAATCGCTCACCTGTCAATACTGATCATACAAAGATTCAGAATGCTTGTCGCGCAGCAGATAACATCAAAGCTGACGTGTATATTGCACATGGTAGGTCCAAACACCCATTCCCCCAGTATATCGTACACAATGGTCAATGGCAAAACAACAACAGCGACAAGAAAATCTGAGAAGGCCAGTGATACTATAAGATAGTTTGCAGGCTGTCGTAATTTCCGTACAACTGTTACTGATGCTATTATAAGTCCGTTTCCAACAAGTATGACGAAAGCAAGTAGTGACGTCAGAATGGCGACAATGATCTTGTAAAACATGTCGTCTTCAGGGATTTGTTCGCTGGTAACATTACTCTCCTGGATAAAGCACGTTTTGTTATATGTTTGATTTGCTTCACTGCCGTTCATGACAAAACATTCGCCACAAAATGAATCCATCTCGATACCTCACGCTGGATAATGCTGGACTTTAGTGTTGATTGCACTCTTTTTTGTGCATTGGTAGTAACGTAATTAACCATAATGGCAATTAAGCTCTAGTAATTATGTTACGGATCATATTTATTTTAAAATGTAAATTTTATGCTTTAGTTCTAGTAGATAAAATGATAGCCTGAAATATAGGTAGCAAGTTGAAATCATCTAATGAACCAACTACCCAAAAAGTTAGTCGGATAAATTGAAAAACATCTAGCGAATCAACTACCCGAAAAGTTAATTGAATCTTTTCAATAATATATATAATAGTCAAAGGCTTTAGATTTTGTGGTATTTTACAATGTATTGCTACATATCGTTTAAAAAAAATTCGTGCAAACAGGTATAGAGTATAGTAACTTTTAAAATGACCGGAATATATCCTAACTTTTCACGCTAGCATAGACACGTCAATTTTCTCAACGTATAGACATTTAACCCGATTATAGCATAGCTAACTATTGTATAGGCCTACCTAAAAATAGAAATATGGAATATTTTACTGTATATGCTTACTTATTCTCAGATTACATTTCCTGTCCTTACTAGGTGATCCCTGATCATTCAGCTGTATTTCGCGCAAAGCAGATTATCAATTACTGCTTACAGAACTTATACGTTCTAAAAATAGTTATAGTTGAATTCCCAATTTAAAAAGAAATACATCTCCAAATTATACAAAGTTTAAAAATTACAATTGAAATTGATGACATGAATATTAAATTCGTAAATATTTAGTACTTGGACGTTTACTTGGCATATGAACCAACATAGAATTAATATATATAACAATCATGTACACAGACAAAAATCTACTCAAAATAAGTGTACCGGCGGTTGAACTTGGATAAATTTGTTGCGAATAGCATGTACCGCCATTTTTTGAGGATTGGGAAGTCAAAAGCAACGTTCATCTTATACTATACTTTGTGCTCATTACCCCTCGCCATACACACACACACACACACACACTGAAGGACATATATATCCACACATATGGACAATGGTCAGTGTAGTATTCGAACTGTGATAAGATCAAAGATTGGTATACCTAAGCAAAAACCATAAATCAGAATTATACGAAAAACGATGTAATGCAATATGTTTCACCTCGATATAAAAAGTTGCATATACGTTGTTTCGCGTGACAAAATCGCATATTCCAAACAATTGACTAAAATATAACTCACGATTCATACCGGTTGGAAACTATTGTTCAGCAGAACAAGACCACCTTGACTTCGCCTGTTTTCTCATTGTTGAGCCGAGACAGGTAAAACGAATCGCTTAGTACGTTGCAGACTACAAATACGTGACGCCTTCAGTTAGCAATATTCTTATCCTGTGCTAAAACGAAGCTTTATAATCTTGCGACTACAGAAAGGACTTCAGTACGTACGTATACGTAGATTTGGTGGAATTACAACCCCATTAAAGGTAACTAACTGATATAGACATCACAGCTTCACAGGTTATCATTTGTCTTACATTACCAACTTCACAAGCGCTTTACCTGCTGGTTGCTAGCAATTACTTTTCTATGTTACGACCTGTACACACTAACTTTTCCAGTAAAATTTTATGGGCTTTCCTATAACATTATCGGAAGCGACGTAACAGTGAATCAACAACGGACATCGAAAGCTTATGGCTATGGTCACGAATACGTGAAGATGTCTTGAACACGTAAACCGTCGAACTTCACACGAAGTATTTAGTACCTATAGATCTGATCCATGGAACATAACCAACACAATTTGTTTACTTCACTAATGGATGCTCATAAGATGCGTTTTTGAATTCAATAAACGCTAATTGTTGTTTGTAATACGAATTCTACCATCTCGTTCTGGTAGCCGTATCTAATACCGAGTTTTTCAATTTTGTGGCCACAGCGCGACTCAACATGCTAGGATAGCAGCACTGGCATTCAACCACTACTTCCTTAGATCGAAAGACTAAATAATACTAAGGCCTTGTATACTTTACTGTACTATAGTCAATACCACTACCCGGGATAGACGACTTAAACACTGACTGACTAGTTCATAATAAATTGAATTACTCTGCATCTCGAATCATGTTACGCAAAGAAAAACAACTCAAAACTGCCCACTAATAAATATTTATAAAAATGTTGATCGCATTCTATCTTTTTCTTAAAAAATAAAAGGCTAAAACAGAAAACTCCTCGGTGATGTTTGAAATCTCTGTGTTTTTACAACTGAGTAACGTTTTCTAAGAGAAGCAGAAAAAATCCAAAATATGCTCTCTCATACCAAATTTGCCAATAATCTTTGGCTTCTGTAGAATCTATGAATATTATTCGTATATTCCCCTGCTAACCAGTGTAGTAAATAAGCGAACACTGCTTTACTCTCTACTAAGTTTTCACAACAATACCGTGAAATTTGATCAGTAAATATACAATCGAATCCCCTCGTCACAACTAAACAAAAAGACCATTGACGTCATATTTTACCAAAGAGTCCACAATTGTATATCTAAGAAAACCAAACTTTTTAATTTCAAATTAAGTTGAAATGACCCATTGACCTTTAAAGTTTGGCTTTTCGGCTACTTATATATGGTACGTTTTTTTAAATTCCTCGGCAACGTAATATAGCTCGTCGACCTGTCTGAAACGCCATGCCATATTATGAAAAGGGGTTCAAGTTTTCAAACATGTGTATCGTATACCATTCTTCGTATGTGTTTTGCAAATTTATTGAGATATTGAAAATGTTTTTAAGTGTACGATTATGAAATTTGACAATACTTATAGGGCTATAATGCTTTGTCAGATATAGAAACATTCTCTTTCTAAACTGTTCTGCATATATACCACACGCAACATTTTTTTCACATGCTTTGATTTAAGTGCTGATTGTTTCGCGAATTTTCCTGAATATCCAAGCATTCTATATGCTATAATGATATCTGCATCTGGTTTTAAATATTCAGCCTAATATCTTATATTATAATATATATTGCGTCGAATTTCTTTTACTTTTCAAAAGCCATTCAAATGTTGCAATCATATATATATATCGTTACGATTCTGGGACCTCCTGAAGTATGCGAACCAAGATGACGCGCAACCTAAACTCAGATTGTGTACCAGGTTAGGGTACAGGTTATGCGACATCTTGGTGCGCATACTTCGGGAGCGCCCGATTCTGTATCAACAATATTCTGCTTATGGTACACTTAGCCCTCGATCACAATAAAATAGTAAGCGCAGAACAACAGAATAAACCAGAGTCACGTATCAAAACACTTTAGGTATCTATGCGAATTACGAGACGAGTTCTGAATAATTGGATTTTTCTGATAAAATCATACATAAATTGTGTAGCAAAAATGTTGCGGGTGCATAATTTGATTAAATCAGCTTTTGTATCAAATTAGGATAACCTAATTATCAATAAATTCACCGACTTTCTGCAACACTCATTCGAACTCAGATAAGCGAAACAGACAGATAAATCTATTTTGACTATTTTTTCGACAAACTGAATATTGTAATATACATAAATATATGTGTTGTTAATAACGCTAATCTAATATATCGCCCCACGGCACTAAACTAAAATGTTTGCACCGTGAATATTTAGTAAAGTTTCAATTATTACGAGCTCCGTGGCAATTTTTAGACGAGCTGGAATACTTTAACCTCTTCACACTCCTTCGGTCAACTTTAGGCGATTTCTGTGTAAATACACTTTTTTGTTCCGTTTCGTAGCCATATTTGAATATCCATTTACGCCCAATTATACTCAAATCGAAGAAAATCAGGCAAATGTATTCAAGATTTTGTACAATCCAAACTTGATTTGAACCAAAAGTTTTCAATAACTTGAAACGCATTCATAAAATTGTTTAGTCAGTATTATTTCCTGAACCCGAGATTGAACCTTTAATGTCAGTATTAAACGTGGGAACAGATCTAACAAGTACGATTTTTACATTCAACTAAGACATCATTTCGGCGAATTGGTCGTGATTTAGGAAACAAGAGCAATGTACAATGTGACGAATGCTACTTGCCACCAATTTCATGTCACTTTTGTAATCTGTACACTTCCCAAAGCCTATGGCATATTTTCGCCATTTTTTTTTTATATCGGCAGAGGCATGTCAACGGGTAGATGGCATAGTAATCAAACTAGCTGCCTATATGGAAGTAGAATAGCCGTCGTAAATGAGGAATTTGAAATGGACATTGGAACCATATACATCATTCTCCATCTGTATTCCTAACAGTGGAATTGAGGCCACTCGACATTTGACTGCAAATAAAGTCAACATTCTACCTAAGAACTGTATTAATTATACAAGTTCAATAATGATTGCAGTATAGTGTACGTACGACACTTAGTTCGAGACGTGAAAAGCGACTCGCTGAATATTTTGTGGTCTGTCTTATAGTGCCTCTGTCTTTTAAATGACCTCTTGTACTGGACTTATAATATTAGCAGCCTTACACGCAATTTCAATTAGAACTGGCAAGTAACTAGACTAAAGTTTAACTAAATACACTCGAATTGAAATTGAACTAACAACAAATTTGTTTTGTAAATAATTCTATAGTCCTAGATAATTCAACCCTTCATAGTGTTATCCTATTTGTGACGAACGCACTTCAATTTTCCGCCACTTGTGTACTGTCACTCATTTATACGACAAGTACACTTGTACCAGGCTTTCAAGCTTCCCCAAAATCAATGCCAAATATCATCATTTGTTAGCGATATGATTATTTTACCTTATTTATCTAATAAAAATTTTGAAAAAGACTAAAAATTTCTAATCACAGAATTCTCCAAATTTAGAATTTAGATCGATGAAAAGTCCGTTTTTAATCAGATGTCAACCAAAATATTTAGATCGATAAAGCAAAGAAAATGTTAATTAGTGATTAAGTCCAAATAAACAAAGCTATTTGGATGAATAATGGGGAATCTTAGTCACTAAATAATTTATAATTTATTATACATAACGTTGTATAGGAATAGTCTCTGAGGACACATTCGTGGTAGCACAAACGTATTTATAAGAGTTGATTTTTTGTGTCTCAGAAAGGAGAAGAGATCATCGTCCAGATCAGTGCCATTTCGGC